CCAAGACATGGGCCATTGCGTGGCCATAGGCTATCCTCTGGCCTCCAAGTTAGACCCCCTTTCCCATAGACGAAATGTTACCTCTCTATCCCTCTTCTACAGATATTCTCATGGTCATTGCTCTGCAGAACTCACCCAACTAAAGACATACAAATGATTAGCATGCTAACTCTTTTTATATTACATGTAGATCTAAAACGGCAGCGTTCAGTTATGCATACATCCGTAGGCTGGTCACTAATGGAATAAGTTAGGTTCTGACCTCCGCTGTACTGGTGAGCGAGCAGCTAATCAGCCTGATATTATATCATTTAAACTACTCAAGGCCACTTACAACAGATTTAACACACTACAGTCTTGATCTCATGTACTTGGACCACTTCTTGTGGGTGTAGTTCTTGCATTGCCTCATCAAGACCTCACGAAGTTCTTGTTTCAACATGATTTATTCCTTCATTTATTACAAGATATATTCATATTGTGCTTACTTTATCGTCTGTTTTGTGTATTTTTATGGCTTTACAATTGTAGTGGACTTGAAACGTCAAGTGCGGCAATTTCATTTACAACCCTTGTTAAGTCCAGAATCAACATACTTGGCTTTTATTTGCTGCCATTGTAAAGTCGAGTTACTGTAGTGTTTACGAAGTACACATTACCCAATATATCTAACTTTTCGTGCAGTGTCTAAATCTATCCACAAGTTTAGTAGGACCATGATGGAGTTAAAACTTAAATTTAGTTAAAAGACTAGCTCCATGGTAGGACTACGTACATACACATACCCGATTAGCGGTCATGAAAATAAAGAATAAGGGAATGAACATAGGAAAGAAGGAAGGAAGGAAGGGAGAAAGGGCAAGGAAAAAGAGGAGAGAGGAAAGAAAAGAAAGGTTTTGCACCACAGGAGTTCAAATCATGTGGTGGGACTAATCAACTCCTGGTGTACAAAACTCTAGTAGCAAAGCTCTTACAGGTGTAGCACTCCCACCGGGCGGCTAGTCGAGCCGGACGGGGGGAAAACTGTTAGAATCCCGAAGAAAGCCGGCTCCTACCACAATAGACCTGACACCACCCTACACAAAGCTTGATTACAGAGATTGACAAAAAGTACTTGCACACTGAGATATTTTGTGTCCAGTGTGCTTTGGGTCTGGCATCCAGGCTAAAAGTACAGGGACTTTTGTATGGTCTTCTACAACTAAAGATCTAACAAAGTTAAATACATGTATGGATGACTTCATCCTACGTACAGAATATATGTATGTGGCAAATTACGTACAGAATATATATCAGTGATAACAATCAAGGTTTAACTATTCTCTAACATGTAGTCTCTAAGTTGAAACATTCTTTAATGTATTTTCCTATGCAGTACACGTGAGACTACCAACTCCAGCTGTCGGTTAGACGCTGAGATACCTTTGAATAAGCCTTCGTCGGGGGATCAAAGTTTGATCCTGTTAAGGGGAAGACCCAAGTTCATTCCGCGGTAATTCGGTACATGTGTCTGAGTACGGTGTCATCAGAATACCATCTGCCTGTACTCGCTATCACTGAAGTAACAGCATACCAGACATGTGTTCGGAATGACGCAACTTGCTAAACAGCTGGTATGGCTATCCTCCGTTTCCATGTCGGTCATAAGTTATGATACATAAAAAAGGGTGTTTGTGGGTGTCTGTGTGCGTCTGGACATACTGCCGACAGAACAACATGAAGTGTGCGTCACGCTCTCCTTCTGTGGATGTGAGTATGTCTGTGCGTAGTATGTGCATGTGTGTAACTGTGTGTGTGTGTCGGTACATTTGTGTGTGTATGTGTGTGCGCGTATGTGTGTGCGTGTATACATGTGTGTGTGTGTGTGTGTGTGTGTGTGTGTGTTACTTAATTTTTACGTTACTTAAGTTTAAAATCACTATATGCATTAATTTAGATGTCATTTGCATAATTGATGCAAATATTGTAATGAGACATTGCCGAAGAATATGAATTTTACACGCAAAATATTGTAATCTGAGTTTAGGAAACCATGAATGGATTAGGGTAATCACTACCTTATTTCCATAATCAATGAGATAAATTTTAAAAAACTGTACATATTTCATTTAAGTATGAGGTTTCCAAATTCTTGTTTTTGTATGTTGCTTCACATACTAGTAACTCAACTGTCAGTTACGCAGATCTAACTTAACTAAGTCATGAGCAAATTATTTGCAATTGCTACGGTTCACGGTAGAAGTATTAGAGAATAATAGAAGCATTGCCCGATATGAATTACACATTTGGTTAGGGGGGCTGTGGTAATATTTCCTTGGGGGCATGTTGGCCCTGGAGCCGAAGAACTGACCTGTGTAGGCCCTGGAAACATGCTGGCACCCAGGGTACCAACCAGGCTTACTGAGACTGATCACCCGTTGGTTTGAACCAACAAAGGGATTTCAAGAAAACAGAACGAGAACAACGGATTTCATTGTATGTGGGAATCACCATACAGCAGAGGTCTTTGTTAAGGCCGAGTAGGTTCGGTTTCATTTTGGGTTTGTCCCAAGCAAGCTTATATAGTCACCGTGGACTCTGTCCTGGTTAGGCCATGTTGAGTTGATTATATAGATGACATCGACGCGCGCATGAAGTTTCGTCCGTTTCCAAAAATAAAAAAATTCGACCTACTGTAATTCGTCCAAAAATGAGCAAATATATGCCGTAAATTGAAAAAAATATATATTGGAAAGCGATACGTATGTCGCAGAATGCCAAAATCCATTCCAAAGGACAAGAAGGAATGAAAATGAAGAGTCTATTATTCACCATGACATAAAAAATCACTCTATGTGTTTAGTCACTTGTTCAACCTTCATGACCACCTAGATTTCATAATGAACGCAACTTTTTTTAACAAACTTTTTATTATTCGCACGCTCGCATCAGTTTTGGGATTCCCAGTGGATGTCATCCATGTAATCAAATCAACATGGCCTTATTGGCAGAAACACAAATTGCGTGAACGGTGTACAGTCTAAATGAACAGTAGGGCCTGATTAGTGTATCTTTCAGATCACGTCTAGACCAAAGCAGGGGTGGTACAGCGCTGTTTCATTTCGTAACATTAGTACGGTAAAAAAGTAAAGTTTCTGGTACTTTCTTTACAAAGTAAATTATGTTGAATCAACCCTACTCCGTTTTTAAATAAATGTCATTCAGAAAGTAAAAGTGCTAAATATTACACCTTACGAGTGTGTCTAAAAGGAAACAAAGCTGTCAGCCGTGTCTGTTTACATTCTGGTATTTTGTGGTGTCACCACAAACTGGGTGCACCTCGCTTTAGCGCCAACCTTAAATGTCAGAAATGTAAGTTGCACAAACTTGTTGAAAAGTAGAAGTGTATATATAGTATATTACAATCACATGATTATTTTTTCAATCAAAATTTCATTTTTTGGGGGGTGCATAATGTCCTTTTAAAAGAACAGTGCGTAAACCATACATCCATTCCACATGCACCCTTACGGACCCTTACCTCTTTTGCACCAGTGAACCTATTCCCAAAAATGAATTTCGATCCTTGTTTTGGCTAATACTAATAGCCAAAGCCCCTGTCACACATGGCCGCCTATGGCCTGCCGAACTTTCCCCTAACAATGGTGAGGAGTGGGGTATGCTATGGTCGTCTGTTGTTCGGGACCAGGTCAGCAGTGATCGGGGGTCAAATTTGACTCAAATTTAACTCAAATCCGATTCAATTTGTATAGAAGGGTAGGTGTGGCTCTAATCTGTTCAGCCCCGAAGTTCAGCCGATCTTGGTTGGTATTCAAGGCAAGGTTCTGAATGTATGGCAGGGGCTTAAGGCAGGTGGGGACACTTAATTTGTTCCGCAAACAGATTACACGCAAAAACACACAGTAATTTTAAAACGTGACGTTAGGACCGCACCCTGTTCGCAAAGGTCAACTATATTTACACTTGATGTATAGAACCTCGCTCAGGCGACACAGTTAGTCACTAAAGTGTGACGTGTGTTAGTGTTGCGTCCACGCCATGACCTGATTCGGACGACTGGTACCAACAACACAACGACGTGCTGTTATTCCGCGCTCTACTTGTATCTATAGATGTTGGAGACTTGGCGAATTTTATTGAACAAAGAAGGAAAAGAAGTTGCTGTAGCAAAATCACTTCATTTTCGACCTCGTTGACTTTATACAGAGAAGACTGCTGTGGTTGTTGTACATGTAGGTAATTCGAGCTACATTTCGGCTCCTTTGTGCTACTGAAGTGCGAGTGACAGCAGGTGGGTAGGGGAATTCCATAATGTCCACAAAATGTCAGACACACTAGTACTGCAGCTGGCAGGAAGTTAAATTGGCCCTGGAGTCTGTTAGCTAGTAGCCTGGGTACTAGTACCATCCAGATTTTCGCTCCGCAACGCTCTAAAAAAATCACAATTTTTTCGAGCATTGCAGAGTGAAAATTCGAATGGTACCCAAGCAAGTTAGCTGGGTGGCAGTAGAAAAATGCAAAGAGAGGTAGACTGAGAAATTCAATAATGAACACAATGAATCCACACACACAAAAATGACAAGTTTAATTGGCCCTGGAGTGTCTGTTAGCTTGTTGGCAATAGGAAAATGCAAAGAGAGGTAGACAGATCATAGAGGATAACATGAAATGGGCAAATTGACGAGCAAAGAAATTAAATCAGTGTGGTCTGAGCACCAAAAATAACACAAATACATCTCTTCTGAAGGTCTTAATCACTGGTCACTTCAAATCTGAAAATAGACTGAAGATTCAGAAAACAAATGAAGTTTAATGACTTGTATATACGCATCATGTATTCAGTCGCAAAGATAACAAGGATAGCATAACTTACTTCATTCCTCAAATCTGCCACATCATTGGCTTCAACATTGCAAAAACTGTTTCTGTACGACAGGTTTTCTTTAATATCCTACCGGTAGTACCTGTTGTCTGTTTAAAGAAATAATCCTTCAGCATTGCCACATTCATTGTTTAACCTTTTTATTGAATTTGTAGCAAGGGGACCCAGATTCAATCCCCAGGGTTGGACCCAGACATGTCCAGACATGCACCCAGACGTTGTGCCCTTGGGAAAGGCACTAAACACGTTTTTCCCCCCTCAGACTGCTCCCAAACTTCAGCCAACCTTGGTATTGAATGTGTTGAAGGTTCTGAATGTGTGGGAGGGTTTTTCACTCGTTGTACTTGACCAGTTTGAGGCGAGGAGCTATGTTCATGGACTGGAGCTCCTGAAACAGCAGCTTGCAGGCGTACGGCATCTTCAGACTGGACACATTACGGGAGGACTTACAGTACTGGCACCTGTGGAAACACAGCAACATTACAGCAACAGGGTGGCACGCTAAGGTGACTTACTTTCTGGTTGACTTAGAGTCTAAATGTTCTTGGTTCGAATCCCGAGGCAACCCTGAGTATATATAGTCCCTCAATGTTGTACCCTTCGGAAAGGCACTTTACAACAGTTACTATTTCCTTGCCCGTGGTAGGCTAATACAGAGTACACAGTGTAGTATTCTTAACGTATCACATGGGTTTCACATGGGTTTCCAAATGTTCCATAGAATAATTTGAATGTGTTTCGTGTGTGTGCTAAGGGGCCACTTTCACATCGGATTCGGATGTTGGAATTGATGTTGTTACATTGTTTTTTGTTTCAGGACACGTATGCCTCCCACGTTTCGGATCTCCCTCTGGCCTCTGGATGATCCAACCCGTGCTCGGGCTGGTACCTCATGTATTAAAGAATACACTGTGTAATATTCTATATGTGACAATTAGAGAAAAAGCATGCCATTTTCCTCCATCTTACATTGCAAATTTTCAATCTACTTATGTCATGCCCCGACACTAACAGATAGCAACGCCTAACTCACATCTTGTCATACGCCGTTTACGTTCATATTCCTGTAGTAAAGTAGTCCCTTAGAATAGACTTGATTGTATTGATCACATTGTTATTGATGCCATACATTGTACCATGTACAAGTGTCGAGGAATAAAGTTCATTCATTCTTCCATTGTAATGATACAGTGTATCAATCTCAAATCCAATCTAATACTTACCAGCCAGAGTATCCCAGTAGTCCACACTCCCCACACACGTCCACCTCAAACTGGTCACTGGAGATCATGAGTCTCTCCAGAAGGAGCATACTGAAACATGTCCATGATTGTGTGAAACTTTAGCAAAATCCTTCTTGTTTTACTTTGAATGTTTAACTCTACGTTTAATGTATTATGAACATCTAGCCTGGTTACCAAACCTATTATAGCTCCCGAGTCCTACATCCTCTACTATGCAGAGAGGATGTAGGACTCAGGAGCTATAATACATGTAGGTTTGGTAACCAGGCTAATAAACATCTGACTATGTTTGACTGGGGTAGCTCAAGTGAACTTGTGCAAAATATTCTTGAATCCTCTTGAGAAATCTGGGATCGTATTATGGTCACCTGAGTTAGTGCCAAATAGCAACTGCTCCAGACCCTTCTGACTCAATCCACCAATCGTAAACTCATCTCAGTTGCTAGGAGGGAGTAGCCGCCAACCCAATATACATGTATATGGGCTAAATAAGTTTTGCAAACCTAAAAAAGTGAGTGACTCTCACCTGGCACCGTATCCAATCAGACAGTCTCGCTCCATCTCCCCAAGTCTCAGACCTCCATCCCTTCAGACATAAACACTCCAATAGTCAGACACTAATGATTTTTGACAATTGGTCAGATCTACATAATCACTTTAAATCTTTTGTGCACTCTTCACAGGTGAGCAAATGTCCTGACATACAACATGTACTAGCCAGTTAAATTTTTCACCAATATGTAAATTACCAACTCACTGACAGATGAACTTTCATGCTACTGTGTCCTTGATGCTACATATAATACTTAAGCCATGTACATGTATTAACTGTATTACAGTAACTATAACTTCAGTGCATCTAGTTTTGTGGCACAGTGAAAGTCAAGAGTTGAAAAAATTGCAGCTGTACTGACCTTGACCGTCCCTCGGTGGGTTGTCTGGTCAGCACGGCGCGCGGCCCTTTGGCTCGAGCATGGATCTTGTCCAGTACCATGTGTTTGAGTTTCTGGTAGTACACCGGGCCGGTGTAGATATATGCATTCAGGGGCTCCCTACAGAATACATACATCATACATTATTACTCAAGTTATAAAAATGAGACATGATGATTCTTAAAAATATGATGGCTTTAATAGAATGAGATTTTAGAAGTTGTTGCATTGTAAAAGAGTCAGATCCAGTGAAAACCAGAATGTACAATGTAGCTGGCAAATGAACAAACTTGAGTATACCTACAGTAGCTTTCACTAGATTTCTTTGACTGTTTAGAGATTCATTGAAATAGTAACAGTAAAACATATTCATAGAAGGGCTACATTTACAGTAAATGGAAAATAAGATGTACAAAATATATTTCATTCAAACTCCCTTCTTCTGAGTTGGACCCACAAAATCAATGGACTAGTACATGTACATCACAACACTCCAAATGTAGTAAACATCCTATACAAGAATGAAAAATGACAGTTTACCACAAACATTTCAAAATTAACAGTACTTTATCTGAAACTTATTTAGGTAGTATATTGTGACTACATTACCCAGTAATGCCTGAGGTGAGGTAGTCCTTGCCCTGGTAGTTGAAGCCATGTTGAACCAACTCTTCACACACATCTTTCACCTTACTGCCTCCAAATGCTGCAATGGAATAGTCCATGACTGTTGGTTTGTATTAGATATAAGGCTATGTTGATCTGATTAATAATATGGATGACATCCTCTGAGAACCCCAAAAACTGATGCGAGTGTGCGAATAAAAAAAATTTGGCCAAAACAAGGTTGCTTTCATGAAACGTGGTCATGAAGGTTGAACAAATGACACATACATGTACATTTGTAGTATGGTATGGCGAATAATCTACTCTTCAAATTCATTTCTTTACATTTTCATCTGTTTTCTTTGATTTTGTCATTCTAGGACATTGGAATAGTTTTCCAATATAGTTTTTTTGAAACTTACGGTAATATATTTGCTCATTTTGCAACAACCTTTGCTTGTAGAGTAATGTACATGACAACTCTAACACATCAGTGCCTGTTCTTACCTGTTCCATAGTGGAACTTCCCTTCCAGCACCCCAGCCTTGCCTGCCAGGAGCTCCATCAGTTTCCCCACAGTCATTCGGGAGGGGAAGCCGTGGGGATTCATGATCTGTGGGCAACGAAGGGCCAAAATTAAATAATTACATAATTTATTTTATTACATTAAGCAGAACATTAAAGCCGAGGCCTACATTCTTAAATGGCTACGAGACCAGGCAAGGCAGAAGGAAAAGTGGAATGGACTGTACAAGAACATTAAGGACTCATACTGATTTGTTGTGCCGATCCGGCTTTACCTTTGGGCAATTAGCCGCAGATTGGTACCCGAGAACAGTTATTTATTATTATTATTATATATTATTATTTTATTAAGCATTGAAAGTGTAAATACAGGATACAGGAGTTTTCTTTTACACTTGTAACCACGATTTCTGACCTAAGTGCTGGTGTTTAGGTGCCTATCAGACACCTTCGAGTTATGCTTCGAAAAATTCTAGCTGCTACATATAGCCAATGTAGGTGCAGAACTTAGGTGAGAAATCTTGGTTGCATAAAAGAAAACTCCTGTATCCTATATACTTTACCAACCTGATGAAACTATTTTCGGAAGTTACTGTAGCAAGCTTAGAGTTACAGTAATTTTTTTTTTATCAAACATTGGATCAGTTACTGTAGAATACTCAGAGTTCATTGGTCATCACCAAAAATGAGACATGAACAATGTACAGTTACAGGTACAAGGTACAAAAGATTCTACAGTACTTTCATCATTTACAATTTATTACTTGTGTGTAACAGTTTCTTACATCTGAAGTAGTAAATAAAACCATGCAGGTCATGAAAAGATATTTTCTTATCACTTACAATGTCTGGACAGATTCCCTGAAAAAAAAGAAACAAAAGTATTATTTTGATATCATTGTCTACAAATTGAACATTTTTGTACCTTAGTGAGCCTGATTTGACTAAACAATCTGAGGCAAATTAATCATCAAATCATACAAACTGTACAATCAAATTCAAAATGGCTAAATGTGGATTGAAATTTAGTTGTCCTTTTCTTAAAGAGGCCATGAAAACTCAGATAAATATAGAGTCATTATAATATTTATTTTTATCTGTACAAACGTGTATGACGTGCTGGAGGTGATGGTTAGTGTTCTTGACAAAAATAATTTTTAATTACATAATCATATATAGGCTTACCTGGTCAGAAAATGGCATGTCCTCCTGGTTCACTATTAAGCCACACACACTGCAGGGGACAAAATTTTGTTAGAACAAACTTTAACATCACCAACACAGTTGGCAACACTATAACATCATTACAATATTTCATCAGAATGAATTATCGTAGGAAAGGAAATTACACACATGTCATGCATTACAATATCATAATATTCCATTGGGATTGATAAAGAAACAAACAGACCAAAGTTGAATATTCCAAATTTTTTTCTGCCAACTTTAGTACAGCTTCCTTTCCCTACAGCCTACCCTTTCTGTCCATGTCTGCTGCTGAATTTGTCTCCTATCTCAGGTCTGCGGGTTTGTCTCAGTAACATCTTGATGAGAAAAGCTTCCTCCTGGTTGGACGACACCAGGACAGTCTCCACATAGGAGTCCACTGGCCCCTTGTAACTGTGGGGAGGAGCAATGTCAATAAAGGAATTCAATGTCAGGGCAGCAAAACTGGAAATATTATTCTGGATAGGGCAATCTTTGTAATATTGTCATACTGCTTCATATTAGCACATTTAAATCAGCATTTCATACTTTGGGCATTTAAAACTGCAGAAACAAGCCCCAAGATGAGTCCTTTATTTTCTGGGTGGTACCCTAAAAATCAGCCCAAGGCCCTTCCAGTAACCATTTTTCGTCAGAATTTTGGGTATTTTTTGCTACATAAGGGTCAATATACATGTACATTAGGATAGTGTGGTTTCATCTCAGGATGCAGATACATGTAAGTGACTACAATGTTGGCTTTGAAAAATTGGGTGTCTGCAACCTAAAAACTGCACGCACATGGATGCCTTTAATATAGGATACTGCACAGGGAAGCCCGTGTGATAACCAAAAAGAACACCCATATTGAACATTAATGCAGGCATGACATCAAGTTATTTTGTACTTACGTAATGGGTACATCCTGGTACTCAGGCTGCTGACCTGGAGTCTGCACAGGGTTCATCGTTTGTTTGGGCATAGACTTATTTACCAACACTTGTTTGTTCTGTACACGTTCACCTGTAAATAATAATAATAATGAGGCACAGGAACTTCCCTTGGACAGGACGTTAAATGGAGGTCCCATGTTTGGGGAGAGCCACACCCCACGCACGTTTAAGAACCCACCACACTTATGAAAAACAGTAGGGGTCCTTCAGGGTGTGAGTGGTTAAAAAAAAATACAATTCGGTCTTACCCAACTTGTGCTAATACATGTACAAAACTGGTGCATTATGCCTAAAAAGGAGGTTTACCGGTTATGCGAAACAAACAAATCCCTACCCGGTGCACAGATCCCGTCCACATCCAGTATCTCGTGTCTCCAGATGGGTTTCCTGGTGCTGGCGTCCACCATGGGGCCCATCACGCGGTCAAACGTCTGGTTGGAATATCGCTTCAACGTGCAGTTCTGTTTGCGGTACACTAGGCAGCGACCGAATCCTGGATGGTCAGAAATGACAGGTAAAATGCATATCAACTGATTGTGGTTATACATGCTTATAAATATAGAATACAACACGGGGTAGTCCGTATGGCCCGAGGTATCGGCCCGACCGCGGGTCGGATCGCCCGACGGCCGCAGGCCGATCCGACTCACAGGAGGGCCGAGACCGAGGGCGATGCGGAATACACCGTGTTGTATTTTATTTATGTCATACCCACCCAAGAAAACACGCCTTTCAATGCAAGATAAGCCAAAAGTTGGTGCCACCAAACCCTAAAATGCAACAACATCAATTCCAACGTCCGGATTCTGTATTCGAATTTTTGAAAGGGGCACACGCGGTTAGGGCGAAACGCGTTCGAATTGTTTTATGGAAGCCATTGAAGCGTTCGATAACGGGTTCCGGACCGGGAAGTACGGCCCGGTCTGGAACCCGTTATCGAACGTTATCGCGGCCCGGGTATGATATAAAGTGATTGATCGATCCGTACATTTGTACATTGTACCTTGAAACTTGAGACATTCTACTTCAAAAATTTTAATCTTAATCAATTAATCAATCTTAATTGAAAGTCACTGTATATGCCTCAAAGAATTTTCACTACACAGTGCAGATGTTGATTTCAAAGTTTCATTTTAATAGTGGAAAAAGACATATATCATCATCATTTTTCTCCATACATGCATGTAGTACTACAACAATCATTGATAAATTATCTACATGTATGTTCATCATACATGAATAGTTTTATCTGATTAGTATTGATCAATGGTGAACAAAATTTTTCTCAATTTTTTTTCCTTCCAACAGTTCTCAGTAGATGTTTTGGCACCACCTATATGTAGCAATGGGAAGTACAACCACTCACTATTGCCCCAAGGAAGGTAGCAGAAGCACAAGAACTTTGTTAACCTTTATGTACATGATGTACTCACCTCTGTCTACAGATGACTTGTTCAGAATAAGAGCATCTTCTATATCATACCCACTGTAGCTCATGACTGCGACTGTGGCATTCTGGCCTGCGGGTAACTTCTCATAGTCTATCAACTCTATCGTCTGTGCAGAAAAATCCACAGAAATTTGCCTTAGATGAGATAAGTAAGGTAGGATTTTTAAACCCTTGTCCTGCTGGCATTTTTACACAATATTTTTCAATAATTTCATCACTCTTAATCAGGTCATAGACCCCTTACTTTTTTTGCCCTGCGGAGACGTAGATACCGCAATTGTAGCGTTTCGCTGTGGTATGATGTGTTGCAAGAGAAATACTCCAAAATCATACATATACATGTACAGGGTGCTATATGGATAGTAATGTATGTGAAGCCCATATCCTGTATATATGGGCTCCACAGGACAAGGGTTAACCTATACAATGTATTATTATGTACGATTTAGGATTAGATTTAAATTCGATCAAGGGGGTTGGAAAAAAAGTACATTAAAAAGAAAGTTGGCCAACTTGAACTCATGGCCTATTCACATTGAATGCAAGGTAAACACTCTATATCTAGCATGAAAGTTCATCTGTGTGAGTCCCAATTCTATATCTAAGTGTTGGAAGTTAAAGTTCAGTCTTTATTTCATAACTCTATATCTACTTAGTTTTGCACCAGCTGCAGTCAAACATATTAATCATTTGTTACAATGTTCACAGACAGCCATTCCTGTGGTTCTTACCTTAGTCTTGACCATGGGTCTCTGAGGGAAGACTAACAGATACAGCAGTGTGTCGATCCTGTTGTGTTGGTTGTACCCGATGGCTCCTACATGTATAGGAAACACATGGTACATATGGTGTTAGTGCAAAGTGCATTTACACGGTTACTGTAACTGCATTTCACTTTCAAGCTGCCAGAGGGCATACATGTACAATGTACAATGTAACCCAGCCATCAACTTTTGTGAAACATTTTGCCAATAAAAAAAAAGAAACAGATATGAAAAGTATGTAAGACAGTTAATGTTATAGTTATGTACAGACGCAATGGAACTGGCACTTAACTAAGAGAGGCCAAAATTTGCTTGGGGAGCCACGAGCAAATACAGAATATTTCACTCCTGACCATTTCCTCAAATCAAAAATGGACTGTCTCATATCGACCTTTTCTGTGTAGTACTCTCCAGTGTTAGTGTTTCAATGCTCCCACCTACATGTAAGAGCCCATTATTGAGGAAAAACAATATATTTCATCCATGCCTATGGTATGCCTATGGTATGGAGTGAAATATAATGACAGTACTGTACTGACCCATTGCCTGTTTCCCCATGGCACACTGGTAGGTGTTCCTGGGTGACTGGTTATGGTGTGGGTAAGGGATGAGTCCTGCACACACACCCAGGATGGTGAAGGGTTCTATCTCCAGGTGGGTCGTATCTCTGTAGAGAGAACACAAAACACAGTACATGTTCACACTGTGTGCAAAGTTTGAGAGGATTACACAGTCACATGAAATTAGACTTTTTGATTACATGATACATGTTAAACTCCAGGCCTTATCAAGGAATGAGCAATACACTGTTTCTATATGACTTTCTGCAACATAATTATGATCCACTGCTCCCAGGAATCGAAACAGCAACAAACCTGGGCTGCCAACTCAAGAACCCAAAACTCTTAACCACGAGGCCAAAATGTCCAGGTCCATAAGATTGGCCTTTTGGTGGCACTTGAACCCCACTGTAAGTTAGAATTACTGGACGTTATGGAAACATCAGTAATTTGCTATTCTTCATGATAATACTATTGAATGTAATCTAGCACCAGTAAATAAAGAAAGGTGAACCTTACCTTGTGATGTCTGCCTCGTACAATGTGATGTTACAGTCATTTTCTTCATTAACATCCAAGTACTCAACCAGTCCCTCACGCAAGAAGTCTTCAAATGCTCTGAAATGTACAAAATGTGTATGTTTTAAAAATCCAACACACAATGCTCATCCATTTTTATTTCACATTTCACATTGAAATGTGTGTGTTTGTTTTTTTTTGCTGGGTATAACAAAGATGAATACATGTAACATCATGTTGTATTCCACATCACCTTGGTCCCAGGCTAGTACTTCAAGTGATATGGAATACAAACCGCGTATTATTCTACATGTACATATTTGAAGTTTGACAGACTCAAATGTGATTTAATCTGTGGCTGATAGACTAGTGAAACAATGGCTAAAAACTACATGACTGTGATTGTGATACTATTCAGGGATGCATGTCTGGTGTAACACGAGGTCTTTATATTTCAACTCATCTTACTAACCTGTAGCCTTTCGTCAGCTCTTCAATGTGCCTGTTAGTCACCATAGGCCTGCCATTGGTCACAATGATGTAGGGTCTACAGAAAGTAAAATTATACATGTAGCATTATCATCATCATGGTACTTTTCTTACAAAGGTTTGGACAGATGTTACAGTTACTGTATCAATTTTCATACCACGTCCATGTAATGATGATCAGGGATTCCATTTTATCATGGCGGGGGCCTTAGACCCTGTGAACTGATCAGGTTTGGTCTGTCTGTTTATGTGTATATGCCTGTCTGTCTGTCTGTGTGTATGAATTTTGAACTTTTAATCAAACCACTGCATTGATAGATGGAAAACTGTAATATAGCTATACGCTAGGAATAGCTATACGGGAAGAAAAGGACTTTCCTCAACTGTTGGGGGCAAAATATGAGCATTTTTGAGTTGACTCAGAACCAGCATTTTTTTTACGGGAATATGGGAACCAACATATCAAATTGGTGTGACCTAATAGTAAAAAAAAAACCTTACCGACAGACCCTGCCTGCGTCGGAGGCGATGTTGACACATCTGTGTTCGTGGTTGGGGCAGATGGACACAAACTCGTTGATGTAGCCGGCGCGCCTCATCTTACGGAAGGACTTGATGAGGTGCTGGTGGTCACAGATCATGCCCAGGATGTTTCCGTTCAACATGACCATGTACGCGTCCTGCGAGTTCAGCTCCTCTCCAGACAACAGGTGGATATCCTGGGGAACAAATGTTAATGATTAATGACCCAGTTCTAAACACAGTTGTTCTAAACACTGAATAAACCACCGAGTGAGTGAAGCGGTTTCATTTGAATAGAATGCATGTTCCATTTGGGGTCACCAGACAACAGGTGGATATTATTCAAATGTTAGGGGTTAATAATTAGGGGTTAATGACCCAGCCTGAGGTGCAATATGGTGTGATAAGGCCTTGTCAGTCGCTATAATCACTGAATAAACCACAGAGTGAGCGAAGTATTTTCATTTGAATAGAATGCATGTTCCATTTGGGGTCACCAGACAACAGGTGGATACCCTGGGGCACAAATGTTAATAATTAAGGTAATGACCCACTCTGAGGTGTACATGTACATGTATATGGTGTGATAAGGCCTTGTCAGTTGCTATAATCACCGAATAAACCACCGAGTGAGCGAAGCGGTTTCATTTGAATAGAATGCATGTTCCATTTGGGGTCACCAGACAACAGGTGGATATCCTGGGGCACAAATGTTAATAATTAGGGGTTAATGACCCACCCCGAGGTGTACATTGTATGTGGTGTGATAAGGCCTTGTCAGTTGCTATAATCACTGAATAAACCACCGAGTGAGCGAAGTATTTTCATTTGAATAGAATGCATGTTCCATTTTGGGTCACCAGACAACAGGTGGATATCCTGGGGCACAAATGTTGATAATTAATGACCAACCCCCAGGTGTATATATGGATGGTGTGATAAGTCCTTGTCAGTTGTTATAATCACTGAATAAACCACCGAGTGAGCAAAGCGATTCATTTAAATAGAATGCGTGTTCCATTTGGGGTCACCAGCAGTCATTTGATCAGAATGTATTTTGAGTCCTGAAAAGTTAACATGTCTGAATTATAGTTGACACAACTTCAAAGCCACTTGAAGAACATGACCTCTGACCTCTACGCCCAGGTTAAAGGCCAGTCTCTGGATGGGTTGTTCTTCAGAATCAGTGGTGATGTGGGTCATCAGGGCCAGGTTCTTCACTAGTCCACACGCCTGCACAGCAGAACAACAATAACTTTATTGCACAACAATTTTACATGTACAATCATGGTACGATGTATGGTAACGACTATTGAACATGGTACAAAAGTTAAGTCAGTTGAACTCTTGTTACCAGTCTGTACTGACGTGTGTCTGATTTGTCCTCTAACACTTGGGGTCGCGTGGCGTAATGGTGACATGTTCGTTCCCGGGTTCGAATCCTGCCATGTCACCAATCCTTCCACAAATGTGGTAAATCTCAATGAAATACAATGAAACTAAAATTTTATACAAGACAACACTTAAAGAAACCTGTAAGTTACCTCTCCTTCTGGAGTATCTGAAGGACACAGCATGCCCCACTGGGAAGGCTGGAGAGAACGAGGGCCACTCACTTTACGGGTCTTCTCAAACTACACATGGAAAAACAAAAGGGCTCAAATCAAAAATCTGACATTTTCTGTAAGTAACATCACATTTATGCCAGACAGATCTCAGTATGCTTGGTTGGGTCAAGGAAGTTTAAAATCAAGAGGAGACAGAACAGGCTTACTGCCCTTTCAATGATGTTGGCCTCAGGTGTGACGTTCCAACTTCACGTTGATTTTAATTGGTAGGGTTGAATCAGTTACTAAATCAAAAGAATAGCTAGAAAATTGCTAGAAAATCCTTTTTTGCTGCCCCAACATTGCATTTACATTGGAGGCCTTTAAATTCCAGTTCTTCCTACCTGGCTGGATATTCTGGTCATCATGCCCAGTGCTGAGATGAAGGACAGACGGGACAAGACCTGGGTCACGCCTGCACGGTCCATCTTAAACCGCTTCACTGTCCAGTTTCCCTGCGGGACAAAATATTTCAGAATCTTTACAAGCACACCATATCACTCACTCACTCACTATCCAGGATTTGATTATACTGCTGCTGGTGTCCCTGCCACAGGGGTTGGCAGCAGTTGGCTAGTTGCTACAGTATAACTTGTAGATAGGGTTTAACAGTTCTTTACGTTGATTTTTGTGTTTTTCAATAGTTTTAGACCTTCTTGGATACCCAGACTTTCTACAAGCACATTAAATGCCATACAGAAATCTAAACTTTTGCTAATATTATTAGTATGGATCCCAATGTATTCAATTCAACCAAGGACTCCCAAATCTAATAATTGATGTCTTAATTGTTCAAATTTTGAAGTGAGCTTACCGTTGATATAGCGTTGACTAGCCCATTAGTGATCTGGTCTTGTCGCATGTGTTTCACGATGTCAAACTGGGCTGCACGAGGCTTGGGAATGGTCTGGTCTGCTATCTTCTTCAGCTAAGGGGGGAAATTTTGTACAATTATATTAGGCCACACAAATTTCATTTGTTGGTTCTCTATTTTTTTTCAGAGAAAATTTACATGTACAAAAAATTATTTTGTATATATACTATCCTTACAATGATACACTTGTACGGTAAGGACTATTAAGTCATCAAGTTTTCAAACAGTTCCATTTGTTAAATGAATCCATACTGGTTTATGTTGAAACTTTATAACATTGTGAATGATACAGAAGAAACATAAGTATCCTAAGTGTTAACTACAATATACATTGTACATACCTCTGCATTGAACTTCTTGAAGAGATCTTCAAACAACAGAGCTAGAAGCTATACATGTGGGTAGAGAAAGGATAATTTTTATTGACAGTCATCGTGAAAGTACTACTTGTGCATTCTAAAATTATTAAAATTCTTTGCTTCCTGCCATAATCTTAATACAAATTATTTCAGCTCACGAGTACATATGTATCCTCTCCGCGATTTTGTCTTTATCCTATCCATTATTTGCAGAGATTATCATCTCTGCAAATAATGGATAGGACTTGGGAGCTAGAATACAAGTCATGTAGGTCTGGTAAACAGGCTTATTTGTATTCTATGAAAATTTCAACAAAGTTGAGAACAAAAAAGTAATGTCGCACCTGCCCCGCCAGCTCCAGACGTTTGTTACCGTAGTAGTCCCGGTCGTCCACTCTGTCCTGGGCCTGTGCCTGAACAACTCGCCGCACCATCAGGGCCAGGTACACACACTTCAGTCTGAAGTTGAACTTCACAACCTAAAACAGAGCAAAGAACGGAAATTGACAAACATGAAGTTGGATACACTTTCCAAAAAGAACAATAAGGCCACACCAACTTAATTTGGTGAGAAAATGTTAACAACTAAGAAGACAAGGAGCTTTCTTCAAGTTTTCGAGCCCAAATATAAGCATTTGGCTAAATGTTATATAATACAGCTTTAAGCTCTGTAAGATCCAAGACTGACAGCTAAGAAACAAAAGGGCCACAGCCAGACCCAAAACAGAGGCGTCTAACCGGCACATGTGCGAGGATGGTGGAGTGTAGAACTTCCCTGGCCTCCTCCACTCGTGTTCTCTTGGGACCACCCCACCGAGAACGACGCACTTTCAGACCAATGAACCGAAGAGCCTAGAGATAAAAACAATTATATATCATTCAACAAGAAGGTAACATTTGAAAGCAAATTCGCAATATCTACCTTCACACGATCTGGCCTAACAAACTAACACTCATTCTTACTCAAACATTATACGTGTATAAGGTGGTTAATGGTCTTGGCCTCTATGCATACACGTATGGCCACAGTTTTGCCCAGATGTGCCACACAAACAACATATCTTGCTTCTACACCCAGGTAGGGCAGTTTCTAGGGGCAAAATTTAGTACTTTCTTATTGTTATTGCTATAGAAAAACTTCTACAGATCTGAAAAGATTGTGTATTTGCCGAAAGTGTTTGTAAATTGCAGAACAAAATCTTGCCATTCTGGAATATTGCAGAACACCGAAAAAAAGTATTTCCATCACTGCTGTCCCAGCTGACCTGTTTCTGTGTGAAGACCTGAGCCTTGTGACACTCCTCCAGACAGGGTGCCACCGCTGCCATGGTTCTCACATCAGTACCGATCAGCTGTACTATCTCCTGGTCACTCTCCACACCCATGGCCTTGAAGGCAATGGCAATGGGAATATCCTGAAAGACAAGCATTAATTTGTATGAAAGTTTATCACATTTGTTGAAGAAATTAATCAGGGCTCTCGCTATATATCCAGCTCAAAATTCACTAGACTGTAAGGTTTGAACCACTCACATCAGGAAGGACCCCTGCTCTTTTTGATAATGTAATTAGTTTTAAACGATACTCACCTCAGTAAAAGTGTTGTGTTTCAGGAAGTACTTGGCATTCTTCTGAACCACGTAGGTCTTTGTCTTACGTTCATGGGTAGAGCTGTATAGAAGCAATGGAATTTTGTTCTTGTTAGTTGGATTCCAAAAGTTCCATAGAACAATTCAAATATGTTTTGCCTGTGTAACAGTGGGGTTTGACTCCAAAAGGTCCAGACCCATTGGAATGGGTCAGTGAGTGTCACTTGAACCCATTACACCAGCGCCACTTTTGATAATTAGAGTAATATCATTTTTTGCTTTAGGGACACCAAATTTTGGCCCATTTTACATTAAAATGTTACTGTTTTCTTGGGTGGGTGTGAATATACATAGAATCACCCTCGGTCCCAGCCCTCCCATGGGTCGGAATTTCCGCCGGCCTTTGGGAGATCCAACCCGCGGTTGGACTGGTACCTTGGGTGATATGGAATACACCGTTTTGTATTCTACTATTACAGTATCTCACCTGGTGACTGAACAGCTGATGAGACCCTTCCGGTCAGTTTCCACAATCATCCGGTTCTTGGACAGCTGCTCCTGGATCAGGATGACCTTCTCCACCCCCTTGACCAGGAAGTACCCGCCTGGGTCCAGGGGACACTCCTTCAGTTTGGCCAGCTCCGAGGGGGACTTTCCGGTCAGTACACAGTTAGAACTGCGCAACATGATGGGCATTCTGTGGGATGCAGTAGAATGAGTTATCAAGCTGTTAGTGAAAGTTATCAAATTGACTGTTATCAAATGTGGGAGCGGATCTTGGGTAGCGGACAAAAGCTAACAAGGCTGACACTCAGGCTAGTTATTTATAACAGTTGATATCTTTTGATAACACAAGTTGAAACTGATAATAAGTGTTATCAAAAGTTATAAAACTGTTATAAATAGTTTGCAATTTAGTACTGTTATCTAAAGTTATCAAACTGTTATTCTAAGTTACAAACTGTCATCCAAAGTTTTATTATCAATGAAAGTGCTATCAAAACTTATACAAGTTATCAAAGTTAAAGGCCATTATCCCATATGTTGATCTTTAATTCTTTATAGGTCCTGACCAGATTCTAGGACCTTCATATTTACTACATTTTTTCTGTGGCTGACCTTCTGTCAATCTGCCTGTCAATCTTCCCCCCAACAATAAGCTGTCAACATACTAGTACACTGCCAGGAAAAGCATGTACATAAGGGGCACTACACACACATTTTGTAAACCCCCACACAATCACCCCATACCTGAAAGTACTCATGTACTTAAGTTGCAAATACTGTACCTTCCGATGGGCAGGTTGTTCCTGACAACTCGTTGGTTACCTCTGGTGTATTCAATGTCCACTGTGATTGGTGCAGAGTACGTCATGTCCCGCAACCGGCACTGCATATAATATCAAGATGACAAGGTCAATAACGATTATCATATTTGATTTCAGTGTTAAGTTCATGCCCGTAGGCAGGGGTAATCTGAAGGTTCAAGATTTTTCTTTGTCACCTGCGAGGCTGGAATCATAAGAAAACGGCTCACTTTGTCATTGAAAAAAGTTATCTCTGATTTTTTCTTTGAAATACTCTCAAAAACGCAGTAACTGCTATTTTAGAAGGTTAATTTTTCAAAATTTCCCGGGGGAGCATGCTGGCGCTCGCTGGTTGGCATTTAGATTGAGAACACAGTGGTTAGAAAGTTTAGAAAGCCATACATTAGAATACAACAGGGTTAAAAAGTGCTCTACATTTGATATATTGTACTGGGAGAAACAATTTTGTTTTGGGCTGAATAAAATCTTACCTCATGCGGTGCAATAGGCTTGGTGATGTTGAAACCTTCCTCCACATCTGGCATCCCTACGTAGATGTTCAAATACCTGCAATGGGATACATGTACATGCTTATTGTATATGTTCACGTTGTTGTTTTTTTCTATTCCATACTGAAGTTTTCACCTTATTTTCATGCTGCCATGTCTTTATTGCTTTTTTAAGTAATTGGCACTAGACAGACACTCTACCTCATATTTTCTAACAAATATCATTGAGAGTGGAACTCATTGCCACCATAGAAAGCTTTAAACAACTTCTACAATAGATAATATGTTGAACCACTCACACCCTTACTTTTTTAAATGTAGGTGACTTTAACAGTACTCACTTTAAGTAAAAGTTGGGGTCAGCATCACTCACAATCTTCTCATTGGCTTTCATAATCTTCTTAATCTGAAAATGTGAATATAGATATAGAGATGATAGATTTGCAGTACACAAGTGGCCGTCATTGAATATAAAAAGTACCGCAAATATAAAGTGATTTACAGTACTTGTTGACCACGTTACCTCCACATTGATGAAGTAGTTGAAGGAGTCGATGTGTTGTTTCACCAGACCCTTCACCTGGGAAGAGAAGGACTGGGAGTTAACAACGTGAATTTCTCATAACTTATGTTATGTCAGGAATTCAAACTCAGAACTTTCGGGACCAGGGATTCAAACCCAGAACCTTCCAAATGTTAAGTCAACAAACCTAACCACAAGACCACCTTGCCATGCCACTGTATTTTGTAATAGTTGAAGGAACTGTGACTGTAAATCTACAGAATTTGTTAAACGTTTAAGTAACTCTATAGCAAATGGAGCGGCTTTTGGGGGAAGGTGGTATACTTTGTAGAGACTAGAAAGTGTAAAGATTAAGAGACTCTTAAGAGACTGGTTTGCCGTTTTATGTTATGTTAAACTTACCTTCAGGAAGGCTGGTAACAACTTCCATTTCTCCTGAAAGTGACAAAACACATAATTTGAGTAAGATGCAGATATTTCATTATGTCTGCTATCAATTTGTGAATTTTATACTTGCAAAAGCGAGGTTTGTATTCAGTAATTTGAATACGACAAAATTTACAAAATTATATATGGTAACACAAAACGTCACACTGCCCCCCCCCCCCCAAAAAAAAAAAACAAGTGTCTGACTGTAAAACCAGACGCAGAGCAATACCTGAATAGTGTTCAGTGGTGACGCAAGGTTCTCAAGGTGCTCTTCCATTCTCAGACAATCCTGGCATTACTTCTTTTTCCTAAGAAACTGAAGATTTTCAGAAGATCTAGACCGCACGTGAGTTTTTCCCTCCCTCTTTCCAAGTTGAACTTTGACATGCCTCCCTGGTACAAAGGTTAGGGGTTAACATTTCTTTCTGAATTTAGTACATTTTACTGTAAATTCATGTCATATTACATATTTTATCGTGTTTGTATTGAATGAGAAACTATATGTGTGTTTAACATCATTTATGCAACAGAAATGATTGGAATAAACAAATATCTTTTGATGGTCAGGCTGACTTGCGAGGTAAACTGGATAATCAGGCAGAGGTCAACTCGGCGGGTCAAATATTGCCAGGCGCCTTCATTTCCTGAAAAACACGCAGTCACTTTGTTCTGCCGTTTTCCGAGAAAACAGGACGTTTCCAACAACACAACCAGCCATCTATCCAGCTAACACAAGCCTGTGGTCGATTTTGTCATATTTTTAGCCTGTTGAACCCACCGACTGGCAGAAAGATGGCGGACACCGGTGGTGACAACGGTCCAGGGAAAAAGGCTGCGGACAAAATGTTCAGTTTGAAGAAGTGGAACGCAGTCGCCATGTGGAGCTGGGACGTGGAGTGTGATACCTGTGCCATCTGTAGGGTCCAAGTCATGGGTAGGTTGGGATACCTGTGCCATCTGTAGGGTCCAAGTCATGGGTAGGTTGGGATATACCTGTGCCATCTGTAGGGTCCAAGTCATGGGTAGGTTGGGATACCTGTGTCATCTGTAGGGTCCAAGTCATGGGTAGGTTGGGATACCTGTGTCATCTGTAGGGTCCAAGTATGTATAGAGGTGTTCATATATGTACAATGTATGTATAGAGGTATGTACATGTATGTATGTGTGTATACAAATTGATTGCTTCATTGATTGCTTGATTGATTGAACAATCTTTCTTGCCTCAACAGATGCCTGTCTTCGATGCCAAGCAGAGAATAAACAAGAGGACTGTGTTGGTAAGTGGAAAGCATGCTGCATAAATTATGTAATAATGACCAGGGCACCAGGCCTTGTGAATATGACACCATATACACCTCAGGATGGACGATTACCCTTAATAATTACGTTTGTATTTGTAATATACAAAATGTTCTGTATAACTCTTAAGAACAAAATAATGAGCAGCGATTTCACCATGTCTCCTGCATCATATTTGTAAATTGACTAATATTGAAAAATTCATCTTTCTTATGCGCTTTGATCATCCATTTCAAATTATATTTTTGACATCACTAAGAAACGAGAAGAAGCTGAACCTTTGTATTAGTGTAGTTTTAGAGCTATTTGTACTACAAACATGTGTATTACCTTTTCATCTGTTCACCTGTACTTGGCCCGATAGCGCATGAATGTACAATAAAGGTTATTATTATTGTTATTGTTATAAATAGATGAACCGTTGTAATACTGTACAGTCTGTTATTTTGTACTTTGTATGCCCAGCACTGCCTGAAAAACAGGTTTTTATATAATATGAGTGTTCATGTAGTTGCTGGTGAAATAAATAAACTGAAACTGTTGTTTTGTTGTTGCAGTGGTGTGGGGAGAGTGTAACCACTCCTTTCACAACTGCTGCATGTCGCTGTGGGTGAAACAGAACAACAGGTGCCCCCTCTGTCAGCAGGAGTGGGTAGTGCAGAGGATCGGGAAGTAGGAGGAGAAAACAACATGTCCATCTACAGACCAGGGTTTTCTTCAGCCCCACGTTGTGCTGTTGTCTCATCAAACCATGGAGTTAAAAATACAATCAAATTCAAACCTAGGGATGTGTTTAAGCATGGAGTTAAAAATACAGTACTGTATTTTAACTCCATGGTCTAAGGCATCCAATGCAATTTTTATGGCGAAACCACAAGTGTTCTGGAAGATTGAGGAAATCTTTATGATATTGACATTTGCTGCCATTCATTGTCACATTTTGTCACATTTTAATACTCGAAACGTTTGAAATAACCCCAAAACAAGCTATGTGAGGTATCCCTTTATTTTTTGGGTCTACCTTCCATAAATAGCTAGCACAATCCTATGATACATAACAAGCAACATTTTTCCATGAGGGACATCCCCATTTTTGCCTCACAGATAACAGTATACAATTTGATAGGATTGACCAGAAAATTGACTTTGAAAATCCAGTTTTAATTTGCCAGCCTAAAATTGCATTGGATGCCATTAAATGACTATTATAATACCTGTAATTATCTAGGTACGGGTCTGGACCTGGTTACCTGTACCTGAACAAAACACTATTGTCGTCACACTAAAGTAACCTACATGTAAACTGCATCCCAGACAATAAATGTAGAGATGTTAAACCTTGGGTTGTATTAAAATTAAATGAAAGTTTGATGCAGATTCCAGAGTAAAAAGCCTGCACAAGAAATTATTGTTTCACAAACATGCTACATGTATGATTGTGTTTCAGCTGGTTCCTAAAATCCTAGTACCAGAAGTGAATGAAATATACGGAAAGTGATATTCAATTATTTGCACACTCAATGGAAAGGCAATGTATGGAAAATGTTCTCTATGAGTTCTTTATCCATATAAACTTGTTCAAAAGGACAGAGACTTCTAGACGACTAACCGTATCCAGTTCGAGTGGGAGGCCACTAGAAGCATTTTAAGATCTATTAAGTAACCAGCTACAAGTGAATTCATTTGGTTTTCGCCAATCTTCGCTCACTTCGCAGATAAAGATGTTGATAAGAGTTTGTTCCTTGCAAGGTCACATATTCACACGACCTGACGCACGCCCAACCATCATTAATTATGACAAATGACACGAGCCGTACAGAAGACGAGTCCTTTTGTTACACACTTGATTATAGGTCTAGGGTCAAGAAGCTCTGACCAATGAACGACCTTGATGGGGTTATGACGATAAACTCACGTTTTCACGTGTACAGATACCTGAGACCCGGTCTGGTACTATAGAGTGAATGAACTTTGTGACATTATGAGAAAGGATCATTCCAGTAGAAAGGTTTAGAAAGTACAAAGTATTTCATATTCTACAACATGAGTACATGTACTGTGAAGAAATGTCGCGACATTTGAAAGCAAATACAGTGTATTTCTCTCCACTTGTTGAATATTCCAAAATGACTTGGGTAAGTTCTAAAGTCAACTATTGCAAGTTCATCCCAGTTCAAAAAGAAGCAACCCCGATTTGACGAGCTAGACCCGACGCACGTGTACCTGTCCAACCATCATTGAGTATGATAAATGACTTAGATAAATCCTTTTGTTACACACTTGATTAGAGGTCTAGGGTCAAGAGGCTCTGACCAATGAACGACCTTGATGTGGTTATGACAATAACTTCACGTTTTCACGTGTACAGATACCTGAGACCCGGTCCGGTATAGTGAATGAACTTTGTCACATCAAGAGGCAAAGAGGTAGAAGATCATCCCGGTAGAAAGAACGAAGTATATCATATTCTATAACATGCGTACTGTGAAGCAAACAAATGCACTGTGATAACTCTATGTCCAAACGAGAAATGCCGACATTTTCGAGCAAATACAGCGTATTTCATTCCACTGTGCAAAGTGAAAAATTTCAAAGTAACTTGCTTGGGTAACTATTGCAAGTTCATCCCAGTTCAAAACGGAGCAACCCCGATTTGACAAGACCAGACGCACGTGTACCTGTCCAACCATCATTAAGTATGATAAATGACAGAAACCGAACAGAAGACGAGTCCTTTTGTTACACACTTGATTATAGGTCCAAGGCCCAGACGCTTTGACCAATGAACGCCCGAATGAGTCATATTCTTGACAACTCCCCTAAATCGTCTGTTTTACATAAAATATGTTCTGAAAGTCTGTCAGAGTTCACTTTGTCACGGCGACACGACAAGAACACATCGTTGAGACAACTCTCCGTAGCTTTGTAACAGTCAACGGGCACCCGATATAATCGTGAGTTAATAGCTTCGTTCAGTAACCAAGATAAATATAGAATACTACACGGTGTATTCCCTATCGCCCGAGGTACCAGCCCGACCGCGGGTCGGATCACCCGAAGGCCGGAGCGCAGTCCAATCCGCGGGAGAGCTGGGACCGGGGGTGATGCGGAATACACCGTGTTGTATTTAATTAATGCCATACCCACCCGAGAAAACAGACATTATAATTCGAAATGTGCCAAAATTTAGTGTATCTAAACAAAAATTCCAACATTTGAATTCTGTACATGTGTTTGAAGTTTCGAGAGCGGCGCACTCGTTGCGCGCGAAATTGTGTTCGAATTATTCTATGGAGAGATTGCATGTAATGAAATTTTCTTGACTATGTGAATTTGTCAACTATATTGGTTGGTCTCTTAACATCTCGCATCGCGTGCTGAGATGTCTAGTTCCTAATACCCTCCTTGGAATACCAAAATCAAACGAATAAGACGAAAATGTAAAGAAATTAATTTTAAGAGTAAATTATTCGCCTTATCGTACTCTGTGTCATTTGTTCAACCTTCATGACCACGTAGATTTCATAATGAAAGGAAGATTTTTTGTATTAGGTATAAGGCATTAGGTAGAATGAAAACGGCGACCTACGCTCTACGCAACATGCGCCAATTACGCTCTACGTTGAACTAGAGCGGCCCGTCTACGCTCTAAGTAGAATTAAAACGTCCGATTACGCTCTACGGGCATGCGGCCTCCCTAGTAACAAACTTCAGTAAAGCTTTTTACTCGACGTTAAATTCTTCATACCAAGCCTTGAGGGCACACGAGGGGTTACACGAGATGTCAAATGAGGAATTATGACGATAACCTCACGTTTGCGCGTGTACAGTACGGATGGTACTTGTATCAAACTTCAGTAAAGCTTAATTATCACTTGACGCTCTTCATAGCCATGCCTTGAGGGCACACGGGGGGTTACCCGAGATGCGGTCATGACACTACAACATCACGTTTTCACGTGTGCAGATACATGTACCTGATGATGTGCATGCATGCCCGGATTGAAAGTGAGCACGTTGGCAGAACGTACTGCATCTGCGCGAAACCCATAATGTATTGTGCATAGCACTTCGGCAGAACCTAACGTAACCTTAGTCACATCGGTAGGCACAAAGGGGAAGCATCATGCCACCATAAAAATTACAAAATACAAAACCAAAAAAAAAAATGTAGTTAGAGCATAGGGATGGGCCGAGAGGGCGGGTGGGTGTGAGGTGCTGCAATGCCGAGTCGATCCGGGAACAAGTTTGATCTACATTGTATCAGTGGATATGGGCCTATATGGCCAAAGAATTGATGTAATTGATAAGAATACAGTATATACTCTTAACTGAATACAGTATACACATACTTTTTAAAAAGAGTATAAAGTAGTAAGCATTTCATATACTACGGCGTGAGACATGTGAAGGAAAACACATGTGCTGCATTTAAAATCTATGTCCAACTAGAGATACCGACTTAAACGATAGACGATGACACCGCATACTGAATAACTGCAATAACTAATGTTATAATAGATGACGTCTGGACTAGTCGGCTACTGGCCTCTGAATACTGAACACGGCGCCCGTGACGTCAGTGGATATGGGAACCATGGTGTGGAGTTCGGAACTGAGAGGGCGGAGGGACCAGGGGGGAAGACTGGAGGAGCCTACTACTTCGCCGGGACCTACGGTAAAGATTTTTATACTTCACTCCATACTGGTTATGGATGAAATGTGCTGTTTTTTCTTATGCTTTTTTCTCCTTCTCCTCCTTCTCTTGCCAATCGTTTGATGGATTCAATTTCTTCCATTTTTTGGCAAAATGACCTGAAAATTGATATGAAGTTAGAGTGGATTTTTTTTACATTCTTACATTCTTTTCATTTTTGGCTCCTATGTTCTTATGTTACAAGCAAATGACCTGAAATTACATTAATCAACCATTCTTTCCTTCCTTCTTTCCTACATTCATTCATTCATTCATTCATCCATCCATTGATGTAACATCTGTTTTATTAAGTATTTTTTCTCGTGTACAATCTTTAAGAATCTCGGGTAGAATTTTTAAACAACGGAGCCCTGGACACCCCAAGGTACCAGACCTTACAAGCTTGGATCCGCCCGGACGAGGAAGGATCCGCGGGGCCGATCTTCAGTTACATGCGGTGCCTGGACAGCAGCCTCTATGACTACGGGGTCAACCTTTGGCTTTATCCTGATCAAAGCCAGATTTGCATTCAGTAAGGCATTTTCTTCGTACTCCATCTATAAAGGAGCATTGTGAACATTTTCGGGCCACATTTTATTCCAAGAAATATTCGTGTGATTGCAATTTACGTCCATTTTTCAACATATACTTGTGCAGTTATTTCACATTTCTGACATAGTCGACATTTATGTTTGGAAGTATACAAAAAGCCTACACGAGGCGCCCTCAGATTTTGGTGGCACCACAAACTACGAGAATGTAAACAAACATGGCTGAGGCCTAGGCACACTCGCAAGGTGGCATATTTTGGCACCTTTTGAAGGGTGTGACTTTGCATAAGCGTAAAAATGGGTACTGCCTGACTTCTGTTTGGAACGTAAAAGGCGGTGGAAGGAGAGGGATGGGCTCCGCCTTCCAATACCATACCCTACTAACATGGTGGTTCGACAACCCACTGCCCCTACGGCCTCAAAAAAGCTAGGCTACGGGACTACTTTCTTGTCGTGGGGTCGTGTGGCGTACGTAGTAGCAGCGTGCTCGACTCGGAATCAAGAGGTCCCAGGTTCGAGTCCTGACATGCCACCGATCTTGTGCCCCTGGCGCCGGCCCTTGGAAAAGGCACTTTACACGACTTTCCTCACTAAACTCAAGTGAAAATGAGTATTGTCTTTGTCCTGTATTCGTCCTCTGCGTTGGTGGTGTTGATATAACTTAAGCGTGCTGTCACCATGTCTAGTCATGAAATGTTGGAATATAAAAAAAAGACTACTTTCACCTTTTGTTCTTCCCCCTGATCTCTCCAGATTCGATGGTCTTGACGCCCACAAAGGGCAGCCTGAGGTGACTAAGGGCGGGATAGAAGGCGGGGTTTGGCAGTTCGTGTCGGCCACCTACGACCGTACAACAGGCCGGGCAACTCTGTACGTGGATGCTGAGGAGGTACAGAATCATTCATAATCATTCATGGCAGCTATATGCACTACTAGACAGCAAATAAACACCGTAAGGAATGTGCAAAGCATATTACCCTCTTTCATTATGTTTACCGAAGGGAAACATATTGTTTTTGCTCAGTTCCTTCTTCCGTTTTAAACATTGACCTCTGACCTGGTCAATGGCAGGAACCAGACCGTCTGTCACCATGGTAACTGGTATTGGGTTACGTCATGTTGCAATTTTATGATAGGAGGGATTTAAAATCCTGTCACCATGTGTGTGTTTGAGTAAGAATTACCAGAGCAGATCATATGCGAAGGTAAACATTAGGCTTCGAGCCGGATCAAGCCGGATTGAAGCCGGATCAAATATTAAGCGAATCAAACCGCCTCGATCCGGACAATTTTATCCTAGTGGGAATGGGGCCTAAGACGTTTCTGAATGCAATTGCTACAGGTGCACCATAAGGATGTGGGGACTGTGGATCTGGCCACTCACTTCAAGGTGGTGATGGGCGGTAAACCGGATCTGAATGGAAGTGTGGACAAGCGCTGCTTCAAGGGGCGCATCGCTCACATGCAGGTACACTTCTGTCTCAATCCTCGACACTGTGAACTTAAAGACATCCAGTGGAGTTTTTGGCGACGCCTCAGGGGGAGCCTAATAGTACAGTATTATGTGCAGCGTGCAAGAATTTTAGGAATTGTACAGTAATTTTATCCACATGCATGAAATGTCTACAGGGATGTCTCACACCTCTGGAATTTTGCTGACACACATCTATGCCCACGCTAGCCTTACTTAGTGGAATGATTCCTGGAAACCATTGGGAAAACCTTTCTGCATGCAGGGATGTCCTACTTTATCTCTTTAAAGCGGTGTGCAACATGTTCTTCCACGCTACTAGTTATAATAAGACACTATAGATATATGCATATATTTGTGTATATATACATTTTTTAACGGAGTGGTTCAATGCAAGGCCTATACGACCACTTCTCGGCATTGAACTAGAAGTATGAAAGAAACATGGCTATGTCAAGAGATGGCGGTGATGTGAAAGCCTGTAGATTGTAGTTTGGTGGGAAACACTTGTCAGGAAGGGAATTCCAAAGCTTGGCCGTACGGGGAAAGAAACTGTCACTGTAAAAAGATTTCGAGTAAGGAATTTGGACGGCGAAGTTGTGTGTAATTAAAAGTTCAACTATTGACTTTCAGGTATACAACATCGCCCTGACCAAGGAGCAGATCAAGGAGTCCATGGAGACTACCAAGAGAGGGTACCACTAGGCCCTGATCTACGTGCAGGTATGAGTGCAGGAAGACGATAAAACAATGTTATATGTATGCAAACAACTGCTTAAATTAGGAATGAATTTAGTGTAGATTAATCAAGGTGTGTTGTTTGAAATTTACGAATAAATGAGTGAATTCATGAGTGAATGAAAAAAAGTATCTAAAAGACAAAGTATCTTCTGATGTGGAATCGTATCAACTAACAGCTTCATTCTGTTTTACATTTGCAGGCCGCCACGTGTTTTACATTTCGTGAGAAAGGCTTCAATGCTTCAGCTTTGCAGCGCAAAACTAAAGATTTCCTATAGGGGTGTGGTTTTCATAATTCGGAACGATAACAGTATAGTTAAGAGTTAGTACGTAATTTGTAATGTGCAACGGTCTAGTTTCTCTAAGGTCTTACATGGCTTGTCTGTGAAAAGATCAATGTTCAAGCAGAAATTATTCCATCTTAAAAATAAAGATCAAGAACGTGAACGTATCTAGAGAGTTTGAAATAGCCTGGTATCCAGTCTGATTCGTGGTCGGGGCCGCACTCGGAGCTCTGGCCCGCCCGCCTCACATAAGCTTCCCGGTGTATTTCACGAGAGATTAATTAGCCCTCCACGAACAGTCTATCGTGTTGGGGGAAACCAAATCCCCGAGCATACTGTCTCTGATTAGCGTAACACTCCTACCGGGACGGTCTGTTGCACTGGGCGGGGGAAGCTCTTAGAGGCCCCGAAGACACAACCGGCCTAAACACCCCAATACCCCCAATCACGATCAGACTGGATACCAGGCTAAGTTTGAAAGGCATAAGGTAATTATAAATATACACTTGTGATGATTAATTGTGTGTGTATTCTCACATATTCCCTCATGAGCTGGTGCTTAGCCTGAATAAACATCAAACAGTTAAGAACGTTGTTTTTTCTGTGTTCTTTCAGTATGAATAGTTTGGGGGAGTACAGGTTGTGCGTAGTGGAGGGGACTAGTAGCCAATAAGCTGTTTTTCATGACAAAATCTACACAGTAACACTAATGCCACCGAAAACATACATACCCTCTTGGTGCAGGTAAATATGGGGACCTTTGACAAGCATAGCGTTGTGTTTACAGCGCGGCACTACCCGTTACTGTAGGGAGATGCCTTTTGTGCCAAGCAGGTGTAGTGTTACGTTTCTGGTTGCCCATGGCAGCAGAACAAGGCGTGTAAATACAATGCCAGACCTTGACCCCACCTACACGAACGCCACTGCCTGCCATTTTTTTTCTTCACAAATTCAGACTTCTGTGAGGATTTTGGAGCAACGAAAGCACAGAGAACCATCGTCCAACCATGGCTGCTGCGGATTTTCAACAAGAAGAGTTTGACGACAAGTTCCTGACTTGTGATATCTGCAAGGAAATCTTTGAAGACCCACGAATCCTGCCGTGCCACCAGCAGCACACCTTCTGTTCCAGGTGTCTAGAAAGAAGGCAGGAGGGGAGCCAGTTTACCTGCCCTATCTGTCAGCACCAGGTGGAACTAGGGCGAGCAGGTGTCAGCAGTCTTCCTCCCAACCTCTACGTTAAGAAATTACTGGACTTCAGAGCCCTACATAACAGTAAGAAAGCTCGTGCCTCCTGTGGAATGTGTGACTCTGCAGCTAGTGTAGAAGGGACATGTGGGGACTGCCAACTACTGTTATGTGGAAAATGCCTGATCGCCCACGAAAACACTCGAGCACTGAGGGGTCATTCTTTCATTACCCTAGATGACCTGAAGAACCCCAGTAGAAGATCACAGTACACTCGGGCGGAGTATTGTCCCAGACACAGCAACGAACGCTTGGCGTTCTACTGCCGACCCTGCGCCAAGCTCGTGTGCCGCCACTGCAAAGAGCACCGAGGACGGAATCACAATCCACAGGAGGTCAGTACAGTCGCACAGACGTTCAAGACTGAACTACAGACATTGCTACAGAACCCCAAAGATAATGCTAAAATTCTTAAGAAAACTGGCAGCATGGTTAATAAAGAACTAAGCAGCATCACAACAAACTGTGACATAGAGGAGACGAAAATACAGGAACACTTCGCACAGCAGAGAGAAGAACTGGACAGAATGGAGAAAGAGATGAGAGAAAAACTTAGAGACATGGAGAGGAGTCAGAAGGAACCTCTGCTTCAGGAGAAAGAAGAGTTGGAAAAGACTTTAAGATCCACGGAAGAAGGACTGAAATCCTGTACAGATGTCTTAGGTAGAGATAATGATGTAGAAATTATCACACGCAGGCAACAGCTAGGAGCCAGGCTAGAAAATCTGGCCCAATACCAGATTCAGCAGCACAGACCCCTAGAATATCATGACCAGGTATCATTTCTGATCCAACCTGCAAATATTATCTCACATTGTGACGTGACCCTGATTTGCAAGCCTGTAGTTTTCACAGAACTTCCTACAGAAAGCCTGCCAACAACTGTCATTTATTACAAATCACAGACGAGGCAATTTCAGGGAACTCCGCAAGTCACAGTCACCTCCCCTGGGGGGCAGTGTGCCAGATTAGACACTACAGAAACCAGTGAGGGTGTGTTTGAGGCAGTCTGGAGGCCACAAACGTCAGGGAAGCATGAGGTGGGGGTGACTACAGGGGGTGGTACTACAGGGGGGAGGGATGGTGCTACAGGGGGAGGGGATGGTGCTACAGGGGATGGGGTTGGTGCTAGAGGGGGTAGGGGTGGTGCTAGAGGGGGTAGGGGTGGTGCTAGACTTGGTGAGGGTGGCACTATAGGGGGAGAGGTGAGATTGAGTTCCCCTGTTACAGTAGATGTGCGCAGTAACGATCCTGTGCTGAGATTCGGGCAAAAGGGTAGCGAGCAGGGGCAGTTTGACTGGCCTATAGACGTAGCAGTCATGGGGGACAGGCTGTATGTCGCTGATTTTTGGAACAGTCGTGTTCAGGTGTTTGATCTGATTGGGAAGTTTTGCTGCTCATTTTCAACATCTACAAACCCTGCATCAGTTGCAGTTCAGACTGATGGCACCATAGTGGTGCAGGGTGGTTATGAAGTGAAGAGGTTTTCGTCATCAGGAGCACTGCAGCACAAATTTCGTCTGGGTGAATATTGTACAGACCCCCATGGTCTGGCAGTACAGTGCGATGGGAAGGTTGTTGTAGCTGATCGAGGCAAACACAGCATCTCCCTGTTTAAGGCTGATGGGGCATTGGTGAAACAGGTGGGAGGGCGGGGGAACGGGGAGGGGCAGTTTGACAAGCCATATGTCGTCTGTGTGGATAAAGAAGACAACATCATTGTGGCAGATAGACACAACCACCGTGTTCAGGTGTTCGACAAGAATCTGAAATTCCAACATAAGTTTGGTCAGAAGGGCAGACAGCCACAGGACATGTGGGCTCCTCGCGGGGTGTCAGCTGACAGCAGGGGTAACATAGTTCTGGCAAACATTGGGGGTGATGATGGTATAAGACACAGCCGAAAGCTTCAGGTGTTCCGCCCAGACGGCACCTGGGTGTCCACCATTAGCAGTGATGGGGACAAACTGAAGGTTCCCTGTGGGTTGGCTGTAACAGAGGATGGACATGTGTTTGTAGCTGATCCTGAAAACCATTGTATCAGGAAATACAGATACATCTGAGGAACTTTTTTGCTTTCAAAATTAATGTGTAAGTCATCTGTTTATAATTCACTTACTAGTACCCATTTATGAAACTTTGTATCATACTTGTTTTGCAAAATTCATACAACAATGGTTCTGTTTTGGAGAACAATACATTGACAATTGACGTTTATTTCCTTTTGGACTTTCAAAACAAACAATACATACTCATCGTGGCTATACACAGTTGCAATTTACTAAATGAATGTTTGCCTTCTTGCTTATCAAAATAATTTTGTTCACGAGCCATGATTTCAAAGCTAATGAAGAAGAAACAGTTCGTTTTTTTTTTCTGATCACATATTAAGGCAATACACATACGTTGTGCTGTAAGATATTCAAACTAGCATGAGATTTCTATGCTGGAAAACCTGATATTTGCTGAGTGCAGTTGTAGAAAAATAGGCTAGATAGATAAGGCTAGATAATATAAAGGATATTTACCTTAACACATGCACATTGTATACATGTATGTATTGCACTGATTGTATTATGCATGTTACTGACAAATGGAGGGCATAGCAATGCTTGTGAAGTTTGAGTCACTGCCCAGAGGGTCAACATGTTAATAAAGATCCTTTAAAACATATAAAATTGTACAGAAAATTGACCTTTCAAATTACATGTAGTATGAATTAAGTGATTCCAATATTCAGACTTGTATCATATTACATGATGAATCGCTTCCTTCCGGTATATGTAATCACCAGTTGTTTGTGAACTGATTCTTTGTTGCGATCAAGGTATGATTAAATAAATCATTCGCTGTTTTTTTTTATGATAAATGCAGCAAGACTTGTCATTATATTAGTGATTATATTAGTGAACTAGAAAGGCCAATATTTGCTTTGGAGCAAATACAGCGATGGGTTCACCACATTTTACCACATGGCAGGGAAAGAATGAGAAACACAAGGGAAAACAATGATTTACATTGATATAACTATAATATGAAGTAACATACAACTAAAACAACAGTTGGATAGCTATTCCCTACTTTATTGGTTAGGATTTTTAATTGCATAATGCAAACTGTTGATTTTCAAAAAAAAAAAAAAAACGTTCATGCCCCGCATTCCAATGCTGGAGCAGAAAAGCTTGAAATACCTACCAAAACACTTGAATAAAGACTTGGGGCGTATCTATACGGAACCACCCAAGGCGGTTTACATGTGGTTTACCCCGAAGCCGGTTTCAAGTGGCTCCATCTGAACGCTCCGAAATCACATTGAAAGCGCCTCGATCCCAAGCCACTTCTAGAGGTGGTTTCGAATCGCTTTCCCCGCATCGCGATTTGCGTCTGAACGCAATGTGATTTCAATGTGACTTCGCCTGGTCATGGATTACGGAGTGGTATTTCTTTTTTTATATGCAACACCAACTTTTACGTGGCAGCAACTTAAAGAGCAGTAACGGTCAAATAATGTGTCCGTTCTAGGGCGAGCTTCACCATCTCTGGCGGGACCACGTCGGCATTCGGCCGAGATACGCTGGGAGGGGGGTATCAGCAAGCAGGTCGTTGACCTCTGACATTAATAACACGCCGCCTTGCGTGTTATCATCAAACAGCAATAAATGTAGCTCAAGCGTATTGTGTTCGGACACGGTTTCACAGGTGTGTGTGGCACGTGGACCAGATGTGAGGAATGTGAGTTACCCGAATCGCGCCTTGGGTGGTTCCGTATAGACACGGCCATACTGTCAGTATGGAAATACTCTGTGCAGGTGTTAATCAAGTTAAATCCCAACAGCCAATCAGCAAGAAATGCTCTGTGCAGGTGGAAATGCTCAGTGTGCAGGTGTTAATCAAGTTAAATTCCAACAGCCAATCAGCAAGAAGTATAGAGGAAAGCTGCATGCCTATTGGTTGATGCCCTGCATTCCATTGTGATGACTCATGCCCAGACGTGGTAAACATGGCACACTAACACAGTAATACATTAGCTATAATACAGCCAAAAAACTCAAATAAAACCATTCTAAAAGCCTGTATCACAAAAATTTAAAAAACGCCTAGGGGTATTTGCCCACTGTACCTCCATACCAAATTTCAGGACCTTAGGCCCTAAAATGAAGAAGCTGAATCCATTTAAAGATATGGCAGGAGGAGGAGGAGAAGGAGAAGAAACATCAGAAAAAGCAATATGGTTTCACCACACCACTTCGTGGTGTGGTGAACCCATAATAATATACAACACCCGCGCACATGAATTTTCGGCGTTTTCAAACAAAAAAATTAAGTTTTCAACCATACTATAGTGAAGAATCGTACAAAACAGTTGCAAAATCTGCAAATGTATACCGTAAGTTGCCAAAAAATATTGGAAAACGATAAGAATGCCAGAATCAACCGCAAAAGACGAAAATACAAACAAAATGGATCAGATTATTCACCAAACCATACTCATGTGTCATTTGTTCAACCTTCCTGGCCGCTCACTGATGGATGACAGAGAGGAGTGGAGGAGAAGGACCCACTGTTTCCCGTGATGACATTAATATGTCCACGTTCAACGTTCAACTTCAAGATTGCATCATGAAAGCAACTTTTTTCCAAACTTTTTCTTTATTCGAACGCTCGCATTTAGTTTGGGGGTTCCCAGAGGATGTCATCCATATAGTCAAATCAACATGGCCTTAGATCAAAACTCGTCATTTCGTTTTTAGCAGAGAAAACCGATTGCCCAGTTCCATGACCATGACGACCGATTTAAGGTTGTTTTTGGGAGACGGATAATGATAATCTCTGCCACAAATAGGTTGTTGTGACAAAAGAAAGTCGGCAGGGGGCGCCTATAGCGTACCTTGGGTTTGACCCCGGAAGAGGTTACAGTACAATTTGCTGGTCTGGGCAAGCAGCAGAAAGCCACCTAAGGCATGTAACGTCGGCTTGCATACCGGTGTCAACATAAATACTGGTATTAATGGAGAAGGTAGGTCTTAGAGAAACTTCTCGGCAGTTTTAAGTCTGGTAATTTTGATATCTGATGATTTTTGATCAACGTTACTTTACAGGTTGAGATACCGCCCCCCTCCCCCAGTAAGGTACCGGCACTGTAGTATGTGGACTTTGATCTGTACATTTTGTTACTTGACACCGAATTGTAGTGAAGTACTGCTTTGGGCTTGTATCCTCTGTGTGTGCGTATGTGTCAGTCTGTGTCTATATGTGTGTGTGCGTGTGTGTCTGTGTGTGTGTCTAATGTGTGTGTTCATGTCTATGTGTGTGCGCATGCACATTGTGTGTGTGTGTGTGTGTGTGTGTGTGCAGTGTGTGTGCATCATGCATGTGTGTTTGCATGTGTATGTGTGTATGCGTGTGTGTACTAGTACATGCACATCATGTGTGACTGTTTCAATTAGTATATATACCACACATTGGACAGCTGAATGTATAGTATACTACGTAACAATACCACCAAACCTACAGCTAATTCTCTATCAGACGCAACACATCGAAGTTACTGTATTGTAAGTATAACACTTCAAAGTACACAAGTAACAGCCATCTCTCTCTCTCTGTCTCCCAGGTTTCCCTCTGTTAAAACTGCAGAACCAGCTGACCTCTGACCTGATGTCTGCTGCCCAGGTGGTGCGGCGGGTGGCCGTGTTTGGCGGTACCCATGGCAACGAGATGTCGGGCGTGTACCTGGTGAAGCGATGGCTGCAGAACCAGGAGGCCATCAGCAGGCCCAGTTTCCAGACGGTGCCCTGTATCGCCAACCCTCGCGCGGTGGAGCGCTGCCGACGGTACATCGACGTGGACCTCAACAGACAGTTCACACAGGAAAACTTCAGGTGATTAATTATGTTTACTTACTTGTTACTTGTTACTTGATAAGGTCTCCTCTTATGATGAGTGGCCTGCGTCAGGATTCCTTCGTCTCTTGCGTACCATTTTGCGCCATTCCGGGCGATTCTGGGCCATCTCTTCCACCTCACGCAACTCCAGCTTGTTGTTCCCTTTGATCTTCTTCAGGTCCTCTAGTACACTGTTAAGCCAGGTTTTTCTGGGTCTTCCCCTGGATCTTTTCCCATGATTTGGTGTCCAGTCCAAGAGAAATCTGGGAAGTCGTTCTTTGGGCATCCTCAAAACATGACCCAACCATCTAAGTCTGCTGGCCGATACAACTGCCTCAATACTAGTGGTCTCTGTCTGTAAAAGTAATTATGTTTACCAAAGGAAAACATATTGTTAATGCTCTGTTTCTTCCTCTTCTTCTTCTCCAAACAGTGACCTATGACCTGACCAATAATGTTGCAATTGCATGGTCTGCTCTGCTCCTGTTACCATATACTAGTGGTACATGTACATTGTGTGTATGTGAATGTGTTTGAGTAAGACTTAACAGAGCAGACCATGTCCGAAGATACACATTATGCATTTGCTTTGCAAATAGTACCTTTCTAGTTTGTATATTATGTTTTGCTTTCTGTGTGCGTGTAGGTCAATGGATCTAATTTCTCCAGTATTGCATGTGTCTGACTGTGTGTATGTACTTGTGTTTATACTAGTTGTTTCCACATGTTAGGCATTTTGGGAACAATGACAGGAAGCCAGGTCAAAGGTCCCAGAAAAGGTTATCTACATTTCCTCAGTATTGCATGTGTCTGACTGTGTGTAAGCTTGTCTTTGTCATTGTCTTTATTGTACAGTTAAGTACTAGTTGTTTCCACATGTTAGGCATTTTGGGAACAATGTTAAAAATGTTGATTGATGATTTGTTTTACAGTATGGAAGCTCCACCGAGCACTGCGCCCTACGAGGTCCACCGAGCTGTCGAGCTGAACAAGAAGTTTGGCGCAAAGGGGGAGTCATTCGACGTCATCATTGATCTACACAACACGACATCAAACATGGGGAACTGTCTCATCATTGGCTCATCAACGGACAGCTTCACACTACAGATGGCAAAGTACCTGGTTCAATGGTCAGGACTGGTGTGCCCCGTGTTCCTCACCGAAAACCCAGCACCACATTTGAAGATGGCAGATACAACGAGCATGAGTGCTCATGGGATAGGTAAGCACCTACGCAGAGTGAAAAACTTTTAAGTAAATTTTTTGTGTCTTGTTTGTTTGTTTCTTTGTGCGAGTAAATCGCCTTAAGCATAATACATTCAACTTGGTTTTGCTTGTTTTTAAGTACAAGGTGAAAAAGATCCTGGAAGTTGATTGGTTCTGTTGGCTTAATAATGATACTCTTATGCTCCAATTTTTGCCTCTTCGCTTCATTTTTCTTTCATTTCCTTTTTTCTTCTTTATCTTAAGTTGTTATTTCTCCCCTGTCCTACATTTAGAGAATTTGGTTTTTGACATTTTTGGTCCCTTCCTTCATTGGTTCCCCAATTAAAAAACAGTCTCAGTCCTGTGGAAATGACCATCCTTAGTGTCTTCTTAATTCATTATTCTGAGTATATTGTGGGTAAAGTCAGTGCTTGAAATTTCATCTGTGTTTGTAGACTTGGTATTCTGAAATAGGTTTGAACTGTAGTTTACAACACAAGACATTAGACAAAGTTTCTGCTCTTCAACTGAAGTCTGTGTAAATGAAGATATAAATGAAGACTAAATTTGGATGCCAGTTTTCTATATGTAACAACACAAAATGCTCTCTCTTCCCTACCCATTTCCACAGAAAATGGACATTATGGCCCAAGTTGCCTGCGATCAGTATCAAGACATGGATTATGTGAGTAGAGATGAAGATTTTAAGTTTCCTTGTAGAGAAAATAAGAGAGAGAGAGACAGGTCAAAATTAAAAAATCTTATTACATCTGAAAGACCACAATAGTCTTTTAGCCTTTTCATAAGTTCACTTTTTCACCCAGTAAACTACTAGTAGGCTGTCCTTTTCTTCATCTTTCCTTGCATCCTGTTTTTTTCTGTCTTCCATTAATGAACACGGGGGTAAGTGAAGATAGACCCCAAGGTTGTTTCCTAAGCCCCGTGACACATTCAGAACCTTTGCCCGAACACCAGCCAATAAAGGTAGGCTGAAATTTGGTAGCAGTCTGACCAGATTTAGGCCACCCCTACCTTTCTATACAAATCAAATCGAATTTGAGTTAAATTTGAGTCAGATTTCACTGCCAACTGAGCCCCAACCTACTTACCTTAGGTGTATAACATGGGGAAGCATTGCTGTTATAAGTCTATTAAGTTTAATTCTCTCATTGTTGTGTAGACATGATGTTTATCTTCTATTCTATTAGTAAATTACTGTGTGATGAAAGGTTGGGTGTTTTTTCCCGTGCAGGTTTAGAGCTGGGTGCCCAGCCGCAGGGCGTACTGTTGGCTGATGTCTACCTCCGACATGAACGACTGGTGCACACCTGTCTCGACTTCATCCACAAGTTCAACCAAGGTCAGCTGGCTTGCCATGAATCATTGATGTACATCAGTATTCTAGCCAGTGTCCGTCTTTCTGTCAGCTGACAGAATTTTTGTCATTTACAAGGCATTTCAATAAAAGTAGTACATGTATCTGATTCAAGTATTCTGGGACCATCAGAATGATATTTCTAGTAAGTCTGTTAAAGTAGCATCAGGTGTTCCCCAAGGAAGTATCCTGGGACCATCCTTGTATCCATCAACAATACACTATATAATAATTACATATTTCTATCTGTTTGTTCTCTGGACAGGAGAGATTTTCCCACCTGCAACACTGGAGGTGTATCGAATCCTCCACGTGGTGGACTATCCCAGGAACAAGGACAATGAGCTGACAGCAATGATCCATCCAGAACTACAGGTCTGTTCTCACTCTCCCTATCTGTGTGTGTGTGTGTGTGTGCGTGTGTGTGTGTGTGTGTGTGTGCGTGTGTGTGTGTGTGCGTGTATGTGTGTGAGTGTATGTGTGTGTGAGTGTATGTGTGTGTGTGTCTGTGTGTGTGTGTCTGTGTGCGCACGCGCGTGTGTGTGTGTGTGTGTGCGCGCGCGCGTCTATGTGTGTGTGTGTGAGTTTGTGTGTGTGTGTGTGTGTGTCTGTGTCTGTGTGAACAATGAACCGGTACACAGCACTATAACTTGTGTGTGAAGTCTGCTACATTGTACCGCTACATGTAGTTACGTGGTTTGGGGTTTTAATGTTTTTCTAGGACAAAGACTGGCATCCCCTGAAGCCCGGAGACCCCATGTTCCTGAGCATGGACGGAAAAACTATCAAGTACGAGGGCGAAAGCACCATCTACCCAGCATTCGTCAACGAGGCAGCGTACTACGAGAAAGGCATTGCATTCTGGGCAACGCAAAAAGAGACCCTGAACGTCCAGGAGTTGCAAGTCAAGGCTTAGTCAAAACAAAGGGAAGTTTTGTTTTTTTATCTCCTCATAGTCACTCTGAATGTGTAGTGAAGATTGATTCTTCTCAGAGACATGTATGTTAGAACAAAGCAACCAGCCAAGGTTTTATTTCATAATACATTTACTGTAGTTACTTGTGATGGTTTGAAAAAGAAATTTGTTTTAGTACATGTATTACTATTAGTCAGCTGCACATACCAGTATGCTGGCATTAAAGGGGCATTATGTATATTACTAAACATATTTGCACCAAAAAAGGGAAGTATTTTAATCGACAACATCTCCTTGTGATTGTAATTTACTTCCATGTTTCAACATATTTGTGCAATTATCTAACATTTCTGACATTTATGGTTGGTGCTAAACCAGCTCACCCAAGGGGCACTCGGTTTGTGGTACCACCACAAAATACCCCCCAAAAAACATGGCTGACAGCTGTGTTTCCAGCTTAGACACTTGCAAGGCATCCTATCTTAGCACCTCCACTTTCTGAATGGCACTTGCAATTGAGCAGGGTTGATTCAACTTAGTTTGTTTAAGAAATGACTAGAAAATTGGCTTTATGTACATGTATCATCCTAATGTCACATAATGCAGCTTTAAGTTTGCAGACATCTACAATGGCTACTTTAGAGTGCGAAAGGCATCTGGATTCTACATGAAATTGGCACTTTGAAAGTTGTCTAAATTAATATTGTTCTACACATGTGGATTCTGTGAGAGTTCAGGTATCTACCGGACTTAGTCAAGTAACTGTTGTTTTTAGTAAAATTTCTTTGTGCAACTGTGTCAATGTACTCAAGCCCTGGAGATTTAGCAATTAAGTATTTTATGAAGAAGCAGCATAGGCCTTTTTTTTTTAATTTTAGAGAACCTGGACTGAAAAAGGAAAGGACCAGATGTGTGACCATAGTGAAATTCAGATTGTGACACGTCAAGCCTAGACAAACAGCTTACAAATTCCTTGTCATTAATTCCTATCTTCTCAAGTTTAATCAGGATTGTCTGTCATTCCAAATACCACTACTGAACATGAGTGTGGTACCAGTGTAACAGGCCAGAATATGAAATGTACCCCATAGCCAGAATGTACCTGGGTACACATTCTGTCCAGGGTTACGTTCTGGCATGTTACACCTGCACAATTTGCACTGTGTTTCAGTGTTCCATTCATCCATGATGATATAAAAAGATGACTATTTAGAAATTATCGGTGTAGAGAGAATATGAAGGTTGTAAATAAACCTAAGTAGAAATTATGAAAATTAAAGTATGATAATCATGATATCACTGTCATTCTTCATTTGAAGAATTTTTCATTCACACCATGATATTACATTTGAAAAACCTAGTACTTGTACTGTTTTTATTACATTTTGTGTCCTTCTGTATCTGTATAGCCGGTATAACCGCTTTTCAGCATAACACACAAGCTTCGCAAGCACGCGGCGCGGCGGCAGCTGGCTATATTACACCGATCGACTTGTTCCACCTAACACATCTAACTCTAGACATTGTTTAAAGCTATCTAATGACAATGCCCCTACTGTACTTGGTGACAGTGAGCTCCACTCTGCGATTATCTAGGAAAGAATGAATTCTTGAACACCTCAATCCTTGCTTGATAACTCCCAGACTGGTACTTGAAGGCATGGTTATTTCTTGTTCTCTTCTGGGAATCTTAGAAAATAAATACAACAATGAAGACAAACACTTCCTTTTCCAAGGTCACACAGACAATATGTATTGGACATTCAACTCATATACATATACATGTACATATATTTATATATTATTTCTGAGTACACAAATGTCATGTTGAAATATATACGCTCTTTTTAAAAAATGGCCATATACATATATACAATTTACACAATATATATATACAATGTTTGACATGAATAACGTTACATGTTTTTCAAATGTGTGGTTACTCAGACGTGACAACATTTTCACATGGTAGGCAATTTCTACATTTTCTTACTTAGATAAAATCCTCCTTTTAAGACACATTTTCATGTGATAATAAGGCAAAACAATTTCTGCAACTTTCGTATGTCAAATGATTATCCTTTCACAAATCCAAACTTCCTAAATTTAGCCCTAAAACTCTCTTAAGACTGGCGCTATAAGTTATGTACAGACTGGCATGTGGTATATGGGGGTCCCTTTTTAAAAACACAAACTCAAACGTGGGTCGCAAACTACTGCTCGAATTGGTCATATTAAGGGTTAATCCTTGGTCGAATCATTGATTCTAATTTGAGAGAATTTTCCTCAATTTCCTGTAAAAAGTGAGTACCAGGTACATTGAAAAAGTTCACCTACTTCTTTTCATTTAAGTTAATAAAAAAACACACAATTCTTATGTATAAATTAAATTCCTTTTTACTATAGGAGGGGATGTACAATGTAAGCCCTTGAAATTAGGTTAAAGGATTAAAATAGATAAAGTCCAAGCTAATGCATCCATCCACCAAGGGTATCTTGTCTCTCATTCAACAAAGTAACCAATCAGTGAACCACAACCCGACAACAGCATATCACAATATGTCCAACACTCCATTTTTTTCTTTTTTTTTAATTTTGTGGGAGAAGTTGGCGTAGGCTGAGCCAGTGAATGCCGCTGCCGGGCTCTTTCTAATTATACCACACCAGAGATGAGAACCCTTGGGGATTAGATGACCATCATGGACATATTAAGCTATCTGCCAAACAGAAATAAAGTTAAATTTGAAGGGAAAAGTGTGATAATCTAGGGCCTAAACCATCTGCCAAACAGTGAAATGTTTTGAAGGAAAAAGTTTTTTTAGTAGGACCGTACCAATATTGTAAAAAAATTGTAATAATCCCAGGACCAAAAGTTGACATATCAGAGTTTTGAATTACTTCAAATTTAAAAATAAACTACCTTAGCTGCCAAACGGAAATGTATGGAGGAAAAAACTTCCCAAAAATATATAATAATCCTGTGACCAAATCTTTTAGTTCGGTACTCCACGTATAAGAGTTTAGATTACTTAGAATCCCCCATGACAATACCTCCAAAAGCCAGAATGTATTAATTTAGCCACCTTCTGCATTCAATAACTTAGGACTAAATAGTCTACCTGTCCAGCAAATTCTCATGATTATATCGAAACTTTGCCTCTAATTTACCACTTTTGGGGAGGTTGGTAAAATTCAATCATTTATACAAAAATATCATGTTATTATTTATACAATACATTGTGATACAATACATACAATACAATTTCCTGTTATTGTGTTAATATTATCCAGACAAAATTTCATGCTATTATTTATATAATACATTCAGTATCCAGTTTTGGTTTTAAAGTTACTGTACAAGACATGTTTTCATACTGAACTGGTGACCTTGTTTTTTTTCTTCCTTTTTTTCAAGGCGGGTACTGAACCACGGCAAGCTCGCGGTCAGAGATTACTGTGAAGGTGGTCCTTCCACCCAGGACCTTAAATGAGTCCATGTAGAATTGCCCGGCCGGAACATGTTTGGCCAGCTTATGTGCTCTGTCTGGTCCAGCTGGAGGGGCGTGCAAGGGCTCTGCATTAGATGGGAGGAGGGTCAGACCCGATGAAGGACGGGGCTCATCTGGACCAAACAGCTCTAGTGCTACTGTTTCATCATGTGATGTTGGGGACATAACGACACTGAGCACTTGTCGAAGACGTTTTGGGGTGAGGTCAGTTTGGGTACTGGTGGTGGTGGTTTGAGATGTGAGGTTACATGTTTGGGTACTGCTGGTGGTGGTTTTACATGTGAGGTTACATGTTTGGGTACTGCTGGTGGTGGTTTTACATGTGAGGTTACATGTTTGGGTACTGCTGCTGGTGGTTTTGACCGTAGATGTTTGTGTTGAACATGTTTGACATGTGAGGTTACATGTTTGTGTTGAGCTACTCATGGTTTGACGTACGGCGTAGTCCGTCTCGTTGTCCCCTGTACCTACTGCAATAGTCCTGGTACTTCTGACGTTGTCTACTTTGTCGGTCCCGGATCGAAAGGCGTCGTCTAGACTGTCTGAGAGGTACGTAGAGATGGACTCGGCATCACTCTCCGATTCTGCATGTGCAGGTCTGAGGATAGACAGGTATAAGAACATGTAACAGTTTATAAATGTTTGACTGGAAGGACATGATGTAAATTTTAAAGTTTTTCGCCTATTTTCTCGCTACTTCCCCAAGTCTTCTTAAGGTAATGACTTACAAACACAACGCTGATAGCTGTAAGCCAACCAATCAATGACTTTTGAATAAAGATGAACTTACGAGGGCCACCAGAAGCCACCTGACTCAAGAATCGCCAATTTGCACTTTAAGTCTTCAATCTCGAGCTCTGTCCTTGCCAATCTGTGGAAGGGGAGGGAGAAAAGTTGGTTTTGAGTACCTTATTATGGTACACAAGGTTTCAGATGTACAAACAGATTCAATCTTTCACTCCAGTGCTCTGATTTCATCTTGACCACTTGCTATTTTTTTAAATGTCAGAAAACCAAGGAAATGACATAAAGACTGGCCTAATATCAAACAGTTTGCCACACAGAACTTTTGGCAACGAAGCCTTCCAAAGTTTTTAACAGCAGCTCTTACTTTATGTTTGCAGCTTCCATTTCAGATTGACATTTGATCATGGCTTGATGTTCGAAGCTGTCCGTCTCGTTGTCCTCTGTACCTACTGCAATACTCCTGGTACTTCTGACGTTGTCTGGTTTGTTGGTCCCGGATAGAAAGCCGTCGTCTAGGCTGTCAGTGGAACAGATAGACTCAGTATCACTCTCCGAATCCGCATGCGCAGGTCTGAGGATAGACAGGCAAGAACATGTTAAATGTTTGACTGGTTTTCACCTTTTTTTCTTGCTAATTACCAACAGAATTGAGGATATGTTGCACTTGTGTCCCTAAGTATTCTTAAGGTAATCACTTAAAATCACAACGCTGATAACTGTAAGTTGGGCAGCATCAGCTGCGTGTTAGTCAAACCAATCAATTACTGTTGAAATAAAGATAGACTTACCCGTGCCACCAGAAGCCGCCTGACTCAAGAATCGCCAATTTGCACTTTAAGTCTTCAATCTCGAGCTCTGTCCTTGCCAATCTGTGGAAAAATCAGGGAAAAAAGTTGGTTTTGAGTACCTCATTATGATATACAAAGTTTCCAATATACAGTCAGATATAATCTTTCAATCCAGCGCTCTGCTTTTATCTTGACCACTTGCTAGTTTTGAAATGTCAGAAAACCAAGGAAATGACATAAAGACTGTTTGCCACACAGAACTTTTGGCAATGAAGCCTTCCAAAGTTTTTAACAGCAGCTCTTACTTTATGTCTGCTTCCTCCAGTTCCCCAAGTAGCCTGCAGGGAGAGAAAGAAGTTAAGATGGATAGAGGGTTCAATTGAGAAAACTAGAAAGATAAGTAGCTGACCATGAAGATAACGCTAACAGAACTCTCAACTACACGGGACCCCACCCTGCCACCACCCAAAGGATTGTAGCACGTTCTACATGTATTAATAACATTTTGACTGCTTAAGCTCTCTGTGGTTAGGGAGAAGTAAACAGTTATGTTAGGAGCTGCTATATTTCAGCAGTACAGTAGGGGTCAGAGTTACATCATCACTGATGCATAAAATTGCCCTCAGCATTGTTTCAAAGCCCTCTTAAGCAACATGATATACACTGATATCTAAGTGTACAAAACTTGATAAAATACTGTAACAGCAAAGTAACATACAATACCTAATGAATAAAAAGATGTACTGAGAACATTTTAGGGAGGTTGAAAAGTAATGTGCAACCACTGTGAAGTACAGACAGAAACATACTTAAGAGCTGAAGTAAAACTCGACAAACAACAGCCTACCTTTTGTTACAAGACTCTTCCTTGTCTTTGGACTCCGTTAACCTGTAAGGAATTGGCACAAATGTCATCCATAGGTCTCTGTGCAAGTGTCCATATAATTACATGTATTATTATATTAGATTTAAACCAACAAACAATCAAGAAAAAAATTATCAAAAGAGTTCACAAACCTCTTAAGCTCTTTCTCCAGGTTCTCCACTTTCCTGCAAATGCAGAAAAAAAGCACACACTTTTAGAGTTCTCGGAGAGAGAGCGATGGTACGTGGCCTGGTTAAATCACACTCCCTGTGTGGCCCTCAGACTGATCTGTTCCCAGACTAGGCTCTTCAAGGCAACTGACTTGTAAGCCAGATGGAATCAGGCCTGCCTGGTTCTCTGATGTTAAGCATCTGACTTTTGTTTCAGAGTTTGAGCTTGTGATTTCCATTGGTTAACGTAACTGTTCCTAATCAACTAATCTTTAGTAAGCTTCCATGTTGACTCCCATACTGGCCTCTTGTTGGTATTTTAAATAATGTTTCCCCCTAGTTGTTCAAAATTCCTTCCAAAGTTAGTAACAAATATATCAGCCCAACTAAGACACAAAGATAACAAAGGCATACCTGTTACCTATGTGGGGATAGTATTTGGCACCAAGGACTATGCATATGCATGGCATATGTACCAATGTTGTCCTGCTTACCTAGGTAAAACGTTGTCTGGTTCCAACCACACAAGGTTGGGTTCGGTGATGGCCAGGTTGGACCTTGTGGAAGCTTGGTCAGGCATGAAACACACTATGTGGGGTTGGGTTGCAGTAAGGTTACGTCCTGAGTTGGGCCGGGTGTTCAGATCAGCTTGTAAGCTGTAAATGATAAAATCAAAAATAAAGGAAAGATGTATTCCACATCAAGAACTTTATGGTGTGTCATTAAGGGACTTAAGGTCAGCAAAATGCAGATGAAATGACTATTAGTGTCAATGATTGTTTAAAACGATCTATAGATATAATGAACAGTTATGGAAGACAAAGTTGGAGTGAGAGCAGAAAGAGCCATGAAGGCTTACATACGTTTGTAACTCTTGAATCTCTGCTGTCAGTTGGTCATTAACAGCATTCAGCTCAGCAATGGTCTTGGTGCTGCAAGTATTTAAAACAATCATTGTTTAGAAATGCTGCAAAAGTTGAAGACATAACAAACAGGCATGGAAGACAAAGTTGGAGTGGGAGCCATAATGGATGACATACCTCGTCTCTTTCAGCTCTGTTTCCATTTTAAAGCAAATAGCGTATAGCTGATCTATGCGAAAGTTGGCCCTGCAAGCATTTAAAACAATCATTTTTAATTAATAATGCAGATCTGGGACAAAAGTTTCTTTTCTAGGGGAAAATGTTATAAATGCAAAGTGAAAAATAAAGATGATGACAAACCTCGTCTGTAACCCTTCCAGCTCTTCTTCCAGTTTGTCGTTGGCATCGTTCAACTCATCAATGCTGCGGTTTGCCCTGCAAGGATTTAAAACCAATCATCTTTCATGTAATAATGCAGCTCTGGGACAAAATGTTCCTTTGTAGGGGAAACTTTTGTAATAGTTAAAGATGTTAACTTCAGTAGATATAATGAACATGTAAAAGACCAAGTTGGAGTGAGAGGAAGAAGACCTACGTTCTTAGCTGCACTGTGAGGTCTTCAACATTCCTGTTATGAAGACAAGAAAACAATAAAGATGTCTGTGATTTCATATATTGCTTGACTGCAATAAAGGTAATATCCAACACAGTTTTGGTTTATTATGATACATGCTTGTAGGCAGTGATTGTAGTTACCAACCCTCCTGTTTATAATAGATCATAGACACATTTTTAGGCCCTGTAAGGAGCGGTACCCCGACCAATACAGTCAATGATGATGACAATGAGACACATGCCTGAGGGTTAGAATCCCTAGTTCTGGACTCCAATGTGGACATGGGATCTTTTTATGGAGGAACATCTAAAATCTGCTAATCATATGTCCAGGTATTTCCTGTGTTTAAATTGAATAAAAGATATCCTGAGTACTTACAGTCTCATTGCTGTTAACTCAGCCTCTAACTGGATGATGTAAAAAGGATCAACGTCTGCTGTGGGGATGTCATTACTGTCATCAGATGTCCTGGGGGAAAGGGGGAATCAGAGTTATACTTCTCAATAGGACTGTCTTTTCTTAAACCTTAGAATAAATTGAATGTGAAGACAAAAAATTCACATGGATGATGTAGGGGAAGGTGGGAAAGGCACTGGAGGTGAAAATCAAAGGATGGATGGTGGATGGTGTTCAGCACCAAGGAAAGGTATGTTCAGCTTATATATATATATCAGCCCCAACTAGACACAAATCAATGTAACAAAGACGTGCCTGGTGCCTGTAGTATTTGGCACTATATGTAAGGACTATGTGTAGCTTGAGTACCAAGATGGTCCTGCTTACCTAGTGAGTTGTTCAACGTTGTCTGGTTCCAGCCACACAAGGTTGGGTTCGGTGATGGCCAGGTTGGACCTTGTGGAAGCAAGGTCTGTCTCCTTGGCCTCTGTACCTACTGCAATACTCCTGGTACTTCTGACGTTGTCTAGTTTGTCAGTCCTGGATGGAAAGCCATCATCTAGGCTGTCAGTTGAACAGATAGACTCAGTATCACTCTCCAAATCTGCATGCGCAGGTCTGAGGATAGACAGGCAAGAACATGTTAATGTTTGACTGGTTTTCACCTTTTTTTTCTTGCTAATTACTAACAGAATTGAGGATATGTTGCACTCGTGTCCCCAAGTATTCTTAAGGTAACAAACACAACACTGATTATGCAGCTGTAAAGCCAAACCAATCAATGACTTTCAATGACCAACTAGACACAAAATCAATGTAACAAAGACAAGCCTGGTGCCTGTAGTATTTGGCACTATATATAAGGACTATGTGTAGCTTGAGTACCAAGATGGTCCTGCTTACCTAGGTTCAACGTTGTCTGGTTCGAGCCACACAAGGTTGGGTTCGGTGATGGTCAGGTTGGACCTTGTGGTTGCTAGGTCAGGGGTGAAACACACTATGTGGGGTTTGGTTGCAGTAAGGTTACGTCCTGAGTTTGGCCGGGTCTTCAGATCAGCTTGTAACCTGTAAATGATAAAATAAACAATACAGAAAAGATGTATTCCACATCAAGAACTTTATGGTGTGTCATTAAGGGACTTCAGGTCAGCAAAATGCAGATGAAATGACTATTAGTCTCAATGATTGTTTAAAACGATCTATAGATATAATGAACAGTTTATGGAAGACAAAGTTGGAGTGAGAGCAGAAAGAGCCATGACGGCTAACATACTTTTGTAACTCTTGAATCTCTGCTGTCAGTTGGTCATTAACAGCATTCAGCTCAGCAATGTCGGTCTCGGTGCTGCAAGTATTTAAAACAATCATCTTTGATGTAACAATGCAGCTCTGGGCATTATGTTTGGACAAAAGTTTCTTTTGTAGGGGATTTTTTAAGATAAATGTCAAGTCACAGGTAAAGATGATGACATACCTCATCTGTAACTCTTGGATCTCTGCTTCTAAGCTGTCAATGGTATTCTGCAGTTCAGTAATGCTGGCATTGGCCCTGCAAGGATTCAAAACAATCATCTTTGATGTGATAATGCATCTCTGGGACTCTGCTCATTAAGTTGCCTTGGTACAGCCAAGAAGGTTATAGTCTCCAAAAAGATTCATTAAAATTGTAGATCTACCCCAGAATCTGTGATCTCATCTCCTTCATTTCATTATATTCAATTTATCTTTGTCAGAGACTAGCTCTGTGCTAGCAGTGTTGGAGCTGCAGATAGAAAATTGAAAGAAATGCAGCTTTAATGTAATAATTAATGCATCGATGGGACAAAGAGACTTTTTATAGAGGAAAATCTTGAAATGCTGATCATGTAGGTATTTCTTGTGTTTCACACAAGCAATCCTAAAGGTTTCACAAATGTCAAGTGGTTTTTAGAACAGATCAAAGTATAAGTTCAGTAAGATAATTCTTTCAATCAGTGACTATTAAATCCTAAGGTACATACCTCCGAATTTTCGACGACAGTAGTCAGTTCGTCTTGGTCACGGCTGGGAGCTGCCTAAGCCCTACCTACCTCTACTCCGCAAGGAGGCAGAGGGGGGCAGAAGATCCACGCAAGTCTCGTCCTTGTCTCGCGTTATCTTGCGAGACTAGGATTATTCCGTGACCAAGACGAACTGACTAGTCGTCGAAAATTCGGAGGTATGTACCTTAGGATTTAATAGTCACTGATTGAAAGAATTATCTTACTGAACTTGTACTATACGTGACTGATGAATCTCTTCAAAGATCAAAGTATGTAATCAGTGCAATCATTTGTTTAGAAATGCTGCAAAAGTTGAAGACATAACAAACAGGCATGGAAGACAAAGTTGGAGTGGGAGCCATAATGGATGACATACCTCGTCTCTTTCAGCTCTGTTTCCATTTTAATGCAAATAGCGTACAGCTGATCTATGCGAAAGTTGGCCCTGCAAGGATTTAAAACAATCATTTTTAATTAATAATGCAGATCTGGGACAAAAGTTTCTTTTCTAGGGGAAAATGTTATAAATGCAAAGTGAAAAATAAAGATGATGACAAACCTCGTCTGTAACCCTTCCAGCTCTTCTTCCAGTTTGTCGTTGGCATCGTTTAGCTCATCAATGCTGCTGTTGGCCCTGCAAGGATTTAAAACCAATCATCTTTCATGTAATAATGCAGCTCTGGGACAAAATGTTTCTTTGTAGGGGAAACTTTTGTAATAGTTAAAGATCTGATGTTAACTTCAGTAGATATAATGAACATGTAAAAGACCAAGTTGGAGTGAGAGGAAGAAGACCTACGTTCTTAGCTGCACTGTGAGGTCTTCAACATTCCTGTTATGAAGACAAGAAAACAATAAAGATGTTTGTGATTTCATATATTGCTTGACTGCAATAAAGGTAATATCCAACACAGTTTTGGTTTATTATGATACATGCTTGTAGGCAGTGATTGTAGTTACCAACCCTCCTGTTTATAATACTCATAGACACATTTTTATGCCCTGTAAGGGGCGGTACCCCGACCAATGCAGTCAATGATGATGACAATGAGACACAAGCCTGAGGGTTAGAATCCCTAGTTCTGGACTCCAATGTGGACATGGGATCTTTTTATAGAGGAACATCTAAAATCTGCTAATCATATGTCCAGGTATTTCCTGTGTTTAAATTGAATAAAAGATATCCTGAGTACTTACAGTCTCATTGCTGTTAACTCAGCCTCTAACTGGATGATGTAAAATGGATCAACGTCTGCTGTGGGGATGTCATTACTGTCATCAGATGTCCTGGGGGAAAGGGGGAATCAGAGTTACAGTTCTCAATAGGACTGTCTTTTCTTAAACCTTAGAATAAATTGAATGTGCTTTCAAGCATATGTTCAGATGTAATATTATGACAGGCAATAAAATACTGAACAATTTAGCAAGTTATTATGGCATAGTTCTTATGTAAGGATGGTGGACAATTCACATCACATCATGGATGATGTACGTAGGGCAAGGTGGGAAAGGCACTGGAGGTGAAAATCAAAGGATGGATGGTGGATGGTGTTCAGCACCAAGGACAGGTATGTTCAGCTTATATATATATCATCCCCAACTAGACACAAAATCAATATAACAAAGACATGCCTGGTGCCTGTAGTATTTGCCACTATATGTAAGGACTATGTGAATCTTGAGTACGAAGATGGTCCTGCTTACCTAGTGAGTTGTTCAACGTTGTCTGGTTCCAGCCACACAAGGTTGGGTTCGGTGATGGCCAGGTTGGACCTTGTGGAAGCTTGGTCTGTCTCCTTGGCCTCTGTACCTACTGCAATACTCCTGGTACTTATGACGTTGTCTAGTTTGTCAGTCCTGGATGGAAAGCCGTCGTCTAGGCTGTCAGTGGAACAGATAGACTCAGTATCACTCTCCGAATCCGCATGCGCAGGTCTGAGGATAGACAGGCAAGAACATGTTAAATGTTTGACTGGTTTTCACCTTTTTTTTCTTGCTAATTACTAACAGAATTGAGGATATGTTGCACCCGTGTCCCCAAGTATTCTTAAGGTAACAAACACAACACTGATTATGCAGCTGTAAAGCCAAACCAAAATTTGAAGACATAACAAACAGGCATGGAAGACAAAGTTGGAGTGAGAGCCATAATGGATGACATACCTCGTCTCTTTCAGCTCTGTTTCCATTTTACTGCAAATAGCGTATAGCTGATCTATGCGAAAGTTGGCCCTGCAAGGATTTAAAACAATCATTTTTAATTAATAATGCAGATCTAGGACAAAAGTTTCTTTTCTAGGGGAAAATGTTATAAATGCAAAGTGAAAAGTAAAGATGATGACATACCTCGTCTGTAACCCTTGGAGGTCTTCTTCTAGATTCTCGTTGGCATCGTTCAACTCATCAATGCTGCGGTTTGCCCTGCAAGGATTTAAAACCAATCATCTTTCATGTAATAATGCAGCTCTGGGACAAAATGTTTCTTTGTAGGGGAAACTTTTGTAATAGTTAAAGATGTTAACTTCAGTAGATATAATGAACAATCATGTAAAAGATCAAGTTTGAGTGAGAGGAAGAAGACCTACGTTCTTAGCTGCACTGTGAGGTCTTCAACAGTCCTGTTATGAAGACAAGAAAACAATAAAGATGTCTGTGATTTCATATATTGCCTGACTGCAGTAAAGGTAATATCCAACACAGTTTTGGTTTATTATGATACATGCTTGTAGGCAGTGATTGTAGTTACCAACCCTACTGTTTATAATAGATCATAGACACATTTTTAGGCCCTGTAAGGAGCGGTACCCCGACCAATACAGTCAATGATGATGACAATGAGACACATGCCTGAGGGTTAGAATCCCTAGTTCTGGACTCCAATGTGGACATGGGATCTTTGTATAGAGGAACATCTAAAATCTGCTAATCATATGTCCAGGTATTTCCTGTGTTAAAATTGAATAAAAGATATGTTGAGTACTTACAGTCTCATTGCTGTTAACTCAGCCTCTAACTGGATGATGTAAAATGGATCAACGTCTGCTGTGGGGATGTCATTAGTGTCATCAGATGTCCTGGGGGAAAGGGGGAATCAGAGTTACACTTCTCAATAGGACTGTCTTTTCTTAAACCTTAGAATAAATTGAATGTGCTTTCAAGCATATGTTCAGATGTAATATTATGACAGGCAATAAAATACTGAACAATTTAGCAAGTTATTATGGCATAGTTCTTATGTAAGGACGGTGGACAATTCACATCACATCATGGATGATGTAGGGCAAGGTGGGAAAGGCACTGGAGGTGAAAAGCAAGGGATGGATGGTGGATGGTGTTCAGCACCAAGGACAGGTATGTTCAGCTTATATATATATATCAGCCCCAACTAGACACAAATCAATGTAACAAAGACATGCCTGGTGCCTGTAGCATTTGGCACTATATGTAAGGACTATATGTGTAGCTTGAGTACCAAGATGGTCCTGCTTACCTAGTGAGTTGCTCAACGTTGTCCGGTTCCAGCCACACAAGGTTGGGTTCGGTGATGGCCAGGTTGGACCTTGTGGAAGCTTGGTCAGGCGTGAAACACACTATGTGGGGTTGGGTTGCAACGAGGTTGCTTCCTGACTTTGTTCGGGTCTTCAGATCAGCCTGCAAACTGTAAATGATGAATGTTTCAAATTGTCATATATACAACATACACAATCATATGGAAGTCTGGTCAAGTCTGGAATTGCATTGACACAGCAAGACAAAACTAATGGTTTGTTTGTCCAACTCTTGCAAGTCCCTTAATCAGTCCCAGTACAGCATGATCAGTAAGTCGGAACTAAAACAACATAAGAGTAAAATTACAACTGTTACAGCATGAGTAGACTGAACTAAAAGCTAAGGGCAGAAGTGTAGATGTTCCTGTACTTTGTGATTTCTGTATGGAGAAGTCCTGCCAGAAGGAAGGAAGAAAGGAAAGAGGAAGTTCTGCTCACCTCTCAATAGTCTTCTGAAGCTCTTTGTTGAGTCTGTAGGAATGGGATGGGCAGCAGTTAGGAACAGGAAGGAGTCTGCCAGGCCATTTGTATGATATGTTTAATGTATGTCTGTGTCTGTGTGTATTTGTGTGTGTGTGTGTGTGACTGTGTAGAGTGTGTTACAATACTTCAAAGTCTGTGATCTCAACCCTCAGTTCTTTGAGTTTTTTTTTCATAACAAATGACAATTTTCCTTTTTCGTTTGATTCTTGAAGATAAAAGGCCATCCCAACAGCATGTTTTTAATTTCTTACTGGCTTTTTTTCTTTAAACCACAGAGTACACCTATTGTTGCACATTACTCGACTGTAGAACCTTTGCTATAGTTCAAAAGAAACTTACTTCTTTTGCTCCATGAGATTAGCGTCCGCTTCATCCTTCATGAACTGTACAAGTTCCAGTTCCTCCTCAAGAAGGGTGACCTTGTCCTGGTGATGACTGGGGAAGAACTCGCCAACTCCTGCTGCTTTTAACTTTTCTTCCACCTCCTGTCTGCCGGTATGCTCCGAGTGGAGCTCACTGTAACATAAGGTACATAAGGGACGTGCCTGGTGCCTGTAGTATTTGGCACTATATGTAAGGACTATGTGTAGCTTGAGTACCAAGATGGTCCTGCTTACCTAGGTTCAACGTTGTCCGGTTCCAGCCACACAAGGTTGGGTTTGGTGATGGCCAGGTTGGACCTTGTGGCAGCTTTGTCAGGCGTGAAACACACTATGTGGGGTTTTGTTGCAGCAAGGTTATGTCCTGAGGTGGGTAGGGTGTTCTGGTCACCATGGCAACTGTAAATGATAAGATAAAAAATATTGAAAAGATGTATTCCACATCAATAACTTTATGGTGCCAAGTGGTCATTAAGGGACTTCAGCTCAACAAAATGCAGATGAAATGACTATTACTAGTATTAGTGTCAATGATTGTTTAAAACAACTGCAAAATCTATAGACTGTGTGTGGCTTGAGTACCTAGGTGGTCCTGCCTACCTAGTAACTGGTTCTTCAGCATTGTCCGGTTCAAACCACACAAGGTTGGGTTTGGTGATGGCCAGGTTGGACCTTGTGGCAGCTTGGTCAGGCGTGAAACACACTATGTGGGGTTTTGTTGCAACGAGGTTGCATCCTGAGTTGGGCTGGGTCTTCAGATCAGCTTGTAAGCTGTGAAAATCAAAGCTGACTTCATGTCAGACTTTTGTAATGCACTTAATCAGACAAAAAACAGCATAAGTACATACCAATAGAACTCAAACAGCACAGGCATTAAGAATAACAGCAATGCTTGATTAGAGTAAACGCTAGAACCACTATGACATTTATAGTGAACCTATATGTCAGGGTAGTAAAATCTTCAACTTACAAGCTTATGAAACTAGTTTTCAAATCTTGGTACTTTTAACTTCACACCTATAGGCAGCACAAAAAACAGCACACAGACAGCACAATTATAATGGATGTTGCAGGATTTGTTTACCTGTTATTCCTCTGAATCCGGAGCTTCTCCTCCTTGTTTGTAATGTCCTGGCGAATGCTGTAAGGAAGTCAAACAAAATCCTTGAGATTGTGACATCTTTTATCAACTGCTTTACATAAAATCAGTTCATTTTAATGATGTTATGCTGGATAGGGAGTAGACCTGTGGATAGGCCAACTCTAAACCATAGTCAGCAAGAAAGTTTTGTACAAAAATCAGCGTTTACTAGTACATAGAAAGAAATATTACACTGAAATCACTAACTAAATATAGCTTTTCAGGCTCACATGCCTGGATAGAAAAGGTTCTACTGAAAACTAGACCCCAAAAAGGGTTGTCTTTCTGATGTCTAAAATCAGAAGTATTTCATCACCATATAGTGATATATATTATAGAAATACCATAGCTTTACACCATACACGAAGAAAGGTTGTATACAAACTTACCTTGCCAGTGTTTTCTCCATACCAAGGATCGCTCTATGGAAGTTTCAAGAAAAAAAAAAGGAATGACGAAATAGTCTTAAATCAGACAGAAGAAATTAGTACAAAAATCATGTAATGATAGATATAATTCACACAAGAATTCAAAAAAAGTTCTTTGGTTTCATTTTGCATCTTACATGTCCGCCTCATCTAGCTCATCTTGCTCGGTGTCCAGGTGTGATGCAGGAGTTGGCTGGGCAAGCACACAAGCAGGGAAGCTGTAGGGGTAAATGTCAACAAGAAATTATTGAAAACAGTAGTTAAAAAGTACTGTGTTTACCCATGTGAAATGGTGTTCAGCACCAGGGACAGGAATACTTACTTGTTTGGATGTTGTTCAGTGCCAAGGACAAGTGTGTTACTTGTGTAAGGATGGTGTTCAGCACCAGGGACAGGAATGCTTACATGTGTGTGCATGCTTTTCAGTGCTAAGGACATGTGTGTTTCTTGTGTAAGGATGGTGCTCAGCACCAAGGACAGGAGTGTTATGTGTGATATAGAAATATCATTGCTTAACTGTAAGAAAGGTTGCACACAAACTCACCTTTCCAGCAATTTCTCCATCTTAAGAATTGCCGCTCTATGGGAGTTTAAAAAAAGAAAAACAAAAGTTATGAAACAGTTTTAAATCAAACAGAAGAAATTGAAACAGAAATCAGGTAATATTATATATAATTCACACAAGTTCTTTAAAGAGTCTCATTTTGCATCTTACCTGTCAGCCTCATTTAGATATTCCTCAGAATCCTCTGACTCAGAATCATGTGGCTCCTCGGTGTCCAGGTGTGAGGTAGATTGGGCACTCTCACAACCAAGGAGGCTGTAGGAGGAAATGTCAACAAGAAACCTTTTATTAAAAACAGTAATTTTATAAAGTACTAGGGACATGTGAAATGGTGTTCAGCACCAGGGACAGGAATGCTTGCTTGTGTGTGCATGGTGTTCAGACCAAGGACAGGTGTATTATTTTTATAAGAATGGTGTTCAGTGCTCAGTGCCAAGGAAAGGTGTGTTATTTGTGTGGGGATGGTGTTCAGCACCAAGGACAGATGTGCTATGTGTGAGGATGGTGTTCAGCACCAAGGACAGATGTGCCATGTGTGAGGATGGTGTTCAGCACCAAGGACAGATCAGTTACTTGTTTGCAGATGGTGTTCAGCACCAAGGGCAGGTGTGTTTTTTGTGTAAGGATGGTGTTTAGCACCAAGGACAGGTGTGTTTAGCTAAGTAGCAAATATATCAGGCCCGATAAGACACAAAATTGGTCTAACAAAGACATGCCTGGTGCTTGCATTCCTTTGGCACTTAGGAATGTGTGTGGTTTGAGTACCTACCTTGTGACTTGTTCAACATTGTCTGGTTCCAACCACACAAGGTTGGGTTCGGTGATGGCCAGGTTGGACCTTGTGGAAGCTTGGTCAGGCATGAAACACACTATGTGGGGTTTGGTTGCAGCAAGCTTGCTTCCTGACTTTGTTCGGGTCTTCAGATCAGCACGTAGGCTGTAAATCATAATTGTTTCAAAAGTGTCAGATATGCAACATACACAATTGGATGTCTGGACATGTCTGAAAGGGTATCGAACAGCAAGGCAAAACTAATGTTTCGTTTGTCCAACTTTTGCAAATTACTTAATCTGTCCCAGTACAGCATAATCAGTCAGTTTGAACTAGAGCAACATAAGGGTAAAATTATAAATGTTACAGCATAAGAGTAGAAGCTAAGAGCTAAGAGCAGAAGTGTAGATGTTCTTTGTACCACATGATCTAAAGCTCTGTATGGAAAAGTCCTACCAGAAGGAAGGAAAGAAGGAAAGAGAGAAGGAAGGAACAGGGAAAGAAGGAAGTTCAGAGGAAGTTAATGTTCTGCTCACCTTTCGATTGTGCTCTGCAGCTCCTTGTTGAGTCTGTAAGAATGGGATGGGAATAGGTTAGGAACAAGAAAGAGTTTGTCAGGCCCTTTGTATATTAGTGTTTGTGTGTGTCGATGCATGCAATTTTGCTTGTGTGTGTGTGTCTGTGAGTGAGGTATATTGTATGTTTGAGTGTCCGTGAGTGTGCGTGTATGTGTGTTTCTGTGTGTGTGTGTTTGTGTGTGTGTGCGTGTGTGTGAGTGCATGCCATTGTGTATATGAGTGCATGTGTGTGTGTATGTGTGTGTTTGTGAGTGCATGTTTTGTGTAAGTGCATGCGTTTTTCTGTATGTCTGTGCATGTATGTGCACCTAATATTGCACATTACTAGACTGTAGAACCTTTGCTATAGTTCAAAAGAAACTTACTTCTTTTGCTCCATGAGATTAGCGTCCACTTCATCCTTCATGAACTGTACAAGTTCCAGTTCCTCCTCAAGAAGGGCGACCTTGTCTTCGTGATGACTGGGGAAGAACTCGCCAACTCCTGCTGCTTTTAACTTTTCTTCCATCTCCTGTCTGCACGTCTGCTCTGAGTGGAGTTCACTGTAACACAAAGTACAGAAAGTACATCTTAGCTGGGTACTTGACTGGATAGTTTATGAAGAATCACAGTGCAGTTTGGGACAGCAAAAAGTAATGTTGTTTTATTTCTAAAGAAAAGTATTATAACAGTTACTGTTGCAATGATTTTTTTCACACATTTAGACGTTAAGAATATGCTGTGATAGTACTAGAAAATTTGACATTTTTACATACTGTACGTAAACCTACAAAAATATTGGTGCACTGGTGTACCCACAGAAAAAAATTAGTTTTAGAACTAGTTGAATGTACTCACAGTCTTGTGCTATCTAGTTCCACACATAGCTGAGCTAGGCTAGCCTGTGTGGATGCCTTCTCCTTCTTGTATCCCTTTATCTCCTCCTTTAGATTTTCAGTCAGGCTAACAGAAAAACATTTTGACTTATTTTAATATTTCATAACACTTTTGTCTGTGAATAGTATCTGATTCCTCTTTCGTAGAAGTCACCATGATAACTTTTACCTTCTAGTCTTTGACTAGCAGGTACAGTCAGCCCTTATTTTGAAGTTAGAGTGAACTAAGTTTGCTGAGTACTTACAGTCTCTCAGCAGTCAGCTTGGCCTCCAATTCAATGATAGTATCAAATATGTCAGGTTGCTCTTCTGAGTCTTTTGGCCTGTTTGGGGAAAGAACATTTCAGTTAATAGCATCCTCTAGTAATCTTTTCTCAAATCTTAGAAGAATGGTGCATCTTGAAGAAAACATGTATGAGAACAGGCCAGTATTTAAGTACTGATTAAGTGATAAGAACAGAAAAGCATCTACTGGAGATGGTGAGATAGAGGAAAAGAGTCAGAAACATCTTAGAAATATCTTAATCAGGATAATGATAGAAGGGCTGGCAGGTCAGGTATCAGAGACCAGCTTTTATACTGCTGTAGGAGCCAATGGGAACAGGTGACTTTACAATCAATAAAAACAGCAGAGAGATATGATTGTAGGATTGTTAGTTTATAACATACAGGTTTTTGTCATCTTTCTGTGCTGCGATCTTCTTCTTCAGCTTCTTATTTTGATGTTTCAGTCGAGCACACTCCCTGTGGAGTACAAAGAAATGACAGCATTGATGGGTTAAGTTATCTACAGGCTCTCTCAAGACTATCTTTAACACTGGGATACATGTGTATGCATACCTTGGATATACATTTTGTAACTGAGGCTGTATTAGCAGAGATCTTCACAATTTTTTAACATGGTGGTCTTAGCCTCTTGGAATTATGAGAGTGACTTATAATTTGTTGTATGTCCAAGAACTGTGCGTGCTGTATACTCACTCTTTGTAGTGGGACACTGTTTCGTCCGTTATTGCTGTTAACGCAGATAGGCTGAAAAAGAAAACAATGGGAAAATCTCAGGAAAGTTTTGGCACAAAATAAAGATGCTTTGAAACAGCAGTTTTCTAATTTTATACCTACATGTAGGCTAAGTTTACATTTTGATTTCAGCTGGCTGAACTGCTAAGTGCACAGTATAGTTTTCTATAATCCCTAACTAACTACACATTAAATTAAATATCATTTCCATCTAGGTGAACTAGTACATTGGTAATGGAGCATTTAACTCTAACTAAAAAATCCCTAATTAGCTGCCTAAGAAGTTTAGTTCCATCTAGCTTAGCTGATCACTAAAGTGACTTAATCTGCAAATAGATCCCTGAGCTAACTGTTTCTAGTTCTAGCTAGCTAAACTGAGTCCTTACTGGGAGCTAATGCTGTCCTCTGATTCTGACCTGTCCTGATCAACCTAAAGAAGTACAAAAACAAACTTAAGCGTCTGAAACCATGAAATAAATTCAACTAACAATCTGAATCTGATACTAGATTTGTATGCAGAAATATTGAAATAAGAATGAAACTGTAAAAGCATGAAGTTATCATCAAAAACTTACATTCTGCAGTTACTGAGAGTGTGAACAAACTATACCAAAACTACAGTCAAGTTTCTCACTGACAAAGCAGCTGCTAATGTTGTATACACAAGGAAAGGGCTGCTACATGGCTACTTTGTACTGTGATGTTAGCATGGGAAGGGTTAAAGAGGAGTTAAACTGCTCTAACAGCAGTGCAGCCGGCTGATCAGCACCTTGGACAGGAGAGTGACTTTCATTGAGAGCTGTGAGATTTTTTGACAGATGTAAAACAAAGTGTGACCTGATTTCTTGTAAATGTTACATACCGGGAGATCAGAGATCTCTGACAGGCTTAACAATGATGATGATGATATCGACAGTGCGGCAGTATCGGAGCTTGACCGGTCCATGGTTTCATCGGGGGTTCTTGTGTCTGATGACACGACTTCTTTGTTGATGGGCGGCTGGGGAAAACATGGGATTCAGGAGGGTCAGAAAATCTGCAAGAATCTTGAAGTTGAGCTGTTTGGAGGGTGATAGAGACTTAGTCATGTTTGGTACAACATTCCTGCTACAGCAACACCTTGTGCCATGTTCATTTCACCCTCACTGATGAAGAGAAGAAACAGTGAAGTACTCACAGTGGTGTTCTCCCCCTTCTCTCCATCGTTCTTCCTGCTCCTCTCCCTCACTTCTGCGCTAGACATCCTGGAGTGGCTGAAAAAGTGTCACCAAAGGTTTAACTAGATGTACAGTCAAGCCTGTTTATTCTCGAATATAACTTAAGTTCGCAATTCAAGAAAAAATTGGGCATAAGTTCCTCGCTCTGGCCCCTAACCAGGGGGCCACGGGCCATACGGCTTTTTTCTGACAAAAATTGGGCATAGGTTCCCCGCTCTGGCCCCTAACCAAGGGGCCACGGGCCATACGGCGTTTATCGACACAACAAGTTCAAAAATTGCAAGATTACATCCATTATACAGTCAAGTGTTCTATTCCTATCTACACTATGACATTCTATCCTCCTCACATAGTAAACATTGTCTTGATTTATTTAGGACCAAGTCCACAAAAGAGACCATAAAGTGGGTAATTCTTCTGTCAATCTGTTCAAATTTTCTCAATACAAGGTTGATTTATCCATGCTAAAACATTACCTTCACTACAGAAACGGGGAGCGAGAATCATCATTATTAATTAACAGGATAGACCTACCTTTGTTCCAACATTACTTACATTGGTCACTTCAAAAGCAAATCGACGCCGATAGTAGGAAATATTAATACCCAATTAGACATAACATAAACAAAATATGAAATCATGTTGCTGTAAATGTGAAATTTGACTGTTCACTTTGTAACTAGTTGACAATTAAAAGGTTAAGAATACATTGTTTTGCTCCACGGCAACGCCCCCCTCCCAACCAACACCAAAATAAAAACAACAAAACAAGAAAAAAGTGCCGTTTCTAACGGTCCAAAATATAACCAGAATTTCATAACAGGGATTTGCTTTCTCACTTAACAATCACACTTGTTTTCTAGTTTTTCTTGTGACTGAAATAAATCAAAATTGTACGGTGAAATTTTTAAAACTTGTTCTATTACTAAGGGCATGGTAACCATATCCCATCAACTTCTGTTGACATTTTGTTATCAGTAAAGCAATAAAAACATCTTTTCACTTAAGCGCAAACGTTTACAAGGTGTTAAGTGGTTATGTACTTAATTCCACCCTGAATCGAGATGTTTTGCGCTCATTTATGACCGTTGGTATGTTAAAAACGGCACAATTAAACACAAGAATCGCGCAACAAAATTGAGATGTTCCCTGCATATAACGTAACTGAAGCGGGAAATTCCCATTTTGGCCCAGCCATGCACACCCCGCAAATTTCCCTCAAAATTTCAAACCAAACGTTTCCAAACATCATAACACTCCCGGTGTTACTTCTACAACATATCTTCATGAACTCTGTGTGGTTATTTCCCGTTTTACCACAAATTATTCACAGAAAAAATGTAAAAGTTTGGAGCTCACCTTTGAAGGCGTCCGCTTCTGCTGACTCAATATGTCGTCTGTGGTGTTGCATCGAACGCCGTCCCCATAGCAACGCAGCTGAGGACCGGTAGAACGTGGGAGGAATGATCTTGAGTTTGTGTCGCTAAATTTGACAATAACACCGCAGATTTGTTCGTTGATTAAATAAAACTGACAGAATATCACTCTTCTTCATTGCACAACATCGTAAAATTGACTACTGTTTCTGTAGTTGTCGCTATTCGAAAATAATGAACGTTATTAGGTTTGTTGCCAAGGTCAATTCCCCCAACATTCCTGCACACCCATTTGCGGATGAATACAAAGAAGGCAACCAAGTTGCTAGGTGGTCACTACTTCTGTACATGTTGATTTCGCAACTCTTGAGTTAGATTTAACGCAATTTTAGCGGGCATCACAATATGTCATCATCTCACAATGAGTTCTTCAATCCACCTGTTTCTTTTCTGATATTCACTTTCCTGCTACCTTGTTTTTTCTTCGGCCTACTTTGCGACGGTGGATGAATACGAAGTCTAAAAATGACTTTGCTAGTCCGTTTTGGATTTTTTTCATCCCTCAATCCATCCATCCGTGCATCCATCCATTCATCCATTATCCATGCTCTTCATCATCCATGCTTACCAAATGATTTCCAGTTATATATATATCTCAGAGGCGATGATTTGAAACAATGAAATAACGAAAAGAATAATGAACTTCAAAAGGAGAACACATGTATGGAACTAGGCCACTCACAATGACAAAACGGTTATTGCTCATAAAATAAAGACCAAGAGAAATTTATAACAGTTATATCTATTAGGCCATCCAATGATATAGTTTGTTGTTGACGTTGGCATACATGTAATATGTACTATGTGGTTTATGGCTAACAGTTACACGTTATGTAATTTAGTGGTCCCAGGAATCTGACGATCTTGATGACATCATCGGTAGTCTGCGTCGGCGTGCACATTGTACGAATGGGCCTTAGCACGTTCAAGACTTTATTGTATTAAAGGTTGATGGTTGTTAAGAATCTGTAAAGCAATATATGTGCAATATCGCGGAGAACCCACGATGAAGTATTATACGAGTAGATACAGAATAAAGGAAGTACAACATGGTAACGTTATCTATCTTAGTATTGAGAATACAACACATACAGTGTAGAGTTCTAGGCAGTCCTTCAAGCTCGAAGCATTTTGATGTTGAGTTTAAGTACAGAGTGATTCAAAAGTGATCTACTCAGTCATACGATATATGCTCGATACCACTAGATACAAGAAATATTCAGAACTAAGAGAAATGTTCTAGTTAGTTTTCTGCAGCATGGCTGGTTTGGGGCCGCCCTCAATGAGCAGTGTCGAACCAGTCCACTTCGAGGGGAAGTAGCCAAGCCACATCCAAGTCACGTAGTCCTCAAAACTCGCCCCGACCAAGTAGCGATGTTTGGGGGTGGTCAGGGTGACGGCGTCCGCCATAGCCTGCAAAGTCCATGTCAAGAAGACTGCTTATTCATTACTAACGTTAGTGTTAACTACATAAATGTTAAAACAGGTTTTAAAGACTGAGCAAATGCAGAGCATGAATACAAGGCTGCAGGGAAAAGATGGTTGGCTCCTGTGCCCTGCAGGTTCAAGTATCGCAGAGTGGCTAGAAGCTGGCGTGTTACGCCGAAGGTTGAATATACCGGCTATACAAATACACATCATACAAGCTCTACTGTAGGAGATCTATGACAAATTTGACAGTCGTGCTGTAGATGTACAATGTAGTTTACTCACATCTATGACTGGCGTTGGATCCGCCATGCCACCATTGACATAGCTCCTCAGTTGTTCCATCTTGTAGTTTAAGTACTCCATGCCATAATCCTCCATAACAACTTCCTCAACATTGTTCCGCAAATTCTGTTCAATCAACAACATAAGGTTTGTGTCCTGAACACACACAGCTTGCGAAATTCCATAGCAGGATAACTTACAAATTTGAAGTGATAAAATGTGTCTTCCGTTGGTGATAGCCTTTATTTTCAAATTATTGCCATACTTTAATGGCTGCCATATTTCATGTTAACTACAGTACTGGAAAACTTGAATGACGCAGACGCCATACCTCAACGAAGTTATTGAAGACGGCAGGCGAGACGATATCTGTAGCCCGCGCAAAGCTCGCCGGCTGTACAATAACGACTTTGACGCCCCACTTGTGCATCTCATGCCTGTGTTTGGAGGATGTTTGATACGTTAACCTTTTTTTCATAACCAAAACATGCTTCTACCCTAAAGCCCGCGGATGATTGATTGATTGATTGATCGTGATTGATTGATTGATTGATTGATTGATTGATTGATCGTGAGCCTGGAAATAGCTTATAAAATTAGTCATTTTTATTTCTAAGTGCAAGAAGGCTTTCGTATCGCACATATTGCAAGAAAACTATGATCTATAATAGTTATAGTATAATCGTGATAAAAACAATTAAGCTCCGATTCCCGCATGCTACACGATAGTTAGGACAGAACGAATGACGGTATATATATATATATATATGTGTACCTTAATGCGTCCGAGAAAAATTCCAGGGCCGCCTTGGTCATGCTGTAGGCACCAGCCATGGGCGCTGCGTGCAGCCCGCCCACACTGGAGATGTTCACGACTCGTCCTACCAGAGACACAAGTGTCTATAAAACAGTGTATCATTCTAACCAAAAATGCCTCTAGGTGATCTTTGCTCGTTTGGCATGGTGTTCGTGTTGATACAAAAGAGTCAGAACGACTTAAAACCACGAACACACTTACCTTCTTCCCGACGAATCAGAGGCAAGAACATTTAGTAAAACAGACTTTTTTCAGTATTTTGAAGATATTTTTCACAAAATAAAAGAGATCCTACCTTTTGCCCGACGAATCAGAGGTAAGAAAGCCTTGGTGACCCGCACGGGACCGAAGGTGTTCACTTCCATCACACGTCGGTAGGTGGCGAGGCTGACCCACTCGATCTCACCCGGCTGCAAGACTCCAGCATTGTTCACCAGTGCGAATAGACCTGTTGGAACGTGTTGGAACTAAGCCCATTCCATTTCTTTACAAACAAGTTATAATATGATAGATGTGCTCTGTCATTTGGTTGTTTCCTCTTCTGATCAAACAATCATAGCTGTCAGAAATTGATGTCAGTATATACAGTGGCCAAAGGGCGAAAATGTACGACAAGATAAAACGTCATGGAATAAGATAAATGTATAGTATTTGCCATGAAATTCACCTGTTCTGTTTACTGTATACGTACCCTTACGATAATTTATGAAAGGCACTCACCCTTTGACCCCTTCGGCAGTCGATCTTTGACCTGTTGTACAGCGGCCTTCACCTGTCCATCATCAGTCACGTCTATCTGAACAGTACTCAGCCTGCTCGAGCACTCCGCACGGAGTTTCTTCGACCCCTCCCCACCACTGTCTGCCAGCAGACAGCCGGCAAACACCGTGAACCCCAGCGAGTCCAGGCGTTTGGCAAGCTTAAACCCGAAACCACTGTCACAGCCTGTTGTTAGAAAGTCATGCATTCAAGCAGGTCAAGCATCTGTGTACACGATACACTTTTAAAGAGTTTTGGTAGAATACTAAGACTAAAAGTGAACATGCTCATGACTGCAGGTGTTGAAAGTCCTACCTGTAATGAAGACAGCTTTGCCGTCCCCACTCACTTTGCTCTTCGGCGCCAAGTACAGAACCAGACAGTACCCCACTGAACCCAGCAGTATCCCCGTACACAGGTAGTACAGGACAGGTGCACAGTGGTACAACAGGAGCAACAAGCCTGAAATGGCGGAAATACCAACCAGACTTGCACAGTAGAACAACTGTAGTGGACTCAACATTTTTAGTGATCTTAAACCCGTGCTCTCGCCAGATTGACCTAATTAAGAATCACCCGATCAGAGATGACACAGTTTTGTCAGGACACAGGCCAAAGTTCATAAGTCACACGCAGGGCAAGCAAAATTTGGAACTTAAAGATGGTACTAAATGAAGTTACCGGACACGGCTTTTATATACTGTTGTTAATATATATAAGTCCTGTACTGTTTACAAAGTGAATATTGCCCGACTTAACTGGCTACCAATGATAAATCCAACTTCAGTGATACTTGAAAAACATGGATACCTGATAGACAGGTCTAGTTACCTGAGGATGTTTTAATGTGGATAAACAAATAAAACTGCCGTTTTGACTGAATGGTACATTGGTAATTTCCACAGCTGTACAGGTAATCGCCAGTATTTGACTGCAACTTCCAGGAATGGCAGGATGTGTTACAGTTGAAACTCGCGTGGGAAGATTTCCATTAAAAAGTATCATTAAAGAAGAAGTACGTGCACTCACGTCAACGTAACCAATAGTCTATGTTGTTCTTTAGCCCGCATCAAAACGCCCGGAGGTATATTGCATAAATATTTACATTTGTACACTCTTGTGTAGGAGGCAGGTTAAAGTTCAAAATTCACACGCAGCAAGAGAAAGATCAGTAGCAATGTTGAAGGCAGTGCACCTGTTCTACTGTGCAAGTCTGGTTGGTTTGTCTGCCATTTCAGGCTTGTTGCTCCTGTTGTACCACTGTGCACCTGTCCTGTACTTCCTGTGTACGGGGATACTGCTGGGTTCTGTGGGATACTGTCTGGTTCTGTACTTGGCGCCGAAGAGCAAAGTGAGTGGCGACAGCAAAGCTGTCTTCATTACAGGTAGGACTTTGACTTGCAGCTATGAGAATGGTGAAATTTGTTAATCTTTCAAAACTCGTTTCTGGAAAAACTAGCTTTTAAGGTATAGCCAAAACATTTTGGAATGCTCAGAAACAACCATCGACGCGACACTTTTGTGTCAAACTCAAAAGTCTCCAAACTATACTGAAAATAAGACCTATGGCTGGTGACCTACCCTCTTTATTGAAATGGCAGAATGATCGACACAACGATAGCAGTCGCTTTAACAGGAAGAGGACGAAGATTGACCTGCTTGAATGTTTGACTTTCTAACAACAGGATGTGACAGTGGTTTTGGATTTGAACTTGCAAAACGTCTGGACTCGCTGGGGTTCACGGTGTTTGCCGGCTGTCTGCTGGCAGACAGTGGCGGGGAGGGGTCGCAGAAGCTCCGTGCGGAGTGCTCGAGCAGGCTGAGTACTGTTCAGATAGACGTGACCCATGATGGACAGGTGAAGGCCGCTGTACAACATGTCAAAGACAGTTTACCCACGGGCTCAAAGGGTGAGTACCTTATCATGAGTTATCGTGAGGGTATACCGTAAACATGACAGTTGAATTTCATAAAAGACATAGAGTATAAGTGTATCTCATTCCATAACGTTTAACTTAAAAAAAATCGCCATGCAAATCTAACATTGCCTTCTTTTCGACAAGGGACTAAATCAACAGAAGTCGATTTAACAGCAATAATTCTTTGATCCTAAAAAGAAATAGCCAAATCCCAGAGCACAGTTAATGCAGCGTGTTAGTGTTCGCAATGAAGTACAGTGATGGGCTTAGTTCCAACACGTTCCAACATAGCCTGACTAAATCGCGCTCCTGGCGGCCGCCGCCCTAGGTTGCCGCCCCCATCATTAACCTCCGGCCGAGAGCTTTGTATACACAGGCTAGTTCCAACAGGTCTCTACGCGCTGGTGAACAATGCTGGAATCTGGCAGCCGGGAGAGATCGAGTGGGTCAGCCTCGCCACCTACCGACGTGTGATGGAAGTGAACACCTTCGGTACCGTGCGGGTCACCAAGGCGTTCTTGCCTCTGATTCGTCGGGAGAAAGGTGGGGTATCATTGGTTTCGATTCATCTTTTCGTGTCTAGTCTCTTTGATTTAGTAGCTCGTGATACAAATTCCTTTGGGCGGCAGAGGGTTAGAGAATGATACAATGACTTTTGTCAGGTCTTTCCGAAGGTCAATCAACAATGGTTTAGATGTTGTCTCCGCCCTGTCTAGGACGGGTTGTTAACATCTCCAGCGTGCACGGTCTCTATTCATCACCTTCTCAAACTGCATATAACATGACCAAGAGAGCCGTGGAATTTTTTTCGGACGCACTCAGGTAACGTTATATGGATTTCTTTCTGTATGTGCGTCTGTGCGTGTGTTTGTGGGAAACACTCTTAAGCTTTCAATAGCAGATGGATATTGTACTTGTTTTCAAACCCTTGTAAAAACATACCACGGTACCACGATATGTTTCACATATGCAGGCATGAAATGCACAAATGGGGCGTTAAAGTGATCATCGTGGAGCCTAGCAGCTTTGGTCGGGCTACAAATGTTGGCTTGCCTGCCACCATTGACATGCTTGTTCAGGTACGGCGTCAAAATCATGTTTTGTCAATAGTATTGAAGAAGACAATATGCTCTTTTAGCGTTTACCTTTTAGGCCATGTTGATTATATGGATGACATCCGCGCGCGCATGAATTTTCGGCCGTTTCCAAAAAAAAAAAGAAGTTTTCAACCATACTGTAAATCGTACAAAACAGTTGCAAAATGAGCAAAAATATACCATAAGTTACAAAAAAATTAATAAAAACTATACCAATGTCGTAGAATGCCAAAATCAAACGAAAAAAAGACGAAATTGTAAAGACATGAACTTGAAGACTAGATTATTCAAAAACCATATTCTGTGCCATTTGCTCAACCCTCATGACCACGTAGATTTCATAATGAAAAGAACTTTTTTTTTGCAAAACTTTTTTTTTATTCGCACGCGCCATCAGTTTTGGGGCTCCCGGAGGATGTCATCCACATAATCAAATCAACATGGCCTTAGTAAACTCCTTCATTTGCAATGGAAAATTAGTTTTCTTGGTGGACCGAAACTCTTGGTGGACCGAAACTCTATGACAGAAGACTGTACTTTGCCGAGAATGTTTATACATATCCAATTCCGTTAACACACAGTGTTAGTTTATAAGTGTGCATCTACGCACGACACGAAGGTATGTTATTGATTACACAGAACCTGCGGGACAACATGGAAGAGTCTGTGAAGGAGGACTATGGCATGGAGTACTTCGACTTCAAAATGGAACAGATGAAAGCCCGTATTACTACAGACCCCCGGGGCAAAGACGCTACCCCTGTCATAGATGTGAGTAAAGTTATAAGCCTATTAGTGAACAAACTGAGTTGTTAACAAACAGTATCACAGAAAACTCACACGACTTTACGGGAATTTACTATTATTATTGGTAAATGGACCTTTTCGCGCAGGTACTTATACACAAACCCCATTGAATAACACGATTTATACTGATGTTTCAAGTTAAAACTTTTGGTCCAACACAAAAAATTCTCACCTAGAGCTTTCGACCACTCACTCTGGTCTTCCTCAGTAGACTGACCCAGTGAAGCTTGTCACGTGGCTTCTTTGAAGTGTGACGTCAACACTGGGTCAAAGGTATCCGGTAGACGATGTCGGCCCCCGTCGCGGTTCAATGAAGGGTGATGGGCCCTGATGTATATGGCCTCCTTCATCCCTCTCAAGAAATAGTCTTGTTCAGTGTCTAAAATTTATACTGATATTTATACACAGTTGCTGTAATTCTCTTCACAGGCTATGGCGGACGCGGTCACCCTGACTAACCCCGAACATCGCTGTCTAATCGTGACGAGTTTTGAGGACTACGTCACGAGGATCTGGCTGGGCTACTTCCCCACACGGTGGACTGACTCCACAATCAGAGCCGAGAAGGAAGACGACCTGAAACCAGCCATGCTACAGAAAAACAAATAAATCATCTCATTACAGTATTCGCTACCATAACCGCTAAGCTTTATTGACAATTTATAATACTATAAGATTCTCTTATTCTCTGTGTCAGGGATACCTGAAAAACAGATATCTACTCGTACCTGTGAGTTTATTTTGCCCTGGATAAACGGATACTAAAATGTTGTTTTGTTTGAATTGTGCATTGGTAATGTCCACAGATGTACATGTAATTCCCAGTACTAGTATTTGACTAAAGCTGTCAGACATATAGAATATAATAACTGGGAAAATTTAAAACTAAAAGAAATATTAAAGAAAGAGTCCAATCGATTAAACATATAGAACTTGTTTGATATGAGGTTGTTTTACAACGTACTTGAACCTGGTTGGAACTATTCGAGCTTGAAGAAGTAAAGAAGAGATCTGAAAACAAGGACTTAAGAGAACTCTGCTTATCTCCGTCGTTGGACAGCGTCTTTCCTCCCTATATCCCGAATATACCCCTTCCCTTTACCTCGACTTGGCAGGTTTTTGACAAAATCGTCACTGAACAGTTTAAATCTTTTATAGCTTTTGTATTTTTCTAATGTCGATCTTTTCCACGACCTGCCATTGTTAATGGGTCATTTGAATATCACACAAAGATTTATATCACAACGCCCCTTGGCACATTTTAAATATTTACACTCTTGTGTTGGAGGCAGGTCAAAGTTCAAAACTGAAACGCAGCACGAGAAAGACCTGGCACAATGTTGAGTCCACTGCACCTGTTCTACTGTGCAAGTCTGGTTGGTTTATCCGCCATTTCAGGCTTGTTGTTGTTGCTGTACCACTGTGCACCTGTCCTGTACTACCTGTGCACGGGGATACTGCTGGGTTCAGTGGGATACTGTCTGGTTCTGTACTTGGCGCCGAAGAGCAAAGTGAGTGGCGACGGCAAAGCTGTCTTCATTACAGGTAGGACTTTGATTCCAACACACTGAGGAGTCACGAGCAGATATTCACCTTTGGTCTAGATGTTCTATCAACACTCAATTCTAGAAAGTGTGGCTTGTTTTGTCAGACGATTTACCTGTTTGATTGTTTGACATTAAAACAGGCTGTGACAGTGGGTTCGGGTTTAAGCTGGCCAAACGCCTGGACTCGCTGGGCTTCACGGTGTTTGCTGGCTGTCTGCTGGCAGACAGTGGCGGGGAGGGGTCGAAGAAACTGCGGGCGGAGTGCTCGAGCAGGCTGAGTACTGTTCAGATAGACGTGACTGATGATGGACAGGTGCAGGCCGCTGTACAACAGGTCAAAGATCGACTGCCGACGGGGTCAAAGGGTGAGATCTCCGTTTGGTAGCATATCAGTTTTCTGATTTTTATTTCCACTATAAACGCATCCCAATCATGACAGAGTTTTGTCTGGTACTTTCCACCAGGGCTCTACGCACTGGTGAACAATGCAGGAATCTGGCAGCCAGGTGAGGTGGAGTGGGCTAGCATCGCCGCCTACCGACGTGTGATGGAAGTGAACGCCTTCGGCCCAGTGCGGGTCACCAAGGCGTTCTTGCCGTTGATTCGCCGAGCAAAAGGTTAGTTTCGCGCTGTGTTGTTTTTTCTCTGCCTTTCTCTTTTCTTGTCGATGTCTTCAAAGTAGATTTATGAACAGTAAATAACTATATGTGTGCAAGAACCCAACACATCCAACCAGAGCAGAGCAGAGGTTACCCGGTGTGCTTGGCTGCTGTCAGGATTTGGTAGGCACCTCAGGGGCGTTGTTTATTAATGAAATATATACTGTGATTGTTCCCCTGCAAACCAGGCCGAGTTGTGAACATCACCAGTGAGGCAGGGCTCCACTCAGCCCCGGGAACTTCCCCGTACAGCATGACCAAAGCCACTGTGGAATTCTTCTCCGACGCCTTAAGGTTGGGCAGTTACTGAAAAAGTTGCGATAATAAGGAAAAAGGGATAAATCTATAGCTAAAAGCACTTAGATACTTATTAGATTCATTGTTGTCATTTTTATACTAATGTGGTGTGTTGCGCTAAAGGGCGGTTATACCGGCTATACTGATACAGATACAGAATGCATGGTTAATTGTCAAGATGTTCTCTAACTTCTTTGTTCCTTTTTTTTCGTGGACTAATTTCAGGCATGAGATGCACAAATGGGGTGTGAAAGTCGTGATCGTGGAACCTGCTAGTTTCGGGCCGTCCACTGGTATCACTGTGCCCGCTGTCTTCAACAAGCTAGCTACGGTACGTGTAAATTTAGAGCCACAAGTTTGTTTTCATTCCCACTTCCATCTCGAGTATTCAATCTCGGGATATTTTCAGACAAAATTTTTCAGCTTTGACTTTCACACACACCAATACAAAGAACTCAGTGGTCTATCCTTCCATGTACGTAGATATACTTTAAATGGTATTTCGGAATATAGAGCAATTTATTGATCTAGCTACAGCTATACCAAAACCTATTCAACTGTATTCAGTGTACATGAAAGACGTGTTTTGAACCAGGTCGATCAAAATGCAAACCAATGTCATATTTATTTAGTATGTTTTCTTAAATTTATTAGCCTGTTTTCGTTTCTTTTATCATAACTACCTTTTGATTGTACTTAAGTTTTTGTATTATTGCCTTTATTACTATGAGTTGTGGCTCTTGGTGTGACAAGTTTGTTTTATTACCACCTTACTGAGTTGCGGCATTATATAGTACTTTTGCTTTCATTTGTACTAAGTTAACTTTAATTTGTACTTATAAGTTGACTTATCATTTTGTTATATCTGTTATTTTCTTGTATATTTTATTTATGCATGCCTGCAGGGCACATTGTAAAACGCCTTAGTGGCGATATGTACACCCTGGGTAAACAAATAAAAACAAACAAACAAATGTAGAATTGACCCGTTGAAGGTAATCAGTGTTGTTGTTTTGCTACAGGACCTGTGGGCCAATATGGAAGAGGACGTGAAGAAGGACTACGGAAAAGAGTACTTTGACTACCATATCGAGCGGCTCCGGGCCTGCACACAGGGAGAACGCAAGGACAACACACCTGTCATAGACGTACGTCCGTAAGACACTTGTGTTAGATTGTAAATAAGTCATTTCTACGTGTCCGCCTTCTGTAATTTGTTTGCATTCTTTTGAAATTCATCGCCAGCGTACATCACTGTAAAAGATAAATTAGCGATCAAACAAGACATGTACTGGTAGTGTATATCTAGAAATCAATTGAAGAGCATGGATGGATGGATGGATGGATGGATGGAAGGATGGATGGATGGACGGACGGACGGATGGATGGACGGATGGATGGATGAATTGATGGACGGACGGACGGATAGATGGATGATGATGATGATGATGGATGGATGGATGGATGGATGGATGGATGGACGGATGGATGGATGGACGGACGGACCGATGGATGGATGAATGAATGGATGAATGGATGGATAGACGGATGGATGGATGGGTTCATGGATGGGGTAATGGCTGAACGTGTAGAGTCGCCTCAGAAGAGTCATATAGGCCTAGTTATAGTTATAGGCCTAATCTATTTACTGCAATGTCTGTAGGCCATGGCGGACGCTGTCACCCTGACCGATCCCTCTCATCGCTACTTGGTCGGAGCGAGTTTTGAGGACTACGTGGATAAGATCTGGCTGGGCCACTTCCCTACTCTGTGGACTGACTCTACAGAACGCCCAGATACGGATGGAGAACCTAAACCTACCATGCTTCAGAACACTGAGTAGACAAAGCCGTGCTTAGTTACAATCAGCCACTTTATTTGTCCACACAAGCAAAATAAAACATGAATTATTGAAACAGATATCAAAGGTGTATTTTTTTTAGTTTGATAAACAGACGAACTAAAGTAAGAGGAAAAAAAGCCTTGAACTAGTAGAACTTTGATGCCTTTCTGTCCAACCAAAATTTTTACTGATATTGTAGATACAGCATAACATCATTTCAGCCTATCGTTTTAAACGAAGGCCGTTTGACTCTAAGGCTTACCATTGACATACTACTTGCTTTACTCTTGAGATCTAAATATTAATTATTCTGATGTCTTCTCCTCAGCACCTGGTGGCTAAAAATCTCTCCGACTAAATTTCCTGCCAGTCGCCTCATTTAACAAATTTGCCTTGGAACTTCTACACGACAGCGCGCTATCCTATAGCAACGTTAAGGTTCACATGCACACAACAAAGTGACGTACGCAAGCAATACACTCTACAAAAAGTAAAAAAGACACACGAAACAAAAGCTGAATTACACAGTGGGAACATACGAAGGATTGTCGTTAAAATCAAAGTGACGCACACAAGTAATACACTCTACAAAAAGTAAAAAAAGACACGAAACAAAGGCTGAACTACACAGTGGGAACGAAGGACTGTCGTTAAAATCAAAGTGACGTACACAAGCAATACACTCTACAAAAAGTCAAAAAGACACACGAAACAAAGGCTGAACTACACAGTGGGAACGAAGGATTGTCGTTAAAATCAAAGTGATGTACACAAGCAATACATTCTACAAAAAGTCAAAAAGACACACGAAACAAAGGCTGAATTACACAGTGGGGACATACGAAGGATTGTCGTTAGCGGCGGCTACCTTGGTAGATTTTGCCGGTTTAAACTTGGAACGCCAGACTTTGCGGTAGAGCAAAGCCAGGACAGCGGCCAAAACGGCCACACCAAGCACTGAGCCAACAAGGGCCCAGGTGAGCGTATCGTTGGTGTAGACCGGCTCGGGGATGTACTCGAGATTTGCCGTCACGATGTTGGAGGGATCACCGCAGTTGTCCGCTTCGTCGCACATGCGCAGGGCGAAGACGAACGTGACGTTGTGGCCTCGGTCTGGTACCAGGATGACGATGGTCATGGCCGAGCCGGGCTCCGGAAGTGACGTCAGGCTTCCCTGCAGCACTTGCGAGTGGTCGACTGAAGCCGAGCCGTGAAAGTCGTCTGCGAGCTGGTCAAAATGGCGGCTGTAACGGATCTCAACATAGTGGGCTGGAAAAGATGATGATGCAGATAAATGAGAAGGCAAAAACAGTGGTGAGTCTGACTTCATGTGACCAAATACATAGCTCATACATACAAACCTGTCAGTCAATCCTGTCAGTATTATATAATTTGTTTCACTTGTTCATTGATCAATTATTTTATTCAATTTCTATATGATAACTCGTGCTTTGCTAGCTTGTATTACGTATTGTCTGGTGGCGACATGAATATAAGTGTAACTTGAGTGTGTCGCCACCACGTCTTGTCACTGTATGTTTTAACAAAAAAATACAAACAAGCAAACGAACAGCCATATAGAGACGTTTACACACACCTGGCCCTCCCTGATCGAAGTCGTCACCGAGCGCCGTCCAACTCAGCGTCACGGTAGCGTCAGCGTAGGAAACCTCCACTATGGCGAGGTCCTCCACACGGGACGGCGGCAGCATGTCCCGTGTAGAGACACCGCCGCTAGGGACACCCTGTACCTCAAACACGCCGCCTGTTGTCATCCGTTGGAACTGCTCCAATGGTTCTTGCTGGACGTCGCCCCCGCCGATATATCCAGTACCTATAAGAATAATAACGAAACGGTAGTAAGTTAAAATCGTTTTATATTGTTCTATTTCTTCAATGTAATGCGTTATATTGATTACAGCTATTGCAGCATTATTGTTCCTGGTGCTGACTGTGATTGCCTGCCCCTGTTGCTGACTGTGATTGCCTGCCCCTGTTGTTGACTGTGCCTTATTGTCTTTGGTTCTGACTGTAATAATAGATCTAGTGACGTGACAATCAGCACCTTTATTCGTGTTATATCGATTGTACACGGTTGTGTACTGACTAATTGACAAGGTTAGTCTTAAATAGTCAATATTTGAATCAGAAAAGACCGTATTCTATACCTGGGTCAAGCGGCGGTGCTCCAAGCCCGCGGTTGATGACGATGTACCCGGCATCCCCTTGAGAGTTGTCCACCTTGACGGAAACTCCGTAACGACCGTTCGTGGAGAAGCGGAAGAAGTACCGGGAGTAGACACCGTCATTCATCGCTACGTCAGCGCCTGGGAGACGAAAAGTGACAACATTAAGTTGGAAGGCTTACCATCATTGTAACACAGATGATGGTATTGAACAATCGATATCAACAAAGGAAGGGAGATGATATTGGTGCTCATTCTGATGTGCATGTATAATGGCACTGAATCGCCTTCTCGTGATCATGACAGACTGGCGTGTTACGCCGAAGGGCGGTTATACCGATACAGATACAGACATATGTTGTCATTCTGAAATGCAAACGTCTTTGTTTAGTTATATCCAAACACTGTTGCGCTGCAAGATTGCTTTGACTCATCATACTTAAATGTATCCCTGACTTCTGGCCTTTCATGCGCCACTGATATCATTAACTTAATTTAGCTTATCCAGAAATATGGCATGCCATTCAATCTAAGAACTAGAAGCTTTCTGGAAGCAGTTTACCTGCCCCGTTGTCCAGGAGCGTGATCTCCTCCGCCTGACCACTGGGTGGCTTCTCGATGAGGACCTTGACGACAGCCCCGATGACAGGCAGGTACCCCCTCCGCACCGACGCGAAGATCCTGAGCGCCGTGGGCTGGGAGGAGGAGTAGTCCAGGGACACGGCACTGACCTGGGCGGACACTTTGATGGGTTCGTTGTCGTTGACGGGGTTGGACGTCACGATGATGGTGATGTTCTGATCGTCGGGGCCATTGTTGGTGATGTTGAAGGCCCACTTCCCTGGCTGGGAGTCAAATACAGGACGTAAGCATGCATCAATAGTTCATACTTCTAAACCTGCTTTTCTCACCACTCTCCAGTGTCACTGGCGAAAGGTAGTGGATGCTACCTGAAACGTCTGACCGTTTTACAAAATCATATTTAGTTGCTTGGGTAACTGTTTTTGGCGTATCTTATCATCTGGATGTGTAATCACCGAAGTATACATTGCTCGGGCGAATAGACATTTCTAAACAGACTGGTAAGTTTAGAATGGAGATTGGACATGTGTCCATACCGTTGCTGTGCCCGGTATCTCAATGGTAATGGTGTCCGATGTGACGTCGTACATTGGGTCTCCCTCGGTGATCACAAAGCCGAGAGGAGTCTCCAGCGTCACCCTGGGCTGGCGTCCGTCCAGCCAGGAGACAGAAAACGTGGTGTTCTCCCCCACGGTGTTGTCCACGTACACCTGGTTGGAGTAGGTCTCCCGGCCGCTCATGGTCCTGTCTTCGCTCAATAGCTGTGTGAACATGATAAATGATGTTTCAATCGCAGTGAGTGTAATACTTGTATCCTTAGATCATTGGCATCGTACAGTATCGTTGCACCATATTGTAGAGTATACAGTATTGAAAGGCTAAACTGCGTTCTCCCATCTTACGTAGTTACAACTGGCCATACTACAGCATTCATCGGTATCAAATGAAATGTGCAGGCTAATCTTTCAGCACTCACCTTCACTCCCTTGCCTCCAGCTGTGGCTTCGAACGTGGCGGTGAAGGCGTTGTCCAAGGCTGTGGAGTCGCGAATCGCGGAGAAGAACGACAGACCCCCTGTCTGCAGCGCCAGGGTCTGCAGCGTGGGGTCTGCGTCCCTGCTGTAGGCGATGGTAGCGACGATGACTCTCTTCCTCAGCAGCTCTGGTATCACGTCACTGATTCGCGGGTCTCGGTTTTCCTGGCCATCACTGACAAGGAGAATGATGCCCCCTTGTGGCGGCCCCACAGACTCCAGTGCCTTAAAGATGAACAAACATGAAAATTGTGAGGTAGTGTGGTGTAGCGGCAGAGTACTCGACTCGGAACCAAGAGGTACAGGGTTCGAGTCCTGTCATGCCACCGATCTTGTGCCCTTGGGAAAGGCACTTTACACGACTTTCCTCACTTCGCTCAGGTGAAAATGAGTATTGTATTATATTGTCCCCTGTGTTGGTGGCGGCATTAATATAAGTTGAAAAAACTTGAGTATGCCGTCACCACGTCTTGTGACTACATGTTAGAATATATAAAAAAAATTTAAAAACATGAAAATTAATGTTCCCTATATGCGGGAAGTGAATATGGGCATTGACTCACCCGGCAAATTCAACATCTATTCTAATTATCATAAAACACATCACCATTATGTATATACCTATGTGTACAACACCATTATGTATATAACTATTTGTAAACTTTGTGAATTTTGGACCTATTTTCTCACCTCGACGCCTTTGAGAAGACCACACCCAATGCACGTGCCACCTCCAGTGTTACTAGGTAGAGCGTTAATCAGGCCCCTGCGGTCAGCCTGAGAGGTCACTCTGCATCAAAGAACAAGTAGAAAATGTTCACTTCGTGTCAATGATCATGTCTAGCACAGGAACTATGGGAAGAATGCACCACAAATGCATGGACCAGCAAGATATGGATTGCCTCTCCAGTTAAGAAGCCAGTGCGTACCTCACTAACGGATGTTCTATTGAAGCGTCGGCGGAAAAGGTGACGATGCCCACCGAGGTACCGGTGACCACTGTCGTGCGGATGAACCTTCTGGACACCTGGACCAGCCGGCGGATCGGTTCTCCCTGAAAAAAAAAACACAGTCAATGAAATATTCAACATACGTTTGATAGATTACGTGGTAAACGAACACACATAATGGCATGAAATGGAATTTCCATTATTTACATGCAATGAACACTACATGACGTTGTATAAACAAACTAATTGCGGAGTTCTAACATTGTTGGAACAAATGATGAATGGCCTTTTTAAAGATATAGGTAGACTAAAAAATGTTATGATAATTGGTAGTACTGAGTTGTTCCAAAGGTTGACTGTGCGGGACAGAAATTTTGTCTTTTTACTATTGCCTCTCTCTCATTGGTTGAATTTCTAATTGTGACGGACATTGGGGATCGGTCTATTGTAAATGTGTACGTGGTTCAAGTCACCTGCATGCTCCCCGACACATCCAGCACCAGGACTACCCTGTACGACTCGCTCTGCTGCAGCAGGATGAAGTCGGGTTCCGTGGAGCCGACCTCCCTGGGCGGGTTGGCGCCTCGAGCGAAGTCCTGATGCTTGTTCATGACGTCCCAGGCGCTCTGGCCTCCGCACACGGAGTTGTGCTTGTTGGGCGCCTCCCGGTTGTGGTAGGACAGCGGGTCACCTTCCGGATCACTGTGGCAGAAACCTTTCACCTGCAAACATAACACATGGTTCTCAATTCCGGTAACTCTTGATCTTATTGTTGGACAAAGCATTCGCCCTACTTTTGTTCTATGAGTCTGGTACATGGTAGAGTCGACCAACCTACGGTATTACATTTGACTTAGGTACGAAAGTATAAAACCGTTGACAAATCCATGGTGTTAAAAAGATATGTAGGTGAGCTGACTGCACAGCACAGTAGAGTTATGTAGAAATTAGTTACTAACGCATGTAAGTATTGTTTTATGGTCTTGTATGGTCTTATGGTCTCTGTATTGTTTTATGGTCTTCCAATTGGTTTATTAGTCAAGAAAACTGGGGAATACTCACTTGGCTAAGGAAATGCATGAACATGTAAGACGCAGTTGCTCGGTTTCCGGAGAAATCCGGAAAGAAACGGCACTCGGGCTCGTAGACTCCGGTTTGTGGGATCAGCTGACAGGGTGCTCCGGTCACCATGTGTTGGCTGTACCCGGCGACTTTGGCCGAACAGCGGGTGGGTTCGACGCCCCCTACCGACGCGCGGTAGAAGTGCGGGTAGGACTCTCCCGAGGGATCGTCGTACCCGTACTCGTCGAACAGACCCCAGCGGAGATGGCCCCACTCGTGGACGAACGTTTTGCCTTGAAAATATAGATTGCTTTTCTATAAAATCTCCCATTTTACATACCGATATGTTTCCCAAAATAATGGAGCTGAAGACACGCCATGTTTCCTACAATCAGAGATGTGTAACTGGCAAATACTAGTAACCTGGTGCTATAGCTACTATTTTCAAAGATATACAAAGTGACATAAGTCTGTTTATGTATAATTCTTGTAATGCTGGAGGTTTACGTACCATTGGGACCCCAGTACATTACTCCATAATCCTTGTCCACCACGTATCTCGGGGTGAGGTGCATGTAGTCGCCCGCCTCCCCACATCCTCCCTTCTGCTGCACATATGGATTGTCCCCGTACAGAGGGTTCGGCACGTCCACTCTGGAATAAAGAACACGGTTGCAGGACATTCATGTGAAACATTTTTCAAAAAAGAAATTAGAAAAGTAACAGTTGCAAAAAATGCATAATGATTACCTTCGCATATGGTCTGCTCTGTTAATTCTTACTCAAGCACATTTTTATATATTTTCCAAACATGTAATCACAAGACGTGGTGACGGCACACTCAAGTTTTTTCAACTTATTTTCATACCGCCACCAAAACAGCGGACAATACAGTACTCATTTCGACCTGAGCGAAGTGAGGAAAGTCGTGTAAAATGCCTTTCCCAAGGGCACAAGATCGGCGGCATAGTAGAGTTCGACCCGGGGACCTGTTGGTTCCGAATTGGACACTCTACCGTCCGTTACACCATACGATCCCACCAAGTATAAAGTATTAAGGCGACCTTCACCTGACGTTAGCCCGATCGAAGGTCTCGGTCCCGGCCGGAAGGTACTCGGGTTTCTTCGACCAAGTGTTCGGGATAAGGATCTTCACCTCCTTGAAGAACGCACGGTTGTTGGTGGCGACGTACAAGTCTTGGGACGCCTCGGTGAAAATTTCCTAGCGAAGAAAAAGTGTGGAGCCAACTTCAGTCAACACAATTAAGACTGAGCATCAAGCAATCTAGCATCGAAGGCTTCTTTATGATTCTCGCGACTTCTTTATGATTGTTAGAACAAAAAGCAGTGATACATTTGATTATCATCCTGAGTGAAATATAACGTAATTGATAATGGAAATATTTATAGCAATAACAAACCTTTCGTCAAGTATTTTGTTTGGCCAAAATAAGGTGTAAATCTTGTACTATCTTTATAGCTTGTTTTGCACGTAGGTCACGCTTCTTATGAACTTAGGACGTTATGTGATGTCAATCTCGCTTTCACGTATCTCTGTGGGTCTGGTCCAATTGTGGCACAAGTGATCGTATCTATATATTTCTTTGGCGTAGGCGTATGTACATTGCAGTGTTTTCAGCCTGAATATAAAGGAGACTGATTTTACTTCTTTCGATAACTTTTCCGGAATGAAAATCTATGAATTGGCAGCAGTGTGAATTTCTATTTTGATGTGTCTTTCAATCATGTATTTAACAAAACAGGAGTTTGTTGTAATAGGTACCTATTTGCCACATTCAACATGTGACCTTTGCAGCCCGAAATCTAACCTTGAAATAGTACAAAGGTTGTCCTCTTATACACGATTTCCAATAACTTTTATCATGACTCCTAGATCTGACTTATGGTTCCCTAGTCATAGATACGCGCACGTTTGGCACGTATTTTGGACACAACACCTAACGTTACCAACGCCCGTTATCTTTATACCACCTCTTCCGCTAGAACATCAAATACCGAGGAGTGTTTTACTACCAAATTGTACATAGGTATTTATGTACTGACGTCATCAATGAAACGTGGAGTAATTCCAGCGAGTGCGAGTGATATACCAACCATTCGTCCTAGATGTTGCTGAGAAACATGTAATTACATGACAATACCAAGCATATCTGGGTTACTAGATAGATACCGACGTATATCCAGTGGTTTTCTTGGAAGGTAGAAGTATTGTAGCCAGACGATATGATTTGACCCTGACCTGAACCTAAATTGTATCAGTAGAAAGCCGTCACATACATGTAGTAGCCTTCTTCGCAGACTTCTGATGCGGCAGTGTTTTTTTCGGGGAGCGACGCGAGTTATGCCGCGGAGGGACGGTTTTGCCGCATCAAGGTGCATGGAAATCGTCTCTCCCCGGCAAAGTCCCTCGGCGGCATAACTAGCGTCGCTCCCCGAAAAAAATTAACGCCGCCGCATCAGAAGTCTGCGAAAAGGGCTAGTCACATAGAGTAACACAGCGCTTTTGTACCAGCTCGGAATCAACAAGTTTATTTCAGCTACTCTAGGTCACATTTGGGCTTACTACTGTGGCTTTTTACGATAAGTTAACGTGCAAATTAAAGACTGCAACCTCTACCACTAGTGTGTATAGGAATTCATGTGTCCGGCGAGCATTCGAACCCGCATTGTTTGCTATCAACACACACGGTTGCCATGTCTAGCTATAACATTGAAGTTTGAAAAAAGAGAAAAAGTCGTGATATTTGTGTATGTGAAGCTGAGCGATCCATCAACAGAGGACAAACAGGACAAATTGATATAAATAACACCCACATTAGCCTACGTTGTACATTGTACCTTGGGTGCAAAAACTCTTCCCTCTGGAGTCGTGACAGAACTATATGCCTAAGCGTGGTAAAACAATTGATGCGTGACCTAAATATTGATACACCCGTACTGTTTCAACGCCAAGTCCTAAGGTAATTCATGATAATTTTGTTTGTCTCCCAACAAGGCGGTGTGATAGTGTCAACACTGGGCTTTTTGCGCCATGTTGTATCTTCACTTACAACACAACTGAAGTACAAAGTATACAATATACATGTACGTGTAGCTGTAACGCGATTCGGTAACTCGGTTCAGCACCTAGATATTAGGACGACACGTTGTTTCACTCTTAGTTGTACAGAGGCAGTTAAAAGTACTTCAAACCCATGTTTAGTCCTTTATAAGTTTCCGTTTTACAGAAATATAACTTAGCTGCCACCAACATCAGTTTGACTGAATAAGAATCTAACCAGAATCGCTATGAACGTTAACACTATTAATGGGTAAACTGGTAAGGACGTGTGTGTGTACGCAACCTGCGCTCCGGTAAGCACAGATTCACATTGTACGGCCGTTATACGATATAGAAAACGGAAGCTACTTTTGTGACAGTTGTGTATGTGTCAATTGTCTCACTACAGAAAAATCTGCATGAGATCCTTGTCCGTGGTTAGTTCTATCACAGCCTACAACTTCAGAACTTTAACGACGACCAAGAAGGAATGTATCTATATCCGCATCGAAAAGAATGTAGGTTATGCACATTAGAAAAGAAAGCTATCTAATCAGCCGGTTTACCGACGAGAAAAAGATTGCAAAAATGTGAAATAGATTGCAAGTTAGCATGGTAACAATCACACAAACAAACGTCTGTACACAAACCTTCAGTCTGTCCACGATCCTGTAATCTTCAGGGACGTCCTTGTTGATGGCGACCAGCACGTCAGAGTACTCGTTGTTCTGTAGTTTGATCTCGAACGGTCGTCTGAAGCTGGCTTCGGAATGCCAGACGAACGCCGACAGCAGCAAAATCCAACGTATCGCTGTCATTTTTCCTCCTCACGCGCGCTGAATGGAAGGTGCGTTCTGGTAGACCGCAGAAGAACTGCGAAGAACCTTCCGTGTTCTGGCACGCCCAGAGCTCGACTGGCCCTAGGCGACGACCGGGCGCACATACACCAGTGCCACAGCGGTCTCGCCCCCAGAGATTTCGCCCTCCAGTGGGGGTGAGATCGCTAGCGATTTCGCCCCGCCTCCGTAGATCTCCCCCCCCCCCTCAGTGCCCCTTAGTCTACTCTTTTATACCGTACCACAGGTATGACAGGTATTTGATTAACAATTCTAACGATATTATTACAGGTTCGGTTGAGGCATGAAAGTAACCTCCTTGGTTGAAATATTGTCTCTTTCTATGCTCAACAGCATAGGCATCTCAACAACGCAGGATTTTAGCTGATCATTGGTAAAATAGTTTTGAGAGTATTAACTTGCAACATAATTCCCCAAATACAACGAAATACTATGATTAGAATTGTTTAACAAATTCGTGTACTTGGACATGCTTAAACGGAAGTTTTCGAGGAAATAACTGATTTTTTGGTGGGGGTCAAATCGCTAAAGGGGGGCAACCCGGGGAGGACAAAATCGCTAGAGATTTTTCGCCCCGGGGAGGGCGAAATCTCTGGGGGGGCGAGATCGCTGTGACACAGGGCGCACATACGGCGGCGTTACGCCATAAACCAGCGCCTTAAGTGGTATTGGGTAATGTGGGTGTTTGTTTGTCTTTGACCCTTAGTGATGGTCACTAATGACCACAAACACGTGGCTTATACTTGCTTTGTTTAACATAACCCAATCGTACTAATAGACCTTCGCCATTAGGCTTGTTATTTGAGTCGACTCTGTACCATTCTGTATTATATTTTGATTTTGTTGGTGTCTTATAAGCCCTTTTGGGCTAGGCGGCGTGTAGTCGCAAGACACAATAATAAACTTTCATTCGTTCATTCATTCATGCTTTTATTGAGTCAGGTCAAAGAATTTAAACGACCATAAAAGACACAGACCTTACCCTCACTCCAGAAAGAAAACGAAAAATGAACGTCTGCATTCACGACTTTTATTCAGCAAATTCAGCTCTATTACAGCTAGCGTTTCTAAAGTGGCATCTCAAAGCGGTCTCATGTCGCCTGTTCTAACTTTGAAACTAGCCCATCGAAGATAGGTGCGTTGTGTAAGGTTTGCGGTTACAGAGACCTGACAAAGATACAGAGATCTACAGAGATCAGACAAAAGGGCAGAATACATGGAATTTATAGATTGTAGTTGTTTGCATTTATCTGTTTCATATGTGACAACTCAACAAACTGATCTGCGTGAAATTGCTATCGCTAAAAATCGCATTGGTTCGATTTCGTTAAAATGTGGAGAAAAGAACATTTCGAGACATCTAGTACCTACATATCAGAACGAGTGCAGTTATGCTGTAGGTAAAGGTTCGTTCTTGGGTTGTCCCTTTTCCAAACCAATACCGTCCGGGACCGGTGTTACCGACACTCGTTTCTTTTTCTTAACGCAAAAGCGCTTTACCAACAGCACTGTCAAGACGGCGACCACAGCAGCAACGACTGCACAGCTGACAGATACAGCTATGATGAGCGTGCTGTTGTCGGGGTTGCTTGGTTGCGACAGGGGCGGTGTAGTCGTTGGTTCCGGGATGTACTCGAGGTTTGCTGCTGCCAGGTTGGACGGTTGTGAGCAGTTTCCCGCCGCGTCGCACACCCGGAGAGCGAACACATACGTCACGTTCTCCCCCCTCTCAGGTACCCGGATGACGACGGTTTCCAGGGTGCCGGGCGGGGCTGGTGACGTCAGGTCTCCCAGCAGCACTTGAGAGTCGCCGACGACGCTCGACGCTTCAAAGTCGTCGTCAAGCTCCGTGAAGTTTCGGCCGAATCGTAGATCGGTGAAGGCGGCTGAGGGAAAACAATTTGTTACATTTCGTCGCTAAGGCCACACTGACTTAACTTTTATGGATAACATCCTCTGAAGACACTGAATTCTTGAGCTCCGTGGAGGATCGGCAGCCTGGGTGCCATCCTCCGTAGTTACCGCCGGCTCCCTATTGTCGCTGGCTACCATGGACTATGGAGGATGGCACCCAGGCCAGAGCCTCGGCAAAGGTGAGGACAGGAGAAAAGGCAATGCGTGCGTGGATATCATCCATGAAATTAAACCTAACAGGACTTAACATGCAGGAATCTGTGACAGTTTACCAAGCAGACAAAAGAAGACAATAGCCCACCTGGTCCTCCTTGGTCGAAGTCGTCCCCAACAGCTGTCCATGTCAGAGCGACGGTGAAGTTATCGTGGGACACCTTGATCACCTTGAGGTCAATGACCCGAGATGGCGGGCCGAGGTCCAGTCGTTGAAGGCCACCAATAGGAACGTCTGTCAGCTCAAAAACGCCGCCTGGCGCCATCCGCTGGAACTGATCCAACGGCTCGGAATGGACTGCATTTTTGTCAACTGCGAAGGCCTCTGAAACAGAAGGACAAAGCTTACAGCGTCTTTCTTTAACAATACCAAGATATCAAATACTTCCAAACCCTACAATACTTTGCATTCCATTAACTAGCTTGCATATCACTAGAAAGCTTTAAACAACTCCTGCAATTAAATATGCAAAGATTGAGTGTAACAAGTCGTTCGGTGTGATATAGCTAGCCGCCACCGCGCCGCGTGCCTGCGAAGCTGGTGTGTTACGCCGAAGGGCGGTTATACCGGCTATACTGATACAGATACAGATACATACCTGCGTTTGTGGACAAGGCGGCCCTGTGACCACGCCGTCCCGTTCCGGTCACCACAATGGAAGCTGCCTCTCCGTCGTCGTTGTTGACCTTGACCGACACGCTGTAGCGGCCTCCAGCCGTGAAGTTCAGGAAGTAACGCGAGTAGACGCCGTCATTTCTGGTGATGTCAGCTCCTGTGGGCAATCAATTTTTTTTCTAGACCTTTAAATTTGTTTCACTCATTTGATGGCGTTTCAGCACCATGGAGGACCAGATGGAAAAAGAGGGGGAGAGAGGGACAGGAAAAGAAAAGGAAGGAGGATCGTTTTAATGAACGAAGATTTTTATTGTACATAGTTGGTACATTGTTCTAAGTACAGTTAATAAATGTGTTATATGTACACATTTGTCTGAATGTCATATTATAGAATGCGGATTCTGTTTCTTCTTGCTTTTTTTGCAATGATGGCAATGTAAGAAGAGCAAGTTTTGATATGAAAATTGTTAGATGACTAATGTTAGTAAGACAACTTTTTTTTCAAAGTAGTTAGAAGTGAATGAAAATAGTAGTTATATGTATTTTATGTAAGAGGACTCCAGGAAGCGTAGTGGTTGCATTGTCAGATTGGAGATTCCTTAATAAACAAACAAACAAACAAAAATCGATGTTACCTGCACCGTTGTCCAGCAGCTGCAGTTCATCAACATCGTCGCTAGGCGGCTTCTCTATGTAGGCGGTGACGGTAGCCCCGGTGACGGGCAGGTAACCCTTGGTTACGGACGCGCGGATGGTCAGGGCCGAGGGCTCACCGGAAGAACCGTTCAGAGAGATGGTGCTGACCTGTGCTGTGACCTTGATAATAATAATAACTTTACTGCGCAACAGTTGTACAGGGCCAGGGTACAAAGAATGCATCTACTACTAGTACATATCAACTACATTGATGAATGTTAGACATCCAGGTAATACGATACGCCAAAAAGCAGTTACTCAAGCAACTGGATATTATTTTGAAAACGTCAGACGTTTCAGCTAGTATCCACTAGCTTTCGTCAGTGACTGACATATCAACTACATTTTCATAAGGCTAATCTAACTAATACAGAAGTGGGTGGCTAGTATGAGATATCAACTTATACAATCTTTGGAGGAGTTTCTAATATCCATACAGTCTTTAATATATATCACTATGTATAGCATGTAGGGGTTGTCACAAGTCAATATGTATTTGAATTTGCTTTTCAAGTTCATCGTGGCAAATGTTGGAAAGGAATCTGATAGTCTTGTGTATACCTTGATAGGATGGCTGTCCGGAGAAGCGCCCTTGCAGCTGACCAGGATGTCCACTTGTTGGTAGAAGTAGTCCACGATGGTGATGTTATACGACCACTCCCCGGGCTGGGCAAGCAACATGACAAAACAAGAAATGCTTTTGAAAAAACATACCCGGCGACAAGATGGGAACAGCTGGTTGGGTAGCGTGAGTGTGATGACGATGTGTGAATCAAATAATTGGTCATCTTGGTGACTTGAATTTGACTACTGCTAATAAGACTGGATTTAGATGCACAACTGTAATGTATCATGGGCTCATTCTAACTGAGATGTGATATTTTATTATAGTTTATCAGCAGTTACGTGCAGTAAAACAGTGTGTTTCATTCGGCCAGTCTTCTCCTCCAGACTTCTTTCATTCATATGATAATGTGTCCGATACCCAACCACCCAACGTGGTTGTCAGGGCCTTGTGTGTCCCCGGCAAAAATTCTGTAAATTGTGATGAAGCACAATCGTATGTTATAATATATCTCTGAAAACAATAACAGGAAATGTACTATTTCAAATACCTGTGCTACACCTGGCACCTTCACTTGAATGGTGTCGGCCATCACGTGATAGTTCGGGTCGCCTTGACCAATCACCGTGCCGTTAGGGGCTATGATCTCAATCCGAGGCTCGACGCCGCCGTTCCACATGAAGGTAAAAATGGCGTCCCTCCCCTCGCTCTTCTCGATGTAAACTTGGTTCTCGTAGTTCTCTCCTGTGTTCAACGTCTTCGTTTCACTGACGAGCTGGATAACAAAATGTGGTCGAGCAACGGTCAACCTAATATTCTAGCCTTTTTTCTAAAGGAAGTAATATTATCCATCCGGATAAAATTATAGATCTGCAGTTCAGGTTTCGAACTTTTTATTCAGCCTGTCACACAATAGACTGATCCTGAAGCCCCGCCCACCTTCGTCAAAATATACAAATGCAAATATTTGACGGTCGAACCGCTGCCCTTCTCTCATTGGTTGAACTTCTGTTGGACCTACACTCACTCAATCACTCACTCACTCACTCACTCACTCACTCACTCACTCACTCACTCACTCACTCACTCAAACTCAATCCTCTTCTGAACCTAGTGGTTCTTGAGGCGACAGGAAGGATTTCCATCTGGCCCTATCTGCATCTGCGTCCGGGGCTGTGTTCAGAGTCAGTCCCCTCTCTTTTAGGTCTCTCTGTATTGTTCTCCTCCACGTCTCTTTTGGATGCCCTCTATTTCTTTTTCCTGTTGGTTGCCATGTTAGGGCAACTCTTGTTATTGAGTCTGGGGGCATGCGAAAGACGTGACCACACCAGGCCCATCTGCGCGCTGCAATGGTTCCAACAAGTTTGTTGGACATACGGAATCGGTTTATTCCCAGACGCCCAGTTACCCACCTGTATGGTCGCCTCCCCGCCGGTTCTGTCGTCCCTGGACAGGACGGAGGTGATGAAGGCGTCGTTCAGCGCCGTGGAGTCTCCCTGTTCCCCCGAGTAGAAGTACGACTTGCCGCCGGTCAGCAGCGCCAGCGACTCGATCTGCGGGTCGGCGTCCCGCTTGTAGGCCAGCGTGTCGATGATGACGCCCTTCGCCAGGACCTGTGGGGTGGCAGTGGCGATGTCGGGGACTTCGTTCTCCTGACCGTCACTCATCAGGAACAGGATCCCGCCGCTAGGATCGCCACTAGGATGGGCTTCCAACACCTGGAAGATAAAAAATGAAATGTTACATTTTGAAAAGGGACAAGGCGCAGTTGAAAGCTTGGGATTGAGAACCCTTGCCCTTATCCTCGAAAAAAAATGCAAATGAAATAAAATCCAATAAAAGAAATTTAAAAAAACGAAAAATAAAACAAAGTAAAGCAAAATAAAATGCGGAATGCAAAATAGAATGAAATGAAATAAAATGCGGAATCGTTTTGTTAAGTCAAGGTATAGTCAGATCGTCCTTCTGAGCAAACTAGCTGTCATGATCAGTTCGGTGTGTTTGGGAGCCTCGGACGCCATCCCTCGACGCGTTAAAGAACCCAAAACACATATTAAGAATATGGTGACTTGTTGTGTCCTGCGTCTCTCCCACAACTCGATTACCAATTAACAAACTCTTTGCTATACTACGTCCAGAGCTAGATATAGGAGGGATTGGGTTCAATCTCTCTCGAGCACAGTGTGCATACTTCATCAGGTATCATACCTTGACGCCTTCCAGAAGGGCACAGCCGATACAAGTGGTGCCGCCCACATTACTGGGGACCCTGTTGATGAGCGAGGTCCGGTCGGCGTTACTACTGATCCTGAAACGAACCAAACTATCCATCAACTCTGGCTCAAAACTAGGGAAGGGTGTCACCATAGCGGAATTAGGAAATTTTTATATGGGCACAACATCTGATTCAAAGACAGAACCTCTAGATTCCGAGGTATTCACCGTACCGACACCCACTCACTCACCAAGTCGAGTTTCCTCGCGATCGACTCCAATGACTGTTTCCATCTGTTCCTATCTTTCATTTCTACCACCAGGTTTCTTGAATTTTCTTCTGTCAAACTTGGTGTCATATATTAATCGGTAAATGTAGTTTATTATTGGATGGTTTCGATTTCATTTTCCATGTGTGGGTTCCCACAATAGTAGCTGATGTATGATTTCGTCCTTTGCTGTTGTAGAGAAGGTGACGATACCCACCCAGATTTCGTCCTTACTTCTGTAGCAATGTCCGATGAACGGCCGCACATTTTCGCACAGCTCACTGTTAGACCGTACCGACATGACCACACAATGCCACAGTTGATGTAACTTACTGTATGAGTGGATGGTACGTGTTTGCAGCTGTAGAGAAGGTGACGATGCCCAGCCAGCTGTCGTCCAGCACCGTGTTCCGGATGAAGTGGGTGGCGGCTTGGTTCAGTCGGCGGATCGGCTCGCCCTGAGGACAACAACATCAAGGTGACTAAGGCCCTGCCACCGTAAGCAGAGGGTTCAAATGTTCCCGCGGGAGCATGCCCCCGGACCCCTCTAGGTTCGCCGCGCCTGCGGGACACAGGCGCGTGTCCCAAACCGTTCCTGGGGACTGAGCACAGTTCTGGACACGCGGAGGCCATGACATGTCCCAAACCGTGCCTCATCCCGCAAATCACTTTATGATTGACAGAACTTCCGGACACGGTTCTGGACAGTCAGGCTGTATCCCGTTCTGTACCCTCTCAGGCACAGTTTGGGACAGGCACGGTTTGGGACACAACACCCTCCATTCAATATTGCCAGTTACCGCCTCTGTAAATTAACCCTACCCGCATGCTTCCTGACGTGTCCAGCACCAGCACCATCCTCGGTGCCTGCTCCTGCAGCAGCTCGAAGTCCGGGACGGTCGTCACCACCTCCCTGGGCGGGTTGGCGCCGTTCGCGAAGTCCTGATGCTTGTTCATGACGTCCCAGGCGCTCTGACCTTGACACATGACGTTCTGCTTGTTTGGCGCTTCGCGGTTGTGTGAGGACAGCGGGCTGGCCTGGGCGCCCTGGCTGAAGAGATGCTGGCCGCTATGACAGAACTCCTCCACCTGGCCACGGGGTATACGGTAAGGATTTTTTGTTATATTCCAACAAGACGTGATGGGGACACACTCAAGTTTTTTCAGCTTATATTATGCCGCCACCAACACGTCTTTGCGTTTATATACAGTTTTGATATGACTGCTCTGGGTTGCAAATATGTATACTTACTCATTGATTTATTTAATTATTCAAAATGCAAGAGGAGGTGCGACGTTGCCGGTATTATTCAATGTCTGCAAATGACATAAGCCAGGTATTCATTATGACGATCAAATTCTAGCTTTCCGTCAACTGTGGATAGCCTATACCAGGCTTCGGGAAGCGGCTGGAACCCGAAGCCTGGTACAGCCGCTTCCCGAAGCCTGGTAGAGGCTACCTTACGGACTCACCTGTGGCAGAAACTGCATGAACATGTACGACCCCGTCGCGCGGTTCCGATTGAAATCCGGAATGAAGCGACAGTCGGCCTCCGGAAGTCCTGTGACCGGGTCCGTCTGGCAGCGTGCTCCGGTGACGGGGTTCTGCGACAGTCCGGCGGTGTAGGCGGAACACCTGACGGGCTGGATGCCCCTGGAGGTGGACACGTAGAAGTGCGGGTACGATCCGCCTAACGGGTCGTCAAACCCGTACTCGTCAAACAGACCCCAGCGGAGATGGCCCCACTCGTGAGTCATCGTTTTACCTGTGAGAAAGAAGTCAAACCTCATAATAGCAAGCGTATAGTAGAAGTATTTTCCAGACAGTAGTTGTCTGTTCCCTATCACTGTATTATACCGTATAGTATCTTTGTCTCTGTATAAACAATTAGCCTTTGGGCATGATTTTGCAACTTAAGACTTGTTATCATTCTAAAGTTTAAAATTCCTGAATTTCTGTCTCTCTGAGTTAATATTCGAGATTTCTGTAACCATTAGACGTTCACAGCTTTTTTTGATATCTATATCAGTATCATATTTTGAATTTCTAAATTAGTACTACTATTGTTACATACATGTATTATCTATGTAGACTATGGTTGTATTATCTGACAGTGTATATTTTCGACGGTACATGTATATGAGAAAAAATTGAGGGAAAAAGAATGTATGAATTAAAAGGCTATCGGCTATGCTTTAGCTAGGCAATAGGACATGAATTTTCGTAAGGCCGATTGGGTCCTTCACCTTCCAAACATATGCCACAGTTTAGACACACTCAGTCTACAGAGTAACGATTAATGTCCCTGAATACCAGTAGCGTGCGCGTGTGTTACACAAGCTCTCTCGGCCGGAGGTTAATGGCCCCCACCCCAAAAGCTTGTGGCAGGATAGCTGTAAGCCGCGCGGACCGTTCCCTTCCATGAAGTCACTATAGGAATTACTATGGTAACCAACGGGGGGGCGCCAGGAGCGCGGCTTAGTCAGGCCAAGCTTGTATTTAACCTTCTTGGTCAGGCTATGACTACCAGTTCCCAAACCGGACATGGTCTGACTCAGCACGTGCTTTATCTACACTCTCTAAACCCCATCCAAACAACCAGATTAACCGGATTAACCATCTTTTTCAACCACTCATGCCCTAGGTCAAACGCACCCAACTTTCCCAGGTAACCTTTCAAAATCATCCTTAAGCCTGATGAATGAACTGAATAAAAGTGCTGAGTCAACTGACATGTTATGACTTTATAAATGTACGACGTGCAAGCTACCAGATTAGTTCAACTGGACATCAATCAGAGGTAGTTTTATTCCTGACACTTGTCTTGTATAACGGTGTCGGGCACGTATTGAGGCCAAACTCTCCACCACTTCACAAGAGTGGCATGTAAAGGTCCGGGCCGTTGTAATCTTAAAGGCAATTTCATGACGGCAAAAGAAAACCTCTTCTGAATGAGGAAATATGTCTGATATTGACATTTATTCGCACATTTTCGTCTTCATTTCATAGTTGAAACATTTGAAATAGCCAAGCTACATGCGGCGTCTCTTTATTTTTGGGTAGCACCCATAGAAAGCTAGAACCAGCCTACGATACAAAAACAAGCAACTAAAAAGTTGCTTTCCGTCGGGAACATCACCTTTTTACACCACAGATATCAGTATGCTATGGGATGGATTCAACTTACTAAATTAAAAGAATGACCAAAAAACAGACTTTAGAAATCCAGTTTTGCCGCCCTGAAATTACATTTGATGCATTTAAGCGTTGAACGAAAGAAGTGCCTTACCGTATGGTCCCCAGGTGGTTTCTCCGTACGGCCTATCCACGACGTACCTCGGCGTCAGGTGCATGTAGTCCCCGCCCACCCCGCACCCGCCGGGCTGGTGCACGTAAGGGCCGTCTCCATAGATGGGGTTCTGCACGTCCACTCTAAAATAGTTCAAACGAATAATAACATTCTATTTCATAGAATACTAGTATACTATGAATTTCATAGAAGTACTGAGGTGCTGTCGGCTCCGGTCTTGAGGTGTCGCCAAAAATACTACTAGCTTTAGTATTTTAAGGAGAAACAATTAATGTTTCTATGCGACAACTTTTTATTGAAATCGTTCATATAGTTTTCTAGTAGTAGTAGTAGTAGTAGTAGTAGTAGTGGTGGTGGTGGTGGTGGTGGTGGTGGTGGTAGTGGTGGTGGTGGTGGTGGTGGTAGTAGTAGTAGTAGTAGATAGTAGAAGTAGGCGAAGTAGTAGTAGTAGCAGCAGCAGCAGCAGTAGTAGTAGTGATAGTCTTATAATATTGTCGAAATATAGAAGACGTACAAGTAATTTTTGGTTATATACAACTATACAACGTGTAAAGCTTTTTTTCCCACTTGAAGGTACTTAAGTACAAGTAGTTGAGTAGTTGGTTGATTTTTACCTGATGTTCGCCCGGTCGAACGTGGCTGTGCCGGGCGGCAGGTAGTTCGGCTGTCTGGACCAGGTGTTGGGAATGAGGATCTTCACCTGCTTGAGGAAGGTCCGGCTGCGGGTGGCGATGTAGAGCGCCTCGGAAGCCTCTGTGAAGATTTCCTGTGGGAAACAAAGAGGGAATGGGTTGCATTTTTAGTCAGGTACATCGGTTCAAACCTTCTCTTGTCAAAACGTGTGTTGGGGTCTTTCATGTGTAGAGGCAAAAATAGTTGTTGTTTTTTTATATTGCTCCACGTAAAAACGTTTATTATTGAACTACTTTATTTCAATACGTATATTCAGATACTAGTATATGTATGTGTCCTACTTGTCACGACGTACTTGACTAGCGTGTATTTTACTCTCAAGTGAAGCCTACCTTGCGTGTTTTCTTCAAACAACAACGAATGCAGTTTCGGAGAATCGTGATTGGACACGGTTTGAAAGGAATGTGTGGCACGTGGACCAGATGTGAGGAATGCGAGTTACCCGAATCGCGGTTTGGGTGGTTTCATATGAACAAGGCCTTAGATACCTACATATCATGTACATGTTGCAGTACACCCGGTGCTAGAATAATTTCGTCTGGGATTGTCATGAGTCAACTACACCAGGTGGTGTGAGTGGTAACAGACAACAGCCTCTGCTATGTTTGCCTTCAGGATTAACACCAAATACCTGGAGATTGCGAACTCTACATTATAAGTAGAAAAAGGATAAGCTTTACCAAAGCCAGCTATTGGGACCCAAGTTTGAACAGGACAATTCGACACAAAAATAACTTTTGTTACTTTTATTGTGGAGTCGGTAATCTCTTGGTTTGTATTTGGTTCTGGGCTCTGCGTTAGAAATAGAAAACGTTCTTTAGGTCGAATTTACCAGTTCAAACTTGGGTCCACATAGCTGGCTTTGATTGATAGTTTTCCATCTTCGCTTGACGTGTGTATAAACGTTAAAGTAGAAATACTTGCTCCTCCATGACTATAGGGGTATGTTTTTAAAAAGTCAACTTCTTTTGTTCAAAGTTCGTCCCGGCATATGTTAGACGGCAGGTATTTCCGTTGTGTCAGCTTTAAGAGTTGTCCCACTTCAAGTCGAGATTTTTCACTCTCCAATGAAAAGTAAAAAGTACTACTTTGTATAGGTTCAAATTTAGACAAGCTGATTAGATCTTTGGTGGAAAACTCCAACAATATACTGTACCTGTAGACTCTGGGCGTTATTTTTTCGGGGAGCGACGCGAGTTATGCCGCAGTTGGATGGTTATGCCGCTGAGGGAGTTTGCTGGGGAGAGAGGGTTCGTTTCACCGCCCAACAATTAACGCCGCCGCCCCACAAGTCTGCGAAGGAGGCTACTGTAACTGTGTTAACAGTGTGAACTCCATAGTGTCGTTTTCAAACGATTTGTAGTTGCACAACGGGTTTCTTTCTCACCGCAATGTTGATTTAAGCTTGTAAAAACGAGAACTTGTACACAAACAAATTTATTTCTTTAACACCGCGTGAAAAGATTGAAAGGCCGACCTGTTCAGGGATTGTAAGGCAGGGACATTAACTTTCATTCACGTTTTGCGTTGTTGTTGCACGTACCATGTTAATTTATACGTACGAACAATAACTCAATATCAAACCTTAGTACGAAACAAAAAAATCGAGCGAGATTATTGATGAATGAAAGTGCCAGTAGTAAATACGGCTTTGGCAAGTGTGCTGCCATTTTAAACTGCAGTAAACAAAAACGTTCAAACTTGTTTCAGGTTGCCGTTGTATCACTTGTTCCAGTGAACCTTTCTTAATCTGTAGCCCACAATGTGTATAAAGTTCACGAGAAAAAATTTTTAATATTGCTCTGTTAGAATTCGTTCACACAAAATACTCGTATCTGACGATGTGCTTTTTGTTACATAAGTACTGGTGGGCCGACGTTCTAAGTACAGTTTAGATAAGCGTGCGTTTGTAGAAACTATCACACAAAATATCTGACGAAATGTTTTCCAATAACTTTTCTGGGGCGCGTACTTATCGAGAGAATGCACAACTACAGATCAGAAATCGTTTTCATCTGCCCTGCGTGCGAGTGCGATTTAACCTTTACCATACTGAAGTAGCTATGTAGCCATTTAATTTGCCCAACGATTCTCTATTGGTTGCCAGACTATTCGGCTGGGGGAAAGTTAACCGTTATGCAAGGGATGTTGCTCATTTTTTACTCATTTTTCTTGAGTCTTATCTTTGGCGAAGAAAAAAAAACTGTCCCGAACCTTAAGTCTGTCCACAATCTGTTGGTCCTCCGGAATGTCCCTGTGGATGGCGATCAGCACCTCTGTGTACTCGTTATTCTGTAGCTGGATGGCGTTCTGAGCAGCGTCAGACATCCACATACAGAAACACACGAGCACAATCAACCGTAGAGCTACAGACGCCATGGCTCAGCCGGCTTCTCTCAACACCGGTAGGTCAATGAAGACCGAGACTAGCCTCGTCAGCTCATTATATACTGCCGTGTGATTAACCTGTATTTATGCACACAGCACCTGATAATACTGTAGTTTGTTTGCAGTTCAGATGGCTACCGTTGGATGCCGTTGTCATGACTAGATGGGTTTGGGCTGATTTGGGCAACTTGGAGACATTCGTAAACAAAGTTGGAACTTTTAAGTACTTGTAACAAAATTGATGGTGCCTAAAGAGTAGGGTTACTTTACATTTTTACATAACTATTTACTTGTGTATTTGGATACTCATTTAGGACAGATAGTCATTACATAAAAAGACATTTGTATCAATGAAATAGGAATAAGATCATTTACATTAGCCTGAAATGTGCAAATAACGTACTTTGTAACCTTTTCGTTGTCCCGTTTGTCCATGGGAAAACACACACCTACATGGGTCTCTATATCATTCGTTCTATCTAAGGTACATTGACTGCACATAATCTACTGTATTTTACGGCGTCTATAAACTGCACTTCGACACTTCCCGCTAGAGGTCCTTTCTCGTTGCTAACGCCTCTGACCGCAGCAACGACATTTACAGGCGAGATTTCGCCTCACAAATGTTTTACATCAGCCGGCATTGTTAGAGTGGATTTTCTGTCGGATTGAATAGCATGTCTATCAAACCTTATACTTCAAGGCCAACATGAGGGCCTGCAAGGGGGGGGGGGGGTTAGTGATTACGAATTACGCAAAATTTTCGCCGCCTATTACGAATTACGTTAAAGTCTCAGAGCTGATTACGACTTTACGATTTGTGGCTAATGTCCAATTACGTTGATTTTTGCGGAGGCTGCCTACGAATTACGAAGTCTAAAACGGTCTGATTACGCCTTACGAAAAAGGGCTTGCAGGCCCTCCAACATGCCTTGGGATCGGAGACAGGTCCAATGCAATTTCAGGACAGCAAAACAAAAATATTCTATCAAACCCAATACTTCTTTAAGGCCATAACGTATTGGGACACAACTCCAACATGTTAAAGGCATCCAATGCAATTTCAGGACAGCAAAACTAAAATATTCTGGATGAGGAAATCTGTCTGATATTGACAGTTATTGCCATTTCTTACAAAATTTTTGTCATAATTTCATACTAATTTCAAGCGTCTGACCTTGATAGCCCTAAAACAATCTACATAAGGGGTTTCTTTATTTTGGGGTACCACCAACAAATAGCTAGAACCAACCTACATACGATACAACCATTTTCCGTCAGCGACGTCGCATTTTTTCCTCACAGATATCAGTATGCTATGAAATAGGATTGATTTTTTGTACACAAAAAAGATGACAAGAAAATTGACTTTGAAAATCTTTGGAGAGTTTTGAAACTGAAAATTCATTGGACACCTTTCAAGAACTCAACACACTTGTAGATCTGTTTTCACAAGTGTCTCCAATCCACATGATGCTCGCCTCTGTGTGTGTCAAAGTTCACTCCGTCTCCAGCCATGCGGACACAATCCACCCTCTCTAAACAAACCGTACAGACAGACTGACTGACTGACTTGACTCAGTCCTCAGCTGTGGAATCCGGTTAGACATACATTGTACATGTCTTCAGAGGTACACAAGGAAGAGCACCGCTGACAGCTAGGGTGTGACCTGAGCACTACGTACTGTATCGTTCCAAACGTAAGTACAACAAATACATGGACTATCTCCTGGTGTAGATTATGTACCAGCGACTGTGTTCTTCAGTTGGTATAGACTATGTACTACAGTAGAGTGAACACGTTGTCCTCATCTTTATTCTAAGACTATACGCACAAGGCACAATGTCGTGCAGACGTCGTTTACTTCGTAAATTGGATTTTTCAGTTGAGTCTTGAAAAGGATCGAAAGAAATTCGTTTAGCCCTGTGCGACTAATGCATGTTTCCTTTTTTGTGGTGATTGGGAAAGGCCTTGGGGTATTTTACAAACCACACTACGGCGTAAATTGTATTAGAACCGACCAAGTGCCATTGTCAAACGTGTCATGCACACATAGAAATTCCAGTCTAATGCTCGCTACGACTAGAAATTCCCCCTATTCCAAGTCATCCCAACATCGCAGAATATGCCAGTTCCTACAAGGACGTTCTTGTCTTGCTTACCACGGAAAATCGTGGCTAGTTTCATGTGCACATTTTTGCCGGTCAGGGAGCAAATACGGAGGCAACGTGTTGGAATAACTTAGATTTTGGTACCCTGTTGATAGAAGGGAGAGAAGGCCTATTAAGCCGCTGGTTGTACGGTTCTGTGTCTTTTGACCTTCAGTTAGGCCATGGAATATGGTTGAACCAACCGTCAACAAGGATGAACGGCAACCTTGTCCGTCTCAAGACGGCAGAACGACAATTCTATGACTGTTCCAAGAATGTCCTAATTTTTCTGTCGTAACCTTGTCGTACGACGTACGTGCTATATGTCGGCTTTACCGACGATCTTCGATACTTCTGCCGGCTCTACAAAGTTACAACTTACGAGTTGCCCAACAGCTTCGACCCTATCATGGCCCCTTTTCCAAGACCTGCGATCCCTCAATCCTTAGAAATGTTTTTTGACGCAGTGCCAACCCAGCCACACAATCCATCCATCTCCATCCAACCCGCATTCTTTAACCGTAAATCCTCGAGAAATCTGAATCCAACCTTGAAAATAAAACGCCGCGTCCGCCTTTTTTTTTCGAGATTAATGAGGTAATCTGTTGGTATTAACCGTCCCTAAATAACTTACTGCACGTACTTGCCAATGGGGTCAGGGGACCGGATTGGCCAAGAAATCCCGAACACGCGACCGGTCAGGCCAGGCCACCGGCCGGGTCACTCCGGCCACACAGAGGTGAACTTGGCGACTGGTCTGACAGTTATCAGTGCTGAGGTCACATTTCCAAATCGGGGCCCGGCCGGGCAGTCTTATGGAATGAAAGGTATGATATAAAGATAACAAAACACAAAAAAAACTTGAAAAAAATTAATACTGGAAAATATTTGCGTATATTTCTTCGGTTTGAAAATGTGACCTTACTAGTAACGGTATTTCCGCTGTTCTTTGAAACAATGCGAAATAAAGTTACGTACAAACAGGACGGAGAAGGATAGACATTGTCTTTGGTTGTTGAGAAATTCACATGTATTAAATATCAGATCTATTTTGCGAACAGTTTTCTACAAATTCGATGGCAGATGATGGAAATAAGGACTAGACACGAGCCGCTTTCTAAAGCGATACTTGAACATCGTATTTTCTTAGACTTACCAGGTCACACCTGCTGTTTTTCATTGTCTTTGTGTGTCGGAATGGTCTAGGAACTGTTTTTGTTTCTCTTTGACAAGATGCCAACGGTAACACAGACACATATGTTTCCGTTTAGTCTAGGCCTGCTTTGACCATGAGACATCCATAACTTTAATCTCCAAGCAGATGTTGCGTGCATTGTGGCATTGAGTACTAATACGCCTTTCGGCTACTGGTATGCATGCTGAAAGCTTCCATAAAGCATATAGTTTACGTAAATACATGCAGCTTTTCCCTTTGGAGTTAGAAAAAAATGTCTTCACTGCTATGCATATGAATCAATGGTTTGTACTTACATAAACCTGCTTTTCTGACAGTTCGCCAGTGTCACTGACGAAAGATAGTGAATGCTATCTGAAACGTCTGACCGTTTCCAAAATCATATCCAGTTGCTAGAGTTGATATTTTTTGGCGTACTTGCAGCATTGAACCAAATCTGTGTGCGTGTTTCGATGCTGTCAATACATGAAATAGACAAGGGCTGAAAACTAGAATAAGCACACAACATTTGTTAACATACACTAATTTTTGGCCGAATTATAAGCCATAATGAAATAGATACATGATACACAGGGGGACTACAAATCCCCTGCTGCCAGGTCTATGTACAACTTAATTCTATCGGTCACCCTCATGCGTGCACGGTGCGGTAACTTTAACCGTACGGCATGTATGACGACGAAGATCTATCTCTTTCAGAGACCATCCTGTCGACAAACGATGGCGAGCTCCCGTCAACAAAGGACCCTGCCATGACCGAGACAATGGGTACGTCAAATATACCACCACCTTTCTACATTTCTTTCATATTCCGTGAAGCTTTTCGATATGGCTTTCCGCATTGCACCATGTAATAGATACAGGGAATAGCGGTTTTGCATTCATCGCAAGCCTTTAAATCATTGATCGCGTTTGACTCTAACAATCACGAGACCTTAGCATGGCATAACACGGCCCGTAGAGATCAATCAGTGCGCCATAAAGTATCATCCAACATATAAATGACACTAACGGTTATAGATAACATTTGTTTTGATACGGTCCCTCTTTGGGATAACAATGTCGTTTTTATGGCTTACATGGTCAGCGTTGTACGACTTTGCAAAAGATGAACTTGATTTTCGAAAAGACTCTTTTGGTATCTTATTCACGAAACTGTTGGCTTTGTTTGGACGAGTTTCAAGTTCGGGTCATTGCACTCTTTATTGGTAGTGAAAAGGCCGAAGTTGACACTTTTCCGTTGAGTTGGCAGCCACCGTTCGATACGTCAATAAGATGTTTTGGCGAGATGGACGGGATTTCTATTGCAAATTGTACCGTGGGCGCTGCTGCATTTCTTTCCACGGAGGCAAAGAAAAAATAGTCTAAAGGCATCCAATGCGATTTCAGGGCAGCAATACTGGAAATATTCAGAATATGGAAATCTTTGACACATACTGCTTCACATTAGCACATTTCAATCAGTATTTCATACTTTGGGCATTTAAAACATGAACAAGCCCCAGCAAGATGATTCCTTTATTTTCTAGGTGGTACCCTAAAATCAGCCCAGGGCCCTTCCAGTAACCATTTTCTGTCAGAATTTTGGAAAGTTTGCTCCATGAGGGTCGATATACATTGGGATAGTGTAGTTTCAACTGAGCCTTAGCCCCCAAGCGTTGCCATG